GGAATACTGTAAAACTGTGATTAAATACAATGGGTCTGCCTCAGCAAGATGGAATTGAATAGTGTTGTTTTCATGTCCATCCATCCATCCATCCATTGTCAAACTGCTTATCCTGCACACAGGGTCGCGGGGGGGCTGGAGTCCATCCCAGCCAACTTCGGGCGATAGACAGGGTACATCCTGGATTGGTCGCCAGCCAATCGCAGGGCTACACAGAGACACACAACCATTCACACTCACATTCACACATCTACGGGCAATTTAGAGTCCCCAAATAACCTGATCCCCAGAGCATGTCTTTGGACTGTGGGAGGAAGCCGGAGAACCCGGAGAGAACCCACGCAGACACGGGGAGAACATGCAGACTCCACACAGAAAGGCCACTGGGCGGAATCGAACCCAGGACCTTCTTGCTGTGAGGCGACAGTGCTAACCACCACGCCACCGTGCCGCCTGTTTTCATGTCCCTTTATTGATTTAACGTGTGTCTTCTGTGCATGCAGCTAAGCTGAATATTGCATGTGGGTCATGTGAAGTGAGTCTCGAGAACTCGAGACACACATATTATTGATTGACTGGGAGGGTCACGAGTGTCTTCCCTACGTCGTCTGGTACTTTTCCATAGATTTCCTGGGGCAGGGGGGGCTCTCCTGTGCTGAAACAACACACACCTCCCAGAAGCTTTGTCAGGTCTTCTAACTCCTCTGAGGGAGAAAGAATAATCTGCCTCCCTTTTCAGCTGAATTGTAGTCATTTGACTTTCTGTCTTCCCTTACGGCTTGATGTTGATGATTTTGGTATTCTTTATGATTTTTCTATATTCTAGTTAGTAATAAATACTTAATCACAAACAAGTTCATGATACCACCCCACCACCACACTGTTTTCTCAAATGGAATTTGGACATCCTTAAAAAAGTCTGTGTGAGGAGCCAGCGACCATTTTTTCTGAGACTTTTTCTTTTAGTGTGCTGGTGTGTTTGTATATATAGAAGTTAGTAAAGTAGTCCTTAACAGTAGCCAGTGAGCTGAATATGTCTGAACCTGTGATCTTCTGCCTACAAACACCCCCCCCCCCAACCCCCCCGCATGCTCACAGGTGAGTTGGCCGCTTTTATTGGGAGAGTGCAACACGTTCCTTTTTATTTGACAGGCAGGAATGCCGTCTGACTGTCATGGCTTTTGTTACTTTTTAAACTGTGTCTCGACTTGCCCTTCCCCCGACCAACTTTTTTCATCCACTGCAAACCCTTTTATTCCCCCCGCGAGTTCGCTTCATTCATCCTGGTCGGTGTTTACATGCCGCCGGCGGGCAACGTGCACGAGGCACAGCGGACACTCGCCGACCAGATACGGCGTGTGGAGCGGACCAACCCGGACTCTTTAGTTATTGCCCTCGGGGACTTTAACAAAGGAAATCTCACCCATGAACTCCCTAAATACAGACAGTTTATTAAATGCCCCACCAGAGAGGAGAAGACGCTGGATCACTGTTACACCACAGTCAGCAGGGCTTATCACGCCGTCCCTCGTGCTGCACTGGGACACTCTGACCACATCATGGTCCATCTGATTCCTGCATACAGGCAGAAACTAAAGCTCTGCAAACCTGTGGTGAGGGAATTCAAGAAGTGGACCAGTGAGGCGCTGGAGGATCTTCGGGCGTGCTTTGACTGCACAGACTGGGATGGTTTCAGGACTGCTACTGACAGTCTGGATGAGTTCACAGAGGCTGTAACTTCCTACATCGGCTTCTGTGAGGACAGCTGTGTACCATCATGCACCAGGGTGAGTTACAACAACAACAAACCCTGGTTCACAGCGGAACTCAGAACACTTCGCCTGCAGAAGGATCAGGCATTTAGGAGCGGGGACAAAGACTTGTACACAGAGGCAAAATACAAGTTTAGCAAGGCGGTGAGAGACGCTAAACGACTGTACTCTGAGAAACTCCAACAACAGTTCTCAGCAAGTGACTCTGCTTCGGTTTGGAGAGGCCTCAAACACCTCACCAACTACAAGCCAAAAACCCCCCACTCCATGAATGACCTCCGCCTGGCAGACGAGCTCAATGAGTTCTACTGCAGATTTGAAAGACAATGTCCTGTTCCCATCCCCCACAGCTCCACCAACCTGCTGCAGTCCCCCTCCCCTCCCTCCCCCAGCCCATCAGGTGCTCACGCCTCTTCATCATTATCACCTTCCCCTCCCCCACCAGCAACGACCCTCTCTATTCTGGAGAGAGACGTTAACCGGCTCTTTAGAAGACTAAATCCCCGTAAGGCAGCCGGTCCGGACTCCGTTTCCCCTCACACCCTGAAGCATTGTGCTGACCAGCTGTCTCCGGTGTTCACTGACATCTTCAACACCTCCCTGGAGACATGCCACGTACCAGCCTGCTTCAAGGCCTCCACCATCATCCCTGTCCCCAAGAAGCCCAGGATCACAGGACTCAATGACTACAGGCCCGTCGCCCTGACCTCTGTAGTCATGAAGTCTTTTGAACGGCTAGTCCTGTCCCACCTGAAGTCCCTCACCGACCCCCTCCTCGACCCCCTGCAGTTCGCCTACAGAGCCAACAGGTCTGTGGACGATGCTGTCAACATGGCCCTCCACTACATCCTCCAGCATCTGGACTCCCCAGGAACCTACGCCAGGATCCTGTTTGTGGACTTCAGCTCTGCTTTTAACACTATCATCCCGTCTCTGCTGCAGGACAAACTCTCCCAGCTGCACGTGCCCGACTCCACCTGCAAGTGGGTCACAGACTTCCTGTCTGACAGGAAGCAGCACGTGAAGCTGGGGAAACACGTCTCAGCCTCTCGGACCATCAGCACCGGTTCCCCCCAAGGCTGCGTTCTTTCCCCTCTGCTCTTCTCCCTGTACACCAACAGCTGCACCTCCAGCCACCAGTCCGTCAAGCTCCTGAAGTTTGCGGATGACACCACCCTCATTGGACTGATCTCTGGTGGGGATGAGTCCGCCTACAGGTGGGAGTCTGACCATCTGGTGTCGTGGTGCAGCCAGAACAACCTGGAGCTCAACGCTCTAAAGACAGTGGAGATGGTTGTGGATTTCCGGCGGAACAGAGCGCCAACCTCCCCCATCACCCTGTGTGACTCCCCCGTCACTATTGTGGATTCCTTCCGTTTCCTGGGCTCCATCATCACCCAGGACCTCAAGTGGGAGCTGAACATCAGCTCCATCACCAAGAAGGCTCAGCAGAGGTTGTTCTTCCTGAGGCAGCTGAAGAAACTCAACCTGCCAAAGACGATGATGGTCCACTTCTACACGGCCATCATCGAGTCCATCCTCTGCTCCTCCATCACCGTCTGGTACGCTGCAGCCACAGCCAAGGACAAGGGCAGGCTCCAGCGTGTCATCCGCTCTGCAGAGAGGGTGATCGGCTGCAATCTGCCGTCCCTGGAGGACTTGTTCGCTTCCAGGTCTCTGAAGCGAGCTAAAAAGATCGCGGCCGACCCCTCCCACCCCGGACATAAACTGTTTGTGCCCCTTCCATCTGGCAGGAGGCTGAGGTCCATCAGGACTACGACCTCCCGCCACACGAACAGTTTCTTCCCGTCGGCAGTCGGGCTCATGAACAGAGCCGGTCCCCCACTGCCTGACCATAACACTCCACCGGTCACTCCCCCTCACACTGCACATGCCACTTTAACTGCAATTCATCACTCTGTCACTTGTCACTTTGTCTCTTGTCTGTTACTTGTTTGTTAGTGCACTTTGCGCTTAATACTTTTCTTTTTAACTTTTTAATATTTATAATTTGTTTAACTTTATTCCCTTGTTTTTTTACTAACCCATAGCCTTAGCCTTATTCTTACTAACCCATTGCATTAGCATTTCATCCCACTTTATTTTATTACCTGTGCACTGTTGTCTTGTCTGTCTACTGTCGCGCACTAACCGCCAAGACAAATTCCTTGTATGTTTGACATATTTTGGCCAATAAATGTTTCCTGATCATAGCGTACCTGTATGTGGGTGAAGGGGGGTCCTGTGGGACACACTGGGGGAGTATAGAGAAGTCATTAACAATAGCCAGGGAGAGTTTTGAGTGCAAATATATGTGCAATAAAAATGACAATGTGTAATATCCACTGCGTTAAACTATGTCTACATACACTTATATTTATTTAGGTCCTAGTATATTCAGTTACTGTGATCTTTACACTCCTTTTATTTTCATTTTGTCTCTCATTATTATACATTTCTTTACCTACTTATTACTGCTGCTCTTGTTGTTTTTACCATGTAGCTTGTTTGCACTGTCCACTTTGCAGCCGCGAGCCTGTGAATTTCCCCATTTTGGGACTAATGAAGGAACATCTTATCTGAATTGAACTGCAACATGTGAATGCATTCTTGACAACCTGCACCTTACTACTGTTTAAACTCTTGGTCAACCTCGTCCTCATGAGCATCGGTGAGTGAACTGAAAGACACAGACATCTTTTGCACTTTCCACGATAATAACGTAACAACCTTTTTTAGCACATTTCATTTTTTGAGGATTCTGAGCCTACAGTTTTAGTAATTGTAAAAGTAGCACTCAAGCATGACGACATCGTAATAAACTGTCAGTGTGACCTCTCATGTATTTGGTCAGATCTTTATTTTTGTTATTTGTGTTGTTTGCACTTTGCAGCAGCTGCAACGTCATCGTCGCCACCGTTATCCTTCACACAAGTACCTCTTGTAAAAGGCCACGAGAGTTATTTATATGCATTCACAGGGACTGCCGGACCTCTTGTGTATGTTGAAGCTCTGTTGTAGGCGGTTTATATATCGGATATGTGTCCGGACCTTTTGGATATGCTATGTTTAACAGCTGTAGAATCAACATAACCTTCGTAACATTGTGTATGTTTGACTGGAGTGCAATTCCAAAAGAACTACAGTCCATAGTTGAAAAAACCTTTTTATATAAATGTAAGATGTTTTTGATTCTAGAAAAAATGCAAGACCACCAAACAAGCAACATTTGTTTAAAATGACTTTATTTATATGAGCAACCCTTGTTTACTGAACTGAATCCCTGGAAGCTGCACAGACGTGTTCAAGGAAGGTTTTTTTATTCAAATCAAAGCCATCCGAACAGGTGTCTAAAAACAGCTGGATTCAACTCTCCAATGGGTAAAACGGTTAGTAAGATTACATTTCTTCAGATGTTGACAGAATTACACTAGATTAGTTAAGATTAGTAAGATTTCTTCAGATGTTGACAGAATTACACAGTTAAATAATACATAGATCAGATCTAGCTTAAAGGTACTGATTCATATTCAGGTGTTTCACAAAATGTGCTGCCAAATGAGGAATAAGTCTTCCTTTACAAAAAGATCATCTTGAATGAATATATGCAACAACTGTCTTTAACAAGCACTTAAAAACAATAACAAAGTGTCACAACAGCCTCTTATTGACAAGATTCAGTGTTCAAAAGGATTTCAACGTGTCACAATACTGTCTTATTAAAGATACTCAGTGTTCAATGTGTGACGAGCCTCAACGGATTGAGGTTCAGATTGGAAGCTAAATAACTGACAAATTTCCGCTGAATGTTCTAGTAATTCAAATTGTTAGTAATGCATCAACCAATGAGAATAACACCGCGCCGCCTTCTCAGCTCTCGAAACATTCATTGATTCCATCAGTGCGTTTAAAAAAACTCTTCACATACAACCAGAGACAGTCACAATATTCTGTCAAAAAAAACAACATAAATATCTTCACACATAAGAAAAAGACGCTGTTTTTTAAATAGAGTAAAAAAAAGCACCACACAAGCAGAAGACGGGTAAATTCCCATCTTGAATGCTATGTGAAATTCCTCTATGTTGGCTTTCTGTCAAGGGTGTAACCATAGTTTGGACATTGGGGGGTCCGCTGGACGCTGTGCTGACGGGGCGGGGGGGCGCGGGTCACTACGGCCCGCTGAGCCGAGCGATCCGGCACTCAAAGAGTCCCGGTGCGTTTCTGCTGTATATTGAGAGGGACAGATTGGTATTTTCTCAATATTGAGGGGGGACACGACCCCCCCAAAGGATGCGTGGTTACGCCTTTGCTTTCTGTTACCATCCTATATTTTAACGTGAAAAAAACAGGTTCCTGAAAAGTCAATAAACAATGCATTTAAAAGCTAGGACAGTACTGGTACTGATCCTAACACAGGAGCGGGGTTAATATGATGTTTAATATGATGACAGGAAGATAAATGAAATGCTGCTAATGATATGATTTCATTTTGTATATATACCAATATAAAATTAAAAGCATCACTTTTAAGAAGGGAAATGCTTTTGGAGGTCCACAGAACTTTATTTCACCTGCTGCTCCGTTTAGAACTTTTTAAAACAACGTTGAAAATCCTGCTGCCAAAAAGCCGCAAACGGTTCACTGAGTGGCGAAACTAAAGAGTGGAAGGTTAAAAGGGTAAATGATTCAAAAGAAAAATGTAAAAGCAATGTATTCCCTACGGAATCAGCTGAAACTCCACCACAACATAACCGCAGCGTGTTGCGCCCGACGGCCGGCGTCCTTGGTATGTGTTGCTGCGGGCCAACAACTCTGCCGCAGCTCATTCCAATTCTGTCTGTCCCCGTTACAACGGTCCCGGGGCAGAGCCGATCCTCCCGGGATCCAAACACCTTGTTCCGCTCACGCAGACGTGCAGCATGTAGAAGTGCAAGCAGGTGCGACGTCGTTAGAGGCGGGTGGGGCGTCCTGACAGCTCCGATTCGTCTTCGTCGTCCGAATACCCGTCCAGCTGCTTGCAAAGGGAGAGAGTAACAGCTGTCGGTGCCTTGTCGAGGTTCTACAGACACGCTTCCTGCATATCCACAGGATGGACTCAAAAAGACCCAATTCATGACCTAATACCAAAACCACGACCAAACTCAAGAAAAAGCAAACATTCAATCCTTCAAAAACGGAGATGATGATGAACAATGAAAATGATTCTCGTGTTGCTGTCTGCTGAACGCGGAGGAGTTCAGGAATTGATGCTTGTATTCACCTGGAGCAATCCTGAGGTCTGTCCGTTGCTCTTCACAAATGTCATCGGTGCGTCTAACTGAAAGAGAGGTAAGTGTAGAGTACACACATCAATTCAAGGCCGACAGCATCAGAGGTCGTAAGGTCAAATAATCCCTGCAGGAACTAAATGAAGGCAGAGATAAATAATTTTGATGCTAAATGTGACCATGTCAAAACATTTTACTACAAAAATGGTGATCGAATGAAGCAGAGCGATAAATCATCAGCAAGCAGAGCGCGGCTGACAGTGGGTCTACGGAAACAGCTCGAGGCCTCGTCAGCAGTCCTGGGGGGTATTGCACAAAAGTAGAATAAAGAAATGCAGGATAAGTGAAAAGGCGCAGCTTGACTCAGTGTGATCGGCTCGTCGCGGCTTAATCAGTTGCACGTTTGCCGAGCCGGGATGAGAAGGCGGAGCGAAGTCAGTCCAGGTGTACACAGCTGGGATAAGTGCACGTTCAGGGCTTTCTTAAGAAGACCACGGACCACAGATTTACTTATGCGGAAATGGAGAAGACGCCGCGCGCAGCATACTTTCATACTTTGCAAATGGTGTAGAAATTACTTACAAGATGCCTGCTCACATATTTTATCTAAACTGATTTCAGCAGTTAAGAAGGCGGCTCATTTATCTTCAACCCAGCTGAGGAGGTGGCCCTTGTTTTAAACCAACGCAGGCCTGTGATGGAAATCTATGGTTAGCCTGGTGTGGAGCAGGCTAGCTGCAAAGAATAAATCGCCATGGTTACTTGATTGGGTTTAATTCAACCTGCTTTCGTGCAACCAAGCCCAAGGTAAATTCATCCAGGATAACCTGAATATCCCGGCTTAATCCCTTATCCTGGTTTAGTGCAACAGCCCTCTGGACTCGCAGCACCAGCAAAACATTGCGTGATTGGTTGTAAAAGCGCACACAGAATATCTCTAACCATCAATGCAACCTCTGTATTCTGCTTGTCCTCTGTTGATTTCCCATTGGACATGTAGGATGCCTAAAAAAAAGAAACAACATTAAATCACTTGCTATGTTGCAATATGTCGTGTGCTGGAGACACATTAAATGTCAAATGACCATCCCGGGCTGTAATGTTGACCACACCCACTGCACCTTGTCCCGCCTCCATTGGCGGCGCACGTAGAGGTAAACAGCAACTGGCACGATGACGTGGAAGACCATAGACAGCCATAAAAGCCTCTGCAGGTTCACTAGAAGAGATCAGAGAGAACTTCCATGAGGATCATAAAGGGAGAAAACAAATGCTGTTACCTGGAGCACATGGAATATTGTAGGACAGCGGTTCCCAAACTCAAGAATGCCGCGGCCCACTTTGAAATCTGAAAATCTTTTGCGGCCCACCCAAACCTTTAATCACAACTCGGATCAAAACATAAACTAGGGATGATTAAATGACCTTAAGAATTTAACCGATTAAAAATGTATTAAACGACAATGTATGTTTTGTATTCCATTTTCTCCGGAGCTCATGTGCCGTGTTTTCCGCACAATAAGGAGCATAAGATGCTGTAGTCTATCAGCGCAAATCACTGTCAAAATTCGAGAGCGCAAATCAGGTTGAGCAAAAGTCCGTCTCGCGCCAGCAAAAGTCCGTCTCGCGAGGTATTTGCTCGCTTTCAAAACGTGAACTTCGTTGCTCGCGAGGAGAATCTCTGCTCGCGCTCGAACGACAGCTTTGTTTCTCCGACGCGCCCTGAAAGCAGCTCCGTATCTCACGCGCCTGAGCGCCGCTCAGCATCTCGCCGTCGTAGACGATCTTTGGCGTGTTTGGCAGAGCGCCTTGCGCGCCGTGTACAACCAGTATGGATCAACCAATTAACCAATCGGTTCGTTTAAATTGTTTGTGCTTCATCAATTAATGTTTTACATAACTACTGTGCCGCTTCATTCATATTTTTATATTAATTTCAAACTTTTCAAAATTGAAAATTAAAAACTTTTTATCTATTTATTGTAAATGACCTCTCGCGGCCCACCTGCAGTACCTCGGCAGCACCCGCCCACACTTTGGGAATCGCTGTTGTAGGACAATGAAAATTATAAATAAAACATCACTAAGCGCTCATTTGCTGTGGTTAAAACAAGAAACATTAAGATGCAGAAACACGAGAGTACAAAAATATAACTTTATTGGAGTAAATACAAAACAGGGATTCACGCCAATACAAGCGCCGTACTAGATGTGCAAAGTCTGCAACTTCTGTCAGGACAACGGATTTTGCGGGGCTTGCTAGAAAAGAGGCAGATACGGTGTGCACGAGGGGAGGGGCTGTGTGTGTGTGTGTGTGTGTGTGTGTGTGTGTGTGTGTGTGTGTGTGTGAGAGAGAGACGGAGGGAGAGCAGGGAAAGGAAATGCCAAAGGACACCAAACGCGCCGCCACAGATTAGTCTGTGTGTGGGAAACACTGAACCACCCTACTCAGAAACGATCCTAATCAAAAGTGGCCAAAGCGCAATTCGCTCGTGGAGGGATTCATCTAAACATGCAAGATCATGTTGAAAAAGAAAGAACAAGCTGTTGGGAAAGTATCCATTACATAATGATGTGAAGCACATTCACAGAGCTTACCATTGGGATCTTGAAAAGTCGCGTTGGGACTTTGGGCCGCTGCTACTGCCTCTGATGTTGAAAGCATTCCTGTTGTTGGTGTTGCTGCTGCTGTTGCTGTTGTGATTTCTGACACTGTTGTTGTCGTCTGTGTTGTTGTCGGATCAGAAACTGCGGAAATATTACAAAACAGAGGGGGTGGGGGGGTCGGCAATAAATGCAAGATCAGTTTGAGTCTACCAGTAAGAAGAATGTCGTAGCAGTGGTGGTGGACCCGGGCCCTGTTCCTCGTACGTGTCTCAACTAAGTCCATCTAACGTCCCATTATCCAGCTCAAGTTAACGAGATGATTGACGTCAGGCTATCTCGGTTCCTCAAAGGCTGAAATATGTGTATTTGAATCATTCTGTCGGATGAATTGAACGTATTGTACATCTTTCCCATGGTTCATTCTGCACGTTCCTCTGTCTCTCTAAAGGTTTCTTCCCTTTATTCTCCCCATCAAAGGCCTTTTCATTGTTTGGGGAGTTTTTTCTGTGTCGATGTGACGGAGGATGTCACATGACTGTAAAGCCCTCTGAGGCAAATTTGTGATATTGTCCATCGATCCATCTTCAATGTTACATTACATTACATTACATTACATGTCATTTAGCTGACGCTTTTATCCAAAGCGACGTACAATAAGTGCATTCAACCATAGGGTACAAACTCAGGAGAACAAGAAACAAGAAAGTGCAATTTCCTCAAATAAGCGAATTTACAATTTGCTATAGATGAGTGACGTCACAAGTACAATTTAAGTGCTACAATTTGTTAGTCTTTAGTCGAGGTAGAGTCTGAAGAGGTGTGTCTTTAGTTTGCGGCGGAAGATGTGAAGGCTCTCTGCGGTCCTGGTGTCTTCAGAGAGCGCGTTCCACCATTTCGGCGCAAGGACAGCGAAGAGTCGAGACCTAGTCGAGTGTTTTGCTCTCAGTGAGGGAGGGACGAGTAGTTTTGCAGATGCAGAGCGGAGAGTACGGGTCGGGATGTCGGGTTATGACCATGTCCTGGATGTAAGCTGGACCCGATCCATTCACAGCATGGTACCTGAGCACCAGTGTTTTGAACTGGATGCGGGCGGCCCCCGGTAGCCAGTGAAGAGAGCGGAGGAGTGGAGTAGTGTGGGAGAATTTCGGAAGGTTGAAGACCAGTCGAGCTGCTGCATTCTGAATGAGCTGCAGAGGTCGAATGGCGGTGGCAGGGAGACCTGCCAGGAGGGAGTTGCAGTAGTCCAGGCGGGAGATGACAAGAGCCTGAATCAGTTTGTATGTTGTGCTATACAAAATGAAATGAAAGGAATCATATAATCATGGCAAAAATTGACACCGCCTCCCCCTGTGAGGCTACAAGCCCGAAAAAAGTATTGCACACAAGTTAACGTTAAATGCGTGTTGGGATCAGCATATGTGCCAACCCGCACTCTCCGCTCTGCAACTGCAAAACTACTCGTCCCTCCCTCACTGAGAGCAAAACACTCGACTAGGTCTCGACTCTTTGCTGTCCTTGCGCCGAAATGGTGGAACGAGCTCTCTGAAGACACCAGGACCGCAGAGAGCCTTCACATCTTCCGCCGCAAACTAAAGACACACCTCTTCAGACTCTTCCTCCACTAAAGACTAACAAATTGTAGCACTTAAATTGTACTTGTGACGTCACTCATCTATAGCAAATTGTAAATTCGCTTATTTGAGGAAATTGCACTTTCTTGTTTCTTGTTCTCCTGAGTTTGTACCCTATGGTTGAATTCACTTATTGTACGTCGCTTTGGATAAAAGCGTCAGCTAAATGACATGTAATGTAATGTAATATATATATTATTCATAATCAGACATTGGATCAATTGAGGGAGTGAAACATGGAACATCCAGAAGTTTATTAAGGACCAAATAAACCAGCAGAACTTTACAAAGAGCACGACATGCAGCGGCTTTCCAGATGTTCTCTGCATCGCAACACTGTGCAGTATGAGAGACAGTGTGAGACTTGAGAGAGTGTGTATGAGACCGTATGAGAGACAGTGTGAGACTTGAGAGAGTGTGTATGAGACCGTATGAGAGACAGTGTGTGACTTGAGAGAGTGTGTATGAGACCGTATGAGAGACAGTGTGAGACTTGAGAGAGTGTGTATGAGACCGTATGAGAGACAGTGTGTGAGAGAGTCTGCGGGACCCTGGATGCTCGGCTGCAGCGTCTGGTGTTTACGTAACGTTACGGCTCCAGAAGGGCTTCTTATATAAATGATTTCTGTCTTCCGCATCGATGGCGCTCATACAGGACGTCATCGCGATGTCATAACGGGTCTTTGTGATGTCGGAGAACTGTCTCCTCATAAAACGTTATTCTAACTGATGTCACCCCTTCATCAATGAGGAAGAGAGCTGCTCTTAATCCAGCAGCTCAAAGGAACCGGAGCAGGGTTCAAGTTTTTGGATGTGTTGCTATGGCGATTTAGCTAAACCTGCTTCGGGGAACCGAAAAGCCTGATCTACGTCATCTCATCCTGAAAATGATCCGGCTAACCCAGTTAGCCACGTATGAGGAACAGGGCCCCCGGTCAAGTTAAGGGTAGAATTTAGGAGGTACGAGTTGCCGTGGCAACAGTGAACCGCGTCATACTATACGTAGTGTTACATATTTTGTTTCCAAAAAAGTATTTTTCGAATGGTTCATTGCTAGTAGCAGGTGGTGTTTTCTCACTGCACGAAAAGACATAAAGGACGAGTCATTTCAAAATGTACGCTCAGCCTGTGAAGGGATGAAGCTATTACGTAATCATGTGAAGCACATTCACAGAGCTTACCATTGGAATCTGGAAAAGTCGCCTTGGGACTTTGGGCCGGTGCTGCTGCCTCTGATGTTGAAAGGATTCCTGTTGTTGGTGTTGCTGCTGTTGTTGTGATTTCTGACACTGTTGTTGTCGTCTGTGTTGTTGTCGAATCAAAAACTGCAGAAATATTACAAAACAGAGGGGGATGGGGGGGTTGGCAATAAATGCAAGTTTGAGTCTACCAGTAAGAAGAATGTCGTAGCAGTGGTGGTGGACCCGGGCCCTGTTCCTCGTACGTGGTTCAACTAAGTCCATCAAACGTCCCATTATCCAGCTCAAGATCTCGGTTCCTCAAAGGCTGAAAGGCTCGTTAGTTAGAACCAGATGTCAGTCATCAGGATAATCACGCGTCTTACGTTGGAAGGTGAAAGAGTCGATCACAGAAACCAGGATTTTTTAACAGTGTAACGGCAACTAAACTCAAGGGAAGAGCGTCTTTTTTCTCCGCTGACAAGCAGGAGATGATCATGAACACATATGATGAGATAATATGTTGTGGCAACTCACGGGCGCAGCACTCTGGACAGCGCCTCATGAGAGCAGCACAAAGGGCAGGGGCACCAACGAGCAAGAGGTCAGGTGACCAAAAGGGGAAACACCCCCTCAGGAGCCAACGAGCGGCCCATCCCAACGAGATGAAGGTTGGCCACACTATAAAAGACCAACCATTCCAACAGAGACAAGACGTGAGTAGAAGCTGGCTTCACGCCGGGTGTTACCACTAATCACCCTCACCCACAGCCAATGCACTGCAGGATGCCGTGGCTTAAAGGAGGTCGGGAGTGGAGGGACAGGAAGGCAGAGCTGGTGGAGAGAGCGGAAGGACTGTTGCGAAAAATAACTCTTTGGAAGGAACTATTGTTTTGAGCGGAGCTGGGTTCAAGTCACGGTTCTTTTGGTTTTGGTTACATATGTATTTGGTCATTTGAACTGGTGAAGGTTAAGTTATTGTTATTCGGTCTGTGGTTATCACGTTGTTTGTACTATTCATTTTTTGTTTCTTCAGTTGTCCCAAAGGGAGTGTGTAGGTAAGAGACCCCGGGGTTTACATACTACCCGTAGATAAACCTCTGTCTATACACACTAGGTAAGACCTGGGCAGACCACCCCCTGTATTTATCAGAGTTTAGCAGATTGTGTTTAGACTAGAGGGTTAGGGGTCTTTTTCATTGGTTAATTTCTTTGCTTTGGTTCCGCTCAGCCCTTACCCTTTTCTTGTGCAACTAGATGTGATTCCACCCACACCCGTTGGTTGCCACAATGTGTATTTGAATCATTCTGTCGGATGAATTGAACATATTGTACATCTCTCTCTCTAAAAGTTTCTTTCCTTTTTATTCTCCCCATCGAAAGCCTTTTCATTGTGTTTCCTGAGTCGATGTGACGGAGGATGTCACATGACTGTAAAGCCCTCTGAGGCAAATTTGTGATATTGTCCATCCATCCATCTTCAATACGCTCAGCCTGTGAAGGGATTAAACTATTACGTAATCATGTGAAGCACATTTACAGAGCTTACCATTGGGATCTGGAAAAGTTGCGTTGGGACTTTGGGCCGCTGCTGCTGCCTCTGATGTTGAAAGCATTCCTGTTGTTGGTGTTGCTGTTGTTGTGATTTCTGACACTGTTGTTGTCGTCGTCTGTGTTGTTGTCGGATCAGAAACTGCAGATATATTACAAAACAGAGGGGATGGGGGGGTCGGCAATAAATGCAAGATCAGTTTGAGTTTACCAGTGAGAAGAATGTCGTAGCAGTGGTGGTGGACCCGGGGGGCACAAAAGTAGAATAAATAAATCCAGGATAAGTGAAAAGGCTCAGTGTGATTAACCGGTTAATCTCACTGAGTCGACCGGTTGAGCCGCGGCTTAATCAGTTGCACGTTTGCCGAGGGAACGAGAAGGCGGAGCTAAATCAATCCAGGTGTACACAGCTGGGATAAGTGCACGTTCACGGCTTTCTTAAGTAGACCACGGTGTCCATCACAGATTTACTGATGCGGAAATGGAGAAGACTTTTAACCCGCTGAGCAGCAACTAATTATGGAAACTTATGAGACGGTGAAGCATCTAATATGCAAAAAACGGGAAAACGGCAGCTGTAATTAAACAGCGAGAAGAAGCCTGGCAGACAATCGCGGACCGACTGAATGTGGAAGGATTTAAAAATATCTACTTACTAGGAAAGTTGTAGACTGTCTTAATTGCTTTTGATATGATTGTTTTATGTGTTGGTTTTATTGCTCTGTGTTTATGTGCTAAATTTGCTGGTTTTTGAGTAGCCTACCATGTAAAGCACTGTATAAATAAAATGTATTATTATTTAGCCTACTTTGCCTTAAAAGTGAGCAGATGGAACTAATGTTCCTCTGGAAATTTACCCTGAGGATTAATTTCAAACCCTCATCCAGAATGTTTTACACCCATATGCATAAATATTTATAAGCTGTGTTTAATGTTAACCAGGACTTTTTCCAATTAAAGGGGGGGGGGGGTAGAAATGGGCATCATGGTGCAGGAGGAAACACGGGACTTTATATATCGTCCTCATCACGTTTACAATCGTTCACTCCTCACGAACAGACATGAAGGACGCCTACGAGTCATTTTAAAATGTACGCTCAACAGGCGCTGAAGCTATTACGTAATCATGTGAAGCACATTTTCAGGGCTCACCATCGGGATCTAGAGAAGTCGCGTTGGGACTCGGAGCCGGTGCTGTTGCCTTTGATTTCATTGTTGTTGGTGCTACTGTTGTTGTTGTTGTTGTCGTCTGTGTTGTTGTCGGATCAGAAACTGCTGTTGGTGGTGGTGGTGGTACTGGTGGTGGTACTGGTGGGGGTACTGGTGCTGCTACTGCTGTTTTCGTCTGTGTTGTCAGATCAGAAACTGTTGCTGTTCCTGTCGCTGGTGTTGTTGTCAGATTGGAACCTGCAGAAATGTAGTAAGTCACTCAGTGATACAATATCACAATATGCGGAGGGTGGCAATAAATGCAATGTACGTTTGAGTGTAGCAATAAGATGTCATAGCAGCGGTGGTTTTTACCACTACTAGTAATTAGTGGTACATTTAGATTTGCACAATCTAACCACCTTTCTGTCTTTCTGTAAATGATCTAAAGTTGATCGATTGTAATCCTAACCGTTGGGGCAGTCAGGTTTTTAGTGAATTACACACAAGTGCAAGTGGTCCTGTACTACACCCTCATGCAAGTGAGCCCTTGCATTATTGCACTGAAAGGTTAAGGCGGGAGGTAATCCGGTCCGTGAGAAAATATCATGTCTTCATTGTATCTAACATAACCTGCCGGCTTTCACTGTCGTAAATAAACAGCCCGCAGCCGCCACAGGCGGTTGCTGTCGCGGTATTCCTGCTCAGCAGCCCGTGCCGGTCAGAGCAGAGAGCACACAGCATCTCTGTCACCGTAAAAGTGTGGGAGACCGAGACCTCCAGTCATGCAACAGCAGTATCAACACGGACCTCTAAATGGAATGTGTTACTCACCAGCACATTGTTTTCGTACATCGAGTATTTCGGACACGTTTTCTGAACAAAAAGATAACAAATAGTAAATAAAAGGAACACACAACAGAAAAAGGAGTGTGTTTTAGTGCTCATCACCTCAAACCCAGCATAACAATCAGAGCACAGGAGGCATACTCACCGTAGTTGCAGGCTGTGACGCCAGAAAGAAAGAAAGAAAATGATGAGGCTCAATATATTTTTTTAAAGTCTTCACTAACATGCTTTGACACAATAGTTCAATAACTATTGTTATTTTGAACAATAATTAGAGTGCAAAAATATTTTGTGTCAATTTATAAAGCGACCTCTTTTGCATGAACTTTAAACAATCCAAACAAAGGCCTGTGCTGTCGCGTCGTGATTCATGCTTTGGCAGCGCAAAAGGTGCTGTTTATTTTTGCATCAATATCAGTGGCTCACAGGCTTCCATCCACTAGCTTAGCATAGAGTTCGGAGGACATGCTGAGCGAAAAAAAAGGAATGCAGGTGCCAGCAGACTATTTCTATTGAGGGGAGGAGAGTAGTATCTGTATGTGAAGTACCTCGAGAAACGTGGTCGAACCTTCCGGATATCAAACACATGATGTGAGAGAAATGGACTTTCACAGATTTTTGCTCTAAACACTCGGGAAGTATCTCGTCCTCTATTTTCTGTGGTGGGGGGAAAAAAGAGGGAAAAAAGACAAGGAAAGTGAGAAAACGTCACAATCCTTCATAATCGTCGACACCAACTTGACAGAAATGGAAGTTGGCCTCGTTCACTCACCAGGTTAAAGCAGTCGCGTAGCAATTCACACGCTTTCCTTGTTCCGTTTCCCCGCTTGCACTCCCTCTGTAAAGTACAGCTCATTTGGACCTGCGTTGGGAGGAACACACACGCACACTTAATCACATCCATTCCAGTGCGGCCTTTATTGAAGGAAATGCATTTACGTGTATCTACACGGAGCCTCAACGGTACTTTTTGCTCGCCACAGTTTCAGTGAGTTACCTTGCGATTTTCAATCACCAAACCAAAGCCTTCCTTCAGATTCACGTTGGTCTGGAGGTTGGAAGAAAGAAGTGGAGAAAGAGAAGACATTATCAATTTTTAAAATTATTATATTGACAGACTCAATTTTAAGGCAACCCCCCCCCCCCCCCCCCCCCCGGGGGGTAACTGCCACTATTACTTGCAACTTTTTTTGTTAAGGGGGTGTGTGTGTGTGGAAGTGGCTATATATTTATATATATATATATATACATATATAAAAAAATATATATATCCAAATAAATCCAGCTCGGGATGGGTAAAATATTTAGACTCTCTCACAACTGTGTACCTTTTCACACACAATTTGAGAGGGGGCAAGATGCCTCCACATGAAACCAGAGGGAGGTGAAGTAACAACACGTCTGTGGGAAGTAAAGAAGCATTTTGTTTTCTTTGTTTGCCCCTCGCACTGTCCTGGGTGTTAAGAAACACTCTTATCTTTGTTAAAAAGAAAAGATGTTCTTGGCAGTCTACTGAGCACGTGGCTGTTGTGAATCTACAGAGAAAGACATATTTGATTCAGAGTCTTTGTTCTTATTTTCCAATTGTCGCAAATCTTCCGCCATAGATATATTCATTGTAATGGTTGATTGTTAATGCATATCTTGAAAATAGATAAGACTAAATTTGATGCGTTGTGCTGGAATCACGCCCCGCAGACGGCTCAGGTTACAAGCATGAGCGCAGCAAAGAGGGAGAGAGAGCGAGGGAGAGAGAGAGGGGGAGAGAGCGAGGGAGAGAGAGAGGGGGAGAGAGCGAGGGAGAGAGAGAGGGGGAGAGAGCGAGGGAGAGAGAGAGAGAGGGAGAGATGCACAGCATCTGAAAGACAGAGAAAAGGTCCTGTCCTGTTAAATGTGTAAATAGTTTAATTTTAATCTTTGAAGTAAATTTACTTTGAAAATATGTTCACAAAATGTAATATAATTGTTAAGCTGAAAAGTAAAGTGATTCGTACTTATTTGATGAATCTTGTTATTAATATTAATTAATTTGCATTCAAAGGGGGCCTTAACACAAAATGTTTGGGAAACACTCAGCGCATGAGAAAAAACTATATTTTGAGCAGGAAGCGCGCTTCTTCCACCTTATTTTATTTTCCTATAGTAAAAGGGCCTACCAGGTCACCGCCTCACACCACTGGGTTTATTTAGTCACATACCTCATTTTGGATGGTTTTGTTTTTCAATGTATTTTTTCAAAAAATACTCCACTACATAAAACTCAGATGGGGATCTCAGAGGGGAAAGTCGAACTGTGCAGCACTGAATCTCCAGACCTCATAGAATATTATGCATTGGTGTCGATTAAACTAACCAACCGAAGGTACGGGAATCTAAACCTGCTGCATACACATTAATACAACAATTTATATGCTTTACAAACTCTACGTATCACGCTGATTGAATGTTGGACATTTACTTGTGGTGGATTGCGTGTGGTGGAGTTGTAGTGTGCTGCTCAAACAGAAAAAATTAAATTATAAAAATGATGGACATATACCAAATTTGTCAGATGGTCCAGACAGCCGCCCTCCGACGGATGCATTGTGTTGAGGAACACCTAGAAGACAACAGCGGCATAAACAAGGGCCCTTTGTGGAAGAGTCTGGGTGAGAATACATATAACATGAGTAACAGGAAGTTATATTGCACACTTACGAAGACAAACGCGTAGGTCATGTATGTGAATAATGTCATGCTGCCACCGCGATCATCCAGACTCACGCTACACAAAGAGAAGAAGAAGAGAGTCTGTCGTTGGGTTCGTCATCACTCACACAGTAACAGACACACAAACGATTCAAGCTGCCTCATCAGCATCAAAGGGAGCCGGAGATGAGGATCAAATTATGTTTTAGACTTTTCATTCAGACCACAAAGAACCATGTCAACTTGTGGTAAAAGAGCATAATATGGCTCCTTTAATAACCTTAGTTTGTAGGCTGTTTGTCTCCTAATCCCCTCTGTCGCACACAGGACAGACGCTTGCACAACCGACACTCCACCACTTCAAATCATGTTAGAGCGGAAAGCTCATTTAGCTTATTTACTCATTCGCTTACATTTGCAGGGCTCAATTTCAGCAAAAATCCCAGAATGATTTAATGCAAAACCGTATAAATACCATGTTAGTTTGAGGTCCTTATTATTTTATTCTGAGAGGCAAAACCTTCTCATTGACATCAGGGAAGTCGAGACAAAGCGTGAGCAAAACCAGTGCTGCCGCAGGGGCTCCGCTTAAGGACGCTGACACTAAATCCTTTGTAAAACGTTTTTTTGTTTAATCAGCAATTGGCTAACGTGCTTCTTAGAGCAGCCTTATATTATGAAAGTATTCTTAGTTGTATTGTTTCATACATTCTACAGTTGGCCAGGTGACATGTCTCAGCAAGATGATGTTGAAGAAGGACCGTCAACAAGCACAGATGGAACCGCAGATAGAAACAGCCTGTGTCTGCGACCTTGGGTGGGATTTAAGCTCTTTACCTGAGTACAACTGGTTTAAATTCTACATGTTTGCTTTTATTGTACACATCGGCATAATGTGCGATGGTATTCATATCTTAATAAATTCCAAAGTTTATGGGCCATTATTAAGTCCCATGAATAATTAAAAGCTTTGCTTATTTACACTGTGCTTGTCTGGTTCTCCACAGCTTTGTGGGGCACCAAATATCTGGAACTGGGAGCTACTCTAACGAGACAGAGGTGCGAAGGGCTACTTGTTTGATCCAAAACTTGCAAAAAAACAAATGCACTCACACGACTTTGACCTTTTATATAAAGCTCCGGAAACAGCAGAGTAACTGCTGGCTTCACCGGGCTGGCGAGATAAACGGTGACAGGCTGAGTCGGCAACAGGAGATCCGTCCGAAAACAAGTGCCCGAGAGTCTGGCACGAAAGCGGAGGAACAATTGGTGACAAGGTGAAGGGCGTTAGACTGACGCGGTGAGGAGTGACTGAAAAGTAAAAATAGAGTGAGTAGGGTGTGGAGCTGAGCTGTGACAGATGTATTTAAACATGCAAGATATTTATGTGTATCTGTTTCGACATTAGAAAGTCCGAAGTATCACATCTCTTTTAAACATACACTATTACTAATTACTAATAATCAAATCCGTAGCATTTTCAACAAATCCTAACATGTTCTACAATTTTTGGACAAATTATTTTTTTTATATTTTTGTGCAATATTTTAGTTTACTTTTGTTGTCATGGTGTTTTCAATGAAGGGATGGACAGACGGGACAGCAGTTCTGCGAGGAGATGTGAGGCCCAAGTGCAGGTGGACACAGTTCAGTTCTCAACACTTTTGCCTCTGTTTTTTGTTCGACATTTCATTATCCTTTTTTAACTGTAACTGATTATAGTCTGGGGCGGCACGGTGGTGTGGTGGTTAGCATTGTTGCCTCACACCAAGAAGGTCCTGGGTTCAACTCTGCACTGCAAATGCAAACATGGTAATTAATAAAAACAGTAAATTGACTTAAATCAGTTTCATGAAATTGCTATTAACACTCGCTTTTTGTAAGTTACTTGTAATTTGTGGTTAGAAAATCTGACCAGCTCAGTCTGCTTGAGCTGGATTCATTTAGAAAAAGTAAGTTTTTGATAATTGTGCTTTTTTTCTAAAATAAATGTACTGTATGTGGCTAAAAATCCAAACCCACTTGTTGGAATGTTAACATCTCTCCATCTCTACCCACCCCTCTCTCTACTCTTTATGGTGTTTGCCGAGTTTAATAGAATCGGCAGTAAGAATCTTGAGGGCGATTCTTCAGGCTCTGGACCAGTACACCCCGCGGCTCATTGACATTTTCAAAACTAAAAAGGGAACCGTTGGCTGGAAACTCAGTGAGCTGATGCAGCACATGAGCTGGATGGTAAGTTCAATCAATCAAGATCTAAATGAGAAGATTCAGACCAACCTGTTCTATTTGCTGTCTGACCTGTGCTTGTGCCAAATAACTCTGTTAACTGGTCTTTTCTCTCTCCCTGTATCATTAGACATCATTAGACGGGACAGTACTCAGCATTCAGATTTTGAACGGTGACGACTCCAGTGAATTCTTCAAGACATGTTCTGTAAGTACTAGTTACAGATATCTGCGGAGAATTGCTCATGTAATATTTTTCTCTTCTAAATAAATGTTAACTTTTTGACTTTAATTGATCAACGTGCTGCGATTCTTCTCATCAACCAACTCGGGGGGATCGGAGATCCTGACGGCTTCCACTACATAAGCCCTCAAGATCACTAAGATCTTCTGACACCAATCTGTTAGTGATTCCCAGGGTAGATACAAATCATGGGAAAGCATCATTTAGCTACTATGCAACAAACAGCTGGAATAAACTTCCTGAAGATTTAAGACTTGCCCCAACTCTGACCACGTTTAAAACAAGACTGACTGAAAACTTTTATGTTCAGCTTCGCCTTCTGCTAAACTCTACCTACATTACACTTTTAACCTCTGCCTTTAATTAAACAATTTAAATAAGATTAATTCATAATTTTATTTGCTTTTTTTAATTGTCTTTTAATTCCTGCATTTTATTTCACTTTATTGTATGAAATGTTATGATGTGAAGCACTTTGAGTCTGCCTTGTGTATGAAAAGCGCTATACAAATAAACTTGCCTTGAAGAACAGTCTCCTGGATTAGACCAGTAAAGAACCATCAGCTCTCAGCAATTTGCAAGTTATAATAATGTTCTCCTGTTATCAGATAAAGTTTCATGCTTTCATGCAACTGAGCTGGCTTGTTTACGATCTCAATAAAAAAAAAATTAAAAATCCATTCAAGTCTGTACCATGTTATGCTGGTATGCTGGTGGAAATAGTGCCACGTTGTGTTACAAAGAGTTGTTAGATGATGTTGTGAACAGTGAACCTAGCAAGGTCTACCTGGTTATGTTTTTGTTTGGGAAAACCTTTAATAGTTGTAATTAAGACTCTACCTCGACTAAAGACTAACATATGGTAGCACTTAAACTGTACTTATAACGCCACTTATCTATAGCAAATTGTTACATTGGCTTATTTGAGGAAATTGCACTTTGTTTCTTGCTCTTCTGAGTTAAATGGTTCTTTGAGATAAAGGCAGTTTATACTATCAGCCGCATGTTATGCAAAAATGTGTAAAAAGCCATGGGTTTAAAGTGTAATGTAAGTCGCTTTGGATAAAAGCGTCTGCTAAATGACCTGTAATGTAATGTAATGTAATGTTATGACTATATACATGATGTGTAACGTATGTTACAGAGGCAACAATAGAAATGGATTTTATGGTTTTTTTAAGATAGCTGTAGACATTTTCTGATAATAATATACTTTTATTACTCAGTATCTGTTAATACAAAGTTCAAATGAACACATTTGCTGCTAACGTCAGCTGTATATCTGCCCTGGAACACAATGGTCTTAAAGAACACCCGCAGGCCTTACTGGTGAGCTTTTGAATCAGAGATATGGAACCAGAGCAGTAACTTTTTTCTTCCTTTTAAAAAAATGATTTGTCATTTGTAGCCATCGGTCTCCAAAGAAAAATATTTTCTTTATATATTATATTTAAATACATTAAAAAAAAGTCTCCTGACGCAGACAGTTTTTAGCTAAATATTCGGTAAAACTATTGGTACAAATGATCGTGCAATGTTTTGAGGGGATTTAACGGTGTTAAAGTAGGCGTTAAACGGTCGACAAAATTACCATCGATGCCGACAACATATCCGGGAACCCAATTCTGGCCTTTCAAAATAAGATATCCCGCTTCAACGCCTCTAAATCGCCCCGTATAAAAGGTTTTTCATCGTCGCCCCGGCGTTGCTGACCATCGATACTTTCTCTCATCAAAGTACAATTCCTGCAGTAGTTAGACATGTACATATTTATATATATTCATGAGATTTGGCACGTAGATTATTTGACATGTATGAATTAACATCACTTACATTTTGCGGGCGATCGACAAAAAAAGGGAGACCGGAAACAGCGTCAAATTAGGAGCGTCCGGGTTTTGCATATAATGGCTTTCGCTGTCCGCGTCAGGAGACAGTGGCGTTAGAAAACTCCGCAGAAATTTTAAGAGTGCGGTCCAGACTGCCCGCAGGGGCCTGAGCGTGAAGGCTGGCGCACGCTTCTGCTTATTTACGCACCGTCGTTTCAATTCATGGTTCTAAAAGTCTTGCGTGTGTTGCAGAGCAATTCACCGCCAGAACAACAGGCGGAGTAACGTGTTTTTGTTGAAGACGACCTAGAGTCACGTCTTTGTGTGTGGAAGTCGTTGGTTTGTTTATTTATTTATCATAGACTTTATTGCCCCGTGCGTCGCCACTGCTGCTTTTCATCGCGGACACATTTTCCCGTATTTTCCTCCACTGACGCCAATGACGGCTTGTATAAGCGGTCATATTTACGCATTTCTTCCGACAAAAGCTCTTCAATCTGATCCGTTTTCTCGTAAACAGTCTTCGTTTTAATAATGGCGGTATCGGGCTCTAAAAGCGGAAATGTGAGACTCCGTAAAGTACGTAGTTAGCGGACCAATCGCAGCCTGGTGCGCTGCGGGAGGCTAGGGTAGAAAAATGGGTCGAGCACGCAAGAAGGTGTGCACAGGTACCAGTATCCAGGGCTGTAGTGGAGGGTAAATGTACGTAAACGCCGTTTACGCACCTCTGGAATTTTGGAAATAGCGTTTACGCACCTCTAAATAGCGTTTACGCACCTCTGAGTGGCGTTTACGCACCTCAAAGTTCCCTGCGCCTTGTAGTCTTCCGTTGGAATAATCCGAAATAAACTTGGTGTAATTTTAAAACAGCTAAGACTACGTTTCCTATTGTTGAACATATAAACGGCGTAGTCTGAAGCATGTTCATCTGCGCTGTATTGTGTTCTGTGAGCATCCAATCAGTGCCTTGCGGCTGCAGCAGCGACACCAATCAGGATCCAGGAGGTGTGTAAACACATACACATTGTGGATTAGCCTGCCTGCTGTTCGGAATGTGTAATATTTGTGTGCGTGCACTGACATTTAATTGTCTAAGTTCGACACGTACCAGTGAGTTTCTTTTAGTCGGCGCTGTATGCGTCCATCTTTATTAGTGCATATTTACTTCTGCGCATAAACGCGCACCTTGATGACCTCATCACAACATGACAGACATTTGAACCGGAAGTATCCAAGATACTACAGAATGGATTACCGCCGGTAATTAGCAATGGATATCAGCCAATATTTGAAGAGACCATCGAGTGCTCCCACTCTCACAGATGCCCGCAAAAGGCCTCAAGTACAAAGTAAGACTGAAGAAGATCAATTCAGGTTTTTTAAACGTTGTTTTGGTTCGCACAACATCACATTAAGACAGGGACAAACGCTACTAATGCGTATTTGAAAGCTACTAACGTGCTTTCAAATACGATGATGCAGGTAACAAGCCAGCCTTCCCGGTCCCATCTAAATAGGCCTAATAAAATGAGTAATTATCCTCACGCATATTGCTGCAGATTAGGCTAATTCATTGAAAAATTCGTCGACAGATTATGTGCAAGACAGTTAGACATAGCTAAGAGAAATGCTAAGTGAAATGTTTTAGTTTAGCTATAGAATATTCAAATTTCACGGTCAAAGTCAAATATATCAGTTTTTTACTTTCATGATGACAGGGGAGGCTCTGCCTCAAGAAAGATCCATCACATTATGTGAAGTCCTGGCTGGTGAAGCACAGAGGAGCCATGAACCCCAGAACACGCCCCTGCAGTAGTCGCGCGCTCTGTGTTCGCTGGCCGTGCACGGTAAAAGGACAAGAAAAACGCCTGGCGAACATAATTAGGAGAAAATCCAGTCAATGTTCAAAGGCTCTGCCTCCCCTGTCATCATGAGCGGGGAGCAAAGCTGTTGCTTCACTGAATAGGCCTATATGCTTAATCAATTATTTTAAGTCATGAAAGGTGTAGAGTAGCCTGTAACAAGTCAGTTCTCAATGTGAAAACAAAACATGCTGTATAGGCTATTTATGATGACATAGTACATGAGTGTTCCTTTAACTTATGTTGTCAGTGTAATTGACAGGCTGCTTAACTGGTTAACTCTTAAATTCAACATATTTTTTCAGGCAGTGAGAGGACAGGCAATGATGCAGAGAGCACAGGGAGAGGAGAAACACCAGGTCCAATAGAGAGAGAAGCACAGAGGAGCCATGAACCCGTGTTCTGGGGTTCATGGCTCCTCTGTGCAAGGCAGGACCTGACGTGGAGGACAAGGAGGCCCTCTGGGCACTACTGTGAAAAGGAGATAGTTCTTAATCTGCAATTGTCTTGTTGTGTTGTGTTGACATACTTTTCTTTACTGTTTTCTTAAATTTAATAAACTACTAACACATTTATTCATTGTCATTGATTGTATATGACTTTTACTGATAACATAATGCAATATAGCCAGGACAGCCTTACAGAGTCGCAACGCTTTGTGTTGCGTTGCTTCGCATCGCGTCGAGGTCTGTATGATCACAAAATTCTGAGTTTACCCACCTCTAATTTTACCACTACAGCACTGAGTATAATGTCACCCTTTTCTACACAAAGAAACTCTTCACTATAAAGCCAACAACACACACACATTTTATTTGACTGTTTTCTGACAGAGTTGAAGCATAAGCAGCATTACACTAATAATATACCACATGATACCTCACCAGACTGTCATATAGATAGATAGATACATACATAGATACTTTATTGATCCCTCAAGGGGGACATTTTGTTATCGCAGCATGTACAGGGAAGAATAGAATAAATAGATACACATTATATACAATATAATACAATAAAAAATATTAAATTATTAAATTAAATTAAGTAAACTAAACTGACGGACAGAGGGGGACGGAGGGGAAAGAGGGGGACGGAGGGGCGCGGCGGCGCGCGAAACGCTGACAATAAACCAAAATAAAATCCCAGTCAGATATCGATACACATTTAGGGGGAATTGACGACCGAGAGAGTCATTTTTATTTCTAAATATTGATGAATGAAGAAAGAATTGGGCTCCAGCAGAAGGGTCTCTTTTCTCAGACAGGGCAAGGTGGCAGGTCCCTGAGAACCATTACGGGTGGCAGGTCTGTGCACGTGCCTGTTTCTATCTATACACCCCGGTGGATCCCGCCGGGTTTACACCTTTAGGGGGGTGCATGAGTCGGGAAAACTGCGATGTCACTGCGGACCTGCCGTGCGTGGAAAAATACCATTGAACAGATCAATATATATCTATATGTATATATAGATCTATATCTATATATATATAGATATATATATAAAAAAATAGTAACTATTTTCCCTGGACAGTTAGTGGGCGCGCCCCTGCTATGCCGGTATGGGGAAAACATGAGGACATGTCCCCCCTCCTGGGGGCGGTCACCGTGAGCCCCCTGGTGACTATCCGCGGCGTTTCTCCGGTGACCCCCCCAACAGCTGCCCGCTGACGCACTTACAAGTTAGTCACACATAACCACCTAAATCAGATCCGAACAGCACACGCGGCACGTGGGTACCAACAGGTGAGGCGAGCCGCTGCCTCGAGCCGACACGCAATCAAACAGATGTTTCTTCCACATTAATGATATAAGACAACGGGGGGAGCAGCCTACCTTGCTGTGGTGCCGCAGAAGTGTGTTGCTCATTCAGCGTGTGCACCCATTGGGCTCTGGGCGGTTTACTTTCACTTTCCTCCTCTTTAAAGAGCAGGCCGCCGCCCCAATCCTACCCCCCCCCCTCCTCTCTTTAGGGAAAGGACGCTCCTTCCCAACTGTGCGTAAGGGTCAAACAAGCCCCATCTCACCTGCGCAGATTGCTCTTTAGCGATAAACGATCATATGGTACCGCACGCAGCACAGATAAGGATCCGTTAGGGATTAATGGACTTTTGGTGGCGGCTGGTGGATTCTTTTTTTGGTAAATCAGCCAATCAGTTTCAGTAAACATGCCAGTATGATTCAAGGCAAGAAAAAACCCGCATTATATTACTCTACTATCACAATTTACTTACATATTTTACATTTATTCCAACAGTTTAACATAATAAATACTTCAAATAAATAAACAATTCAGTATATAAATTATTATAAATCTCGTATAATAAATATATTATATTAAAGGACAAATATATTACAATATGAATATAAAGACCAACTCAAAAGCCCCACAAAACTTCACACAATTATTTTGGATAAAATGTGCCGGTTTTCATGCACGTCCTGGTTGTGTGTCCTCACCGCCGCCCTGTGTGCGACGTTATCTTTAACACGTGCGCGGTGCGAACATACGGCGTTAGCATGTAGCCAACTAGCTAGCTAAACATCCCGGTGTAGAGCTTCCCGTTCACACCGCCCCGTTGTCTGATCGGGAGGTCCGGCTGATCCGGGTTCAGCGGTTTCAGCCCTCTTTGAGGAGAGAATGTGCCGAGTTCGGGTTTGGTCTTGGAGGGACACTGCTCGTCATTGTCACGCCGCTAAATGGGCGCGAGAGCAACGTGGGGCGGCAAAGGACTGGCCCCAAACCTCAATGTATTTGTCCCTCATTAACTGTCAGTGATTGGCTGACTGATTCTTAGACCCTCCCCTTTGGGACGCGGCCAGAGCTGAAACAAGCAGACACGCGGAGAGGAGGCAGGAAAAGCGTATATATTTTGCGCAGGTATCTTAATTTACAAATATTACCGGGTATAAAATGTAGCCATTTGCCATTATGCTCTGGACTGCTTTACTTTCACTTTCCCCCTCTCTCTCCCTCTTTAAGCAAAAGACGGAACTCACAACGGTGTTTGTCCAGGTCAAACAAGCGCCATCTAGCACCCAGCACAGATAAGGATACGTTGGAGACTAATGGACTATACAAAAAAAACAACCTAGAACACACCTAGATCTAGTTGGACCAGGGTCCATACCAAAGACTGGCATCTAGTCTACATTCACTATAGAACAGGTTAGTGAATTGACATGCGGTCACAGCGGTCCGCGCGTGTCGTCAGTGCAGAGAAAAGGAAACGGTTTGTGAGAAAAACGAGTGGAACGAGCTCTCTGATGACACCGCAGAGAGCCTTCACATCTTCCGCCGCAAACTAAAGACACACCTGTTCAGACTCTAACTCCACTAAAGACTAACTAATTGTAGCACTTACATTGTACTTAGAATGCCACATATCTATAGCAAATTGGCTTATTTGATGAAATTGCACTTTCTTGTTCTTCTGAGTTTGTATCCCTATGGTTGAATGCACTTATTGTAAGTCGCTTTGGATAAAAGCGTCAGCTAAATGACATGTAATGTATCGAATTCTGTGATCATATTACTTTAAAACAGACTCAAGACACTGTTTTTGCTTGATAAAGTTAGTTATTCACCAATAAAGACCCAAAGAAAGTCTGGGGTCAATAAGTGTTTTATTTCACAAAACCATCACAACAAATTAAAATAGTTTTTGTTTTTTTTGCAGGAAAACCATTGACAAGAACATGTGTATATTGAGGTAAACACAAACACATGATGCACAACACCAACAATGTCATCAAAAAAATGTTTAATGTTCATTATCAAACTGAAAAAAATAAGCTGCAGTAATGAGATTACGCAGATATAAAACCAATACAATTGTATCCCAAAATCAAATAAGATTGAGCTAATGTTAAATTTCACACAACAGAATGCTAATTGATGAAACTGCTGCGGCCGCTAGCGGCGCTGCTACTTCTAAGAGCCTCGCTGACTGACCTGCTGAATCCATCTCATATCACTGGATCATGTTGATAACAATAACATAACGCAGTGACACTTAAAATATTAAGGCAATCTCTGTATATTTAAAATTTAAACACAGTGTGAAGGTCGGCATCCGTTTTACCAGCACACATGAGATGAATCAACTAACAGGCGTGCGCACACACACACACACACACACACACACACACACACACGCACCCACCAGGTTAGTACATGTCAACACACGTTAGCATTTGCATTGATTTATAAAAAAATAAAAAATAAAATAAAGTATATTGCATTGAAATTGTTTTACTGAATGAATCCTTCGGGCAGAAGTTTCTTAAATGCCACACATTAAAAACAAACAAACAAAATATTATTGAGGGAGTATTAGAAGATGCCAAACAAAATTAAAATGATTATTATTTTTGTGCCTGTAAATCTAAATCTCGTTTGTGGTAAAGCTCTTGGTGCGTCTTTGTCCTTTTGGTCAAAAGAGTCCACATTGTGAGCATCAACTGTACCGTTCCCTTTCTCATAGTTTATAGGATTTATGCATCAGTATAATCACTGCAGTAGCTCGCACAAACGTGGGGGGTGTGGTGGGGGGGACTGGAGGAGGACGGGGGTCCGGCTCACGTTTGCGGTCAGATTTTAAAGTTTTACGTAATCATGGCACTTGAACTGAACCAAAAAGGGGCAACAACCTAAAAACTGACACTCCCAAATAAAAAAGTCTGCACTTCCTCTTCGAGTAGACAGCAGCGGCTGATGAGGTTGCTGAGGTTTGTTTTGGCACGCGGCGCCCCTCCGGACTTTGTTTAAACAAGCAAGATGGGGGCAGGAAGCCTCCCGCTGCACACTGAGTGGTCGCCAAGTGAACCTGGCTTCTACCTGCAAACCACTACAATACAATAAGGTCAACCGTCAATTTGTTTTTAATGCAAGATCTTTACTGGGTTTGGAGTGTTGGGGCGTTGATACTTTTGATCTCAAGGCTGAGTCGGCGCCCTCATTGGCGGGAAGCGTTTAGCACAGCTAAGAGCAGCCGTCGTATGACAAATTCTTACTGAGATTTATCCGGCTATTACCTCTATATTTAGTGTGGGTGTGCGAGGCCTGTTCTCCCGCTTCACTCAGAGCTGCTTCTTTGACTGCGGCTGGGCCTGTTGACATTTGGAAGTTGTCTGGCTTTTGGGGTCGGCGAGGAGATTCATGATGTCCTGGAGAGCTTTGCTTATCTGAACTCCGAACCTGTGGGAGTCCTGACGTGGAGAAAATATCGGGTGTTAAAGAGGAGGACACGTGTAGAGAGAAAGAGGAGGCGGGTGAGGAACAGCAGACATGGGATCAGTTAGGTCAATTTTGGATTTTCAGCCTTCTAGAGAACGTCCACACGGGACACCACGGATGTTCATTTACAGTTTGGTCTGATTATATCAGGAACATTTATTGCCAAAATATGTTAGACATACAAGGAATTTGACATGGCGGTTGTTGTATCTCCGCAGCAAGTCCATGTAACTTGTCAGCAGCTACAGTTAAGCACAGATACCAAAATAATTCTGTACCCAGTCATTTCCAATTAAAACTTAACCACAGTGAAAGGGGAACTGAAAAACGGCCCACAAAGCAGAGCCGTTCATTCTGCTCAGCCAAGACACAATCCTTCCACACAGAAAACCCTGACTCCGCTCTGGCTGCATGTTCCTTGGCCAACAGAGAGGAGAAAGCTCACTCTGTAGGAGTTATTGAAAAGGGATTGCAAACAGAAGGTCTTTTTCATGCTTTAGGGGATCTGGAATCCCAACATCCCAGCTGAAAACTAAATGACCTACCTGTGCCCAGTCTGAGGGGGAAAGTTGCAGAATGAAGTTATAACGCAAGGAAATCATTACCAGGCACAGCAAACACCATCTGGGAATTGTTACTTACAGTTTCGCTGCAGGAGTGTTTGGACGACACGTGGAAGTTGATCATATCCTCGCCCACGATGATGTATGAAACGCCGTAACCGTCGTCGGCAACCTGACGTGACGCGAGAGGTGAAAGTGAGCCTTGCGTGCACGCGCACACGCGCGCGCACACGCGCACGCACACGCACACGCGCACGCACACGCACACACACAACAGTCACAGCTTCAGGAAAGACCGAGCGCCACTCACCGGTCCGAAGCCGCCCCCCAGCGAAATGAAGTCGGGGTGGTTCTTCAGGTCGAACAGCTCCATCTGCTGCACTGGTGTCTGGCTGGTGGAGAGACGCCACGGCTCTGACAGCACCTGGAGGAGGGAGGACGAGGTCACACAACCCGTCGCTCCAGCAAGGAGACGGAAACTGAGAGCGAACATCTGAGGAAAGCAGAAGCTCACCTCTTTGAGGAACGGCGAGTCCACTCCCAGGTATTTGGACACCACGTACAGACAGAAGAGGTGTCGGTCGATTCCGGCTCCGGTCATGGCCATCCGATAGAGGTTCTGGTGCCTCTCGGAGGCCAGTCGGAAGAGATGCCTGCATTGGTCCACTGCCTGACGAAACAAAAACACGATGACGCTTAAGGAGTCGGACAGTTTCTTTGGGTGACAATTTTGTTTTTTAAATTCGACTTCGAGAGCAAAACGTTGGACACGATGTACCTCTTTGGTCTCCAGCGCTCTGACGAAGGCGCTGCTCTCGTTGGAGCAGGAGCGCACGGTCTCCGTCCGGCCCTCCCTGAACAGACGGGTCATGGACGCCTCGTACGTCAGACAAAAGCCACCGCGGTCCTGCGGGAAGAGGAGACGAGGCAAGTATCGTAAAAATCACATTTGCAGACTGCAAATGAGAAAAATTCAACGTGTACTAAACCACCACCGCGGGCGTTCTCACCCTGAAGTATGCCAGCTGTAAGCCGATCTGTATGAACGCGTCGGGGCTGACACGGAGCTTCTTGATGCGGCCTTTCCCAAAGTCTCTGAAAGGAAACACGTGGCAGTCCACGTCGTCCGCCAGCGCCTGGGCCACGACCAGCGAACTGGATGCCTGAGCCTGAACCTGAGAGGGAGCGGAGAGAGAGACATAAGAAGTGGATCGTTCGGACATTTGGTTGAACTGCATATTTTTTGCCCCAATCTCAAGTCATCACAGATTGGACATTGTTCTGGCAGACAACGGAACCACCAGCTGTGATTATCTGGAGATTATCGGGACGCTAGCACGTCGTAACATCTGGATGCATTGGAGTTCTACTCCGTGAAAATTAATCTATGGAGAATTATAACATCATTCAACGGTATCTTGTACTAAAAGCGCATGTAGCATCACGCACTTGTAAAAACACGTCAATCAGATCATCACTGTTACAGGCATTTTAGTCTGACAGATTAAGATTAGTGTGGAGGAAAAGTGAACCCCACCACTATTGGACCTCATCTGGGGCACAGGGTGCACAGATACGGAACGGAAACGGTCGAGCTTGCCTCCCATCGAACTTTTTGCCTTCGATGAAAAGGCCCATCGGTTGTGCCAAGTTCCTTCAAATCACTTGTGTAATGGAAGGTCCCACAGAACGCTTTTCCAACTGTGTGCATCAAATCATAGAAATGATCCACTGAAAAACCCCCTTTGAACATCTGAGCCTCCCTCTGATGTGCGCATTGTCGTACTTTCTTTAAGCATATACAAACTGAGTAGGATGCTCTCGGTAACGATTGCGGAGCTGCTGCTTGATTGTGAACAGTTCGGTCCTTCTGCGCCGAAGTCTATTGAAATATACAAAGACAAATTTCTCTTTCTAGGTCTCCCTTCATTCGGTCTAATTTCCACCACAAACGTGGCGACGAGGATGTGACGTCTGATTCCAGCGGGGCCCGGCCAGCGATCGCATCCCTCCAGGACGAGAATCAAAACGCGTGAAGACCAAAAGAAAAGACTGACAAACAATTTAAATGTTGGGGAAACCGTTCCAGTGCAGTGAAGCAGGGAAGTCCGATGCTTGCAACCCTCGCTCGGACAGTGTGGTGTTTAACTGGACTTCCAAGGTTAAACAGAAGCACTTAAGGGGTAGACAGACGTGTGTTAAGTTACTGACGGGTTGGTCGGGACTAGGGAATGAGGACAAACAACACCAATGCTCGCGGCCGAACCCAAGACACCAGAAAATATTAATCACCATTATGCCAATTCATGAGATTGCAGACAGCCTGTGGGTGGAACTGGGATTCCCAGAGGAAGGCAGTTTGAGTCAGGCAACAGACGAAAGAGATCGAGAGAAAAGGGACGTAAATGGTGGGATGATGGGATGGGATGACTATGAACATTTGAACATTGTCAAAGAAAAATGGAAAAAAGGAGGCATTTAACCCTTCATTGCAGATTGGGAAGTTTATGCAGGCTGGAAGGATGAAAGCTGATAAGCACGACCCGAACAACAACAAAAGAAATCCCCTAACTATCCTCTCCTCTCCGAGATGCTGACGATACCGCAAAAGGGAAATGGAGCGTGCAGACTCGGCAGCCTAAACGTCTGCTTCCTAAACCATGTTCCCATCATGCTTTCAGTTCCCTCCTCTCTTACAGCCATGCAGTCACGGCCTTCTTCAGATGAGGCGTCGATGGTCCTCCTCCAACTCCACATTCACGGACGCTACCCGGTATGGTCCGAACGGTAACCCTGGTTTACCTGAACATTTTTTCCCCACATTATGCGAAATTGACTCATGGCTTAGACCACGTGGGGGGAATGTTAAGTGTCATTGATGCAACGTGGTTCACAAAGCTTACGCTGTTAGACCGCTTGAACATGTAATGATGGACTTTGTGCAGCTCTCCCCATCAGAAGGTAAGAACCACTCAGTCTTATAATAGTAGACATGTGGACCACGTGGGTTGAGGTGTTTGCATCCAGTAAAGCAGACAGCAGCCACAGTGCCAAAAGCTCTGATTTCAGAAATCATTCCTCGCTGTAAATTTCCCCATTGTGGCACTAATAAAGGAATATCTTATCTAAAAGGAATATATTAACCCTGAATAAAATCTTAAGAGACAACGCTTGGTTGACAAAATGCGAAAATTAAAAAACACACTGCGCATACCATCCAGCTAGTGGAGGCACAGTAGAGACAGAATGGAACATTGAAAACAAAACTGGCCAAATGTTGCAGACACAGGTTTCCCTCTGGACGATAGGGCGAATGAGGAAACTAACACGTAGCAACTTCAGCCCATTTGAAATCCTTTTTGCCGTTCCTCCCCACGCTCTCTTCCACCACACTGCGCGACAATAAAATGTTAACATATTTCATTTGACGGTCTTCTAGTTTGTCTGGTGTAGGAAAACAGGTTGGAGCTGCAGCGAGAGAAGCCACAGGTCCTCTGCACCAACTGCGACCAGGTGATTTCCTGGTGGTGAAAGACTTCAGGAGAAAGAGCTGGAAAGCAAAGCTGTGCGAGGTGCATTCCAGCTACTACTCGTCAGAGAAACCCGATACACGCCACCCACGGACAACACGTTCTAGCTCCAGCAGGACCCAGCCAGTACAGCTGGAATACCACCAAGAGACAGACGTCACATCCATGACGTGATGTTCAAATCACGAGAGAAGGTTTTCTTCTGTGTCAGATTGAGGTTAACAAAGGGCGTCTAGATATACAAGTCATGATTAGAATGTGTTAGGGTTCGGCATAATTCAAATTCCATTTATGTCTAATATATTTACGTAATAAATGTTCCTGATATTAAGGTATATTGTGTGATTGTTGTGTATCCAAAAGAGTGGAATGTAATGGAAAAATATAATGATGCCATAATGTCCTATTAGATTAATGTCCAAAGCCAATCATGACTTTAATTATGAGGAAGTTCCACGACACCAGCTGTGTGGGAACTATGCGAGCAGAAGAATGTCACAGCACCTCTTCTCTTCTCTGTGTGGAGGAAGGAGAAGGTGCGAATTTTTCCGACCCAAGTCTTAAAACTAATCAGATCTAATCAGTTTATTGTAAATGGAGTTCTCCTTGCAGGTCTCCAAAACCAAGGTGTTAATAACCCTGTCAGTGTATAAATATATCCGTGTTGCTCTCAAACATTAAGAAGCTTGCCACTGCCTGTCGATGTATAGACTTCTTCCTTGCAAGAAATAAATGGAAAATACCACTTTGAATTCAAGTCAAGAGACTTGTGAAAGATTTTGTCATACAATCTGGAATTCACAACAGCGTCAGAATATTTCAATATCCGTGGGAAAGGACATTGGGTCTAACCCACACCCCAGGAGAGAGGGGAGAAGGAGAGAAAGGCTGAAGGAGCAGAGGACACAAGCGGATAGGATGGCAATTAGGGTGCTTTAGAAAATTCCCTGCATTAATGTTAGCAGACATAAGGTAACATTTTTGGTAGACTCTGTATCCGTTTTGACTACATCAGCTTTACCGAAGACTGAGCGGTAGAACCTGTTTAACTGTTGGCGTTACTGGACAGACATGCGAAGACAGTTATTCGGCCCCCATTTCAGTGTGAATTGGATGGTCGGGTGACCAAACATTCATTTGTTGTCTCAAAGAACTGATGTGCTGTTTCGCATTATTCTTCATTCCTGCTTGGAGGGTTTGGACAAAGATGGTTAAATGTAACCACATTGGAATTGCTCCATATCTATGAATGGCATCTATTATGCAACTCTAATGACACACACACACACACACACACACACACACACACACACACACACACACACACACACACACACACACACACACACACACACACACACACACACACACGGCGAAGGAAGGAAGTTGGAACGGTCAAGCGTATCAAACATTTACTCTGGCAAAAATTCCCAGATGACTCACGGGGGACTAAAAGGGTTTAGATCAGGAGAACCAGTTACATCGTTGTTGCATCAGCTGCTGTTGGAGTAGAAGCAGATTCCTCCACCCACCAGAAAGGGACATAATCCCCAAGCAAAGCATGATAACGCCCTTGATTTGAACAATGACAAAGTTATGGCTACTGTTGGGGAAAACTTTTCTATTAGTACTGGGAGTTGTCTGGGTTTCTCTTTGACCTCATTTGCGATGGCTCTGTGTCATAACAGCAAACAGTTATACACATACCATAAATCGGTATGTGTATCTTTTCTTTTAAACACTTACTGCTCACCGCCATGCAGGGATGGGAGAGGAGGGGAGACTTCCTTTAACATATGCGGTCTCCCATTTTGCCCTTTACCGACCTGTCATTTATGCTTTCTGGTCCCTTTCTTTTAATGGTGTAGTTCCACGGTCTGAGCAGTGTAGGTTTCCCGATGGGTATTGAAGGCTTCTCTTGAAACTAAGAAGCGGGTCAGATCTTCCTGCTCCTCTGAGTGAGAAGGAACAATTGACCCCTTTTCAGTTGAGTCATTGGACTTCTGTCTGTACTTACAGCTTGTGTGATATTTCTATATTCTAGTTAGTGATAAACGCTCAAATTACAAACAAGTTTAAGACACTTTTGATTTCCACGACAGCTACAACTTTGTTAGATATTGCAATGTGTGATTCTTTTAATTTGAGCTTTTTTCACCTACATCTTTCAGTGATCCTGTATGTCGGGGATGTAGAGGAAAAGTGAGCAGCACAACCATTGCACCTGTTCCCATGTCATCTGGGGCACACGAAACGGTTGAGCTTGCCTCCCATCGAACTTTTTGCTCATCAGTTAATTGGTTGGTGGTTCCTTCAAATCACTCGTATAACGGAAGGTCCCACAGAACTCTCTTCCAGCCAAACTTGAACTGTGTGCATTAAACTATATAAATGATCCACTTGGCCACGGGAAGTCCCACAGACGATTTAATTTAATCGCCTCCCTCTGATGTCTGCATCGTCTTACTGTCTTTAAGCATATGACTAGGACTAGGATGCTGTCTGTACCGATTCCGGAGCAGTTGCTTGACTGTGAACCGTTCGGTCTTTCCGCGTGGAAGTATGGAAGCCCATTTCCGCCACAAAAAAAAAAAAAAAAAAAAAAAGTTTAGAAAGTCGAAATTATAACTTAAGATATGCGCATGCAGGCTCCTACGTTGTTTGGTACATTGACTTTCTAAACCCTCTTGCGACTTTTTGTCAAAGGCGACCAGACCTTTGGAAAATGTTTTACTACTGGGCTTTCCTGCTTTTTGTTTTTTAAACTGACTAGTAGAATTCACCCTCCAGTGAGAACCCACAGGTTAACCAAACCGGGTGCTCTCCCAGACACAAGCTGCTGCCGGAGACCTGCGCTTTTTTTTGACATCACAGTTCCTCAAGGAACCTGGAAAAATTCCTGAAGCACGGGATTCGGTTCAATATTAAATGGACTATATTCTAAATGGCTGTTGACTGCAAAAGGTGCCCATGAAGGAATCCGAGATAGAGAAGATCAAACGTGAAGGTGGACATACAAGGAGGCTGGATTGTATTTTCATGAATAAATATGCAATGTGGAAAAAGCCGGTGTCACGGTTCATCTCCACCAAATGTGACCGATGCGAGATTTTTACAAGAAAGAGACAGAGCGGCGTGCGATGATGCGCCACAGACGCCTGCACGTACCTCTGAGGGGATGTCCCAGGCGAGCCTCTGCGGAGGAGGCAGCGAGCGGTCCACGTCGCCTTTGCAGTGCCCGTCCTCGGTGTAGCCCAGCTGGAAGGCGTCTGTGGCCAGGGTGTACTGGAGAGGTGAAGGGACATGCTCACGTTGACCAACATGTACACACGGGACACAAAATACTGAAATGACCACACGTTTGTTCATTTTTTTTTTGTTTGCTTTGGAGGTCTCTCTGGAGAAACGGTTGCACTTCTGAGCAGCAGACAAAGTTCATTTTGCGCAAAACACAGGGGAAAAAAAAGGTAATTTTATTACTTTTATTGTGGGTTTTACATCATCACTCAGGAATCCGCAACATCAGCGGTAGACAGCGGTTTATTGGGTAAAAATATTAACACAAAGTTTCACAGATGTCCTGTGCGTTCGCCTCAGTCCAGCCGTTGCGTAGCGGCAATCATTCGCATAGTTGATTTGATCACACAAACCTCCCAAAGATGAGCCACTGTCGGTGCATCCGCCCAGGAGTGCTCGGCATTCAGTCCACTCTTCCCGTTCTTGTAGATCACAATGGAGAAGGATTTATCAAACCACCTGAGGAAGGAGAAACGCAAGTCAATATTGTCTGTAATTTACATGACAAAAAAACAACGAACTTAAGAAATGTGCACAAATAATGTTCAAACAATAATGTTATATTTCATTAAAAAAACAAGATAGATATTAGTCAGAAAATGTCAGGCACTTTCTTTAAATCCTAAAATCGTGGACAGGTAGAGAGCTCAAATCCTTTTTGTGTGGTATTTCTCTGCACAAAAAATGTGTCCCTTTGGCTCAATATGTGATCAAATATAAACATTTACAGTCCCTACTTATCCAGCTACCTCCTTTCGCTTTCCAGATCTACTACTCAGCGCTGGTGTTTAAAGGGCGTAGTGCCGGATTAGGTTCATCAATCTTGCATCATGTTAACATGTCGTCTCTAAAAACACGCTGGCCTCTAAATATTTAGAAAAATACAATTTAAAAATCTAACAGTTTGCAACGTTTCTTTTATCATATGAGCTCAATGTAGTATTGGTGGGTGCAGGAGCTTCATGAATGGTTTGTCTGGGGAATTAAACGCACCGGAAAGCAGAGATAATGTATCTCTGGCTGCAATGCCGACGGCCATCTAATTGCTTCCCCGCGTCTCCACGCTCACCTATCGTAACATTTGCCGTGCAGCAGGGACTTGGCGTAGCGGTCCAAGTTCCCCGCCGGGTCCTCCCCCCTCATGCCTTGCTCCTCGTCGTCCAACGTCACGAAAAAGGCAGCCCTCTCGATGCAATCCAGCGACCGCTTGTTGATGCCGGAGCTGAAGTGCCGCTCCCTCATCTGGAACCAAGGAACCCTGGGACGGAAAGACAGACAAACAGAAAAGATCCATTCAAGAGGTTGACATTTGAATCCTAAAACGGTCTACCCATGTCTATTTATTCTACACCAACGTTGTCTACAGTGGCGGTTTTAGCTTCTTATCAGCAACTTTTTTGGTTCCTGCTCAAACGGGTGACATCCGCTACAAGGATGTGTCTAAAGGGTTTGTGTTCCCCGCTTGTTGTTGGTGATAAGATCATTGCATAATTTACCAGAATTACATTAGGTAATTCCCAAAAAGTGTTAGTAATCAGTTGACTGCACATCATCACCAGTATGATAACATCAAGGATGGGCACACACAGACACATGTGTGTCAGAAAAGCCCCTTCCTCCCTCCTTGTTGCCGATCCGTCTGCAAAAAACACTTTTGCTTTTAAAGCCAAAGGAACCACACCCACCCACACACACACACACAAACACACACAAACACCTTTCCCCAGCGGTGAGAGCTCCCAGTTTCTCCTCTCCGGGCTGCGGGGGTGAAGGGTCGTCCAGGATCCTCTGGATCTGGTGCTCGAGCTCCCTGGGAGACAACAGCCGGCCCGCCAGGTACACCCACAGGCGGAAGAAACGGCCCCTGTGGTACACCGCCACAAACTCACTGTCCTGCCAGTGCTGCAGCACATCTGGGGAGGAGCAGAGGCGGTTATAACTCATCCGCTCCAACAGGAATTCATTTTAATAAAGCTTATTCTTTCAATGCAAGATGTGTGTTACCAGTCTCGACTCCCGGGGTGCGTGTGGTGTTGAACATCCTCTCACACTGAGCGGCACACAGAGGGATGACTGTGCCCGGAACACGACTCTGAAATTAATGAACACACACATTGCTATTGCAACATTCACTTTCGTCGAGCATGGCGTCAGCCCACATGTGGTTTGGATTATTAATTATTAGGGTGTCACAGACTACACGCGCTGAGGAAAAAGAAGTTGAACGAAATGTGGGGAAAGTCAAAAGAAGTGAGAACGAGACCAAACTGTTCAATGCAGCATCTTTATGTACACTCTTTACTTTTAAAAGCATATTTTCACTTTCATTTTACCATTTAAACGTATGTATTTTTATGATTACATTTGTATTCATTTGTTTCTCAAATACATTTGAAGATCCAACAATCATTATTTTGCATTTTATACATTTATTATTTATATAGCAATCTGAGATAACAGGATCTGTCGAGTAGCGGGGGAGGTCGAGTTCCTACAGCAAAACGGATGTACATTGACGGGAGGAAATGACCGGGAGGACAACAGTGCAGCAGGTTAAGTGGCTGCAGCTCTCTCGCTCGGTGGTGGAAGGATTTCAATGAAAAAAAAAGGAAATCCATGTCACTTAATAGAGAAAAAGTGATGGACCAACATTGCCAGATGAGGAATGAATTGATGCATAATACAACACTAACTTTCTTCTTGCTCGTCTCTCCTGGGTGAATTTGTATTTACAGTAGTTCTGCACGGTATTCCGGTATAACTGTTTAAGATTTCCGTACGGTATGAATTTCTCACGTACCGTCGTAACACCTGACGTTGCTCTTCGGCAGGCAGAATTTATTCTTACACGTCATCACAGAACGGCTAGCGGCCGGAGCTCCTTGTCTTACGTGTGTGGAGATTGAGTCGTGGTTATAACTTTATAACAATAATGATTAACCCACAACAAAAACTTCTTAACTGGGTAAAACACCACAACAGCTTGTGACAAACAATTTGTAACACTAGAGCGATTACAGGAGGAACAAGGAGAGACCAGAGATGCACCAACACAACTTTGTGCTTTAAGAGAGGAGCTATGTCTGTTTAGAGGGTTTTTCGTTTAGGAAAAATATGTGCGATCAGAAAAACGATTTATTGCTATCCCTATCTCAACAGCAGCCACACCAGGCCAAACGTGCTAACGAACTAACACGCTATCTTGCCGGCCAGTTGGAACCGCTGTTCGGGTAGACACGGTCCTTTTCGGGGTCAATGTGTATACTTGAAAAAAGCAATACCGTGATACAGTCCCAGAAAAATGAAAAACCCTTCAATGAGGAAGAAGGCAGAAACCGGGTGGAAGTTGCGCAGCAATCATATGAACTCTAAAAATAGTCGTCTTTGGTCTGTGAGTGTGCGTGCGTGTTGAGACCGACTGCGATTCTAAGGAAACTGCCCTCCACAAATGGGGCTTAAATCACTCTTCCGATGAATGAGCTCAACAAAACCCCTACAACACACACACACACACACACACACACACACACACACACACACACACACACACACACACACACACACACACACACACACACACCGGCTTGAGTTCCTCGCGGTTGACTTTGCGGCGGTAGAGCAGCAGGGCAGTGATGGTGTTGCCTGCCCTAGCCGCCTGTACCGGGGTCGGTGTCACGTACAAAAAATCCTGGAAAGGAAGCACACATGAAGGTAGAATAAATGTAGAATATTTGTTTTTGTAGCATTTGTCCAGGCTGTAACATTGAGGGGAAGGCGGCTGGTTACCATGCCGTAGTAGTTGCTGTTGACCATTATTGGACCTCGGCCCCTCAAGTAGATATATTCCTCCCACCAGTCGCTCACCTGCAACACACAGCGGGACATTAATAGGGCGTTCATGAAGACAGGACTACACAAATCACTTATGATAAACAGTATTTTTGTATATAGCCAAAGTATTACTTTAGGGGGGGCGCCGTGACCACGACTAAATAACACTGGAGCCTTTGTTGAGTAGATTATCAGTGAGCTCATCATAAACACTTGTAGTAGGTTACAGGGAGCGATTATGGGGTTGTTGTTGTTGGAGGGGAGATATCTTCCGGCCAGATGGCTTCACCCAGGAGAGCTGACCTCCTGTCCAACGAGGAGCCGGTGGAAGCAGTTTAGTAAGGAGAGCATAAGAAGGGGAACAAACATCCCAACGGGGAGGGAGAAGGGGAAAGAACAGACAAGTGAAAGTAGAGAAGAAGATTTAACCAAGGTAAGCTTAACCCCTCCCTAAATAAACCCTTCAACTATACCCAGTGGCTGGCTTGTGTTCTTGAAAAGCCCCACCACCCACAGGCTGGGTGCCACAGTGCCACACACTGTTAGAACTGGCACACATTGTGGAAGCGAAGGTTTTACTGAACATAATCAGAGGCTGGATGCTGTCAAAATTGCTCAAAAAGGACGTTAGAATATTCGCTTTAAAAAAAGACAGATATTCGAATATATTCGGTTGCGCATTAGGCACGTCAAAAACAGGACAAATGAATACAACGAGACATAACTACTTGTATTGGTAAAGTACTTAAGTTTAAACCTATTTAACAACATATTACCTGCACAAAAATAAATCTCTCTCTCTCTCTCTCTCTCTCTCTCTCTCTCTCTCTCTCTCTCTCTCTCTCTCTCTCTCTCTCTCTCTCTCTCTCTCTCTCTCTCTCTCTCTCTCTCTCTCTCTCTCTCTCTCTCTCTCTCTCTCTCTGAGTGAACGGAGCGTGAATTGTTTGACAGTGTTTTCTGTTATTTTGTTTATTTTCGGTGTGGTTCTGGTGAGTGGTGTGAATGTGTGGTGGTCCGTACATACACATAAGGGAAACACTAATTTAACTGTAAACATTTAATATATTGTTCAATTTGAAGACATTTTTTTTTACTTTGGCAATAAATAAAAAAACGATCCTCATCCCTAGTTGTAACCCTCTCCCAAGAGGACAATGTCAACAACCATTGCAAATGACCCACGCAACAGAAGCATTGCCTTCTTCAAACTTCAGATCACTGTGGCGGAAACTGCCTTCGGCATGTTCGAATTCCTTGTTTTAACCCAGCGATTCCCAAAGTGTGGGCCGCGAAGGTACTGCAGGTGGGCCGTGAGAGGTCATTTACAATAAATAAATAAATAAATAAGGTTTTTAATTTTCAATTTTGAAAAGTTAATATAAAAATATGTATGATGCGGCACATTAGTTATGTGAAACATTAATTGATGAAGCATTAATCATTATGTTTTGATCAGAGTTGTGATTAAAGGTTTGGGTGGGCCGCGAAAGATTTTCATATTTCAAATTGGGCCGCGGCATTCTTGAGTTTGGGAACCGCTGTTTTAACCAATCAGATGTCAGATTCCAAATTAAAATAAACAGGCACAGAGGAAACTGTTGTAGGATTGCGTTCAAAACAATAAACTGATGACTAAATATAAATATATAATATATAATATAATAAATTGATGACTAGCATCACTTACATAGTTGGTGGCCCACAGAGCTTTAAGTCTCAGGTAGCGCTGCAGGCGGTTTCCCAGGTTGGCCTCAAACTGGCCGGCCAGCTTCGTCATGCGCTCAAACTCTGGATCGGTCAGCAGAGGGCGAGCTGACGTCAGATACTGGAAAGGCCGAGAGAAAGAGAAACATCAACCACAGTTTGCTTCTGGGCTCAATCTCTCCAACCAGACCACTGTACTGTATTGCTGTGGATGCATTATTACGTACTTGTCACTATTTCCTAAGTATCCTCTAACTCACTGGACTTTATCCATCAGACTCAAAATGAGGACTCACACCTCATCAGAGACTGGGTGTCAGTAAGACACAGCCATAGAACACACTGGAGATCTGGATGAAGTTGATTCACAGAGATTTACTTTACCCAAATAAATCAAGCTCACTAACACCAACGCGGTGATGATACAACACATTAGTTTATACATTTCTTTGACCATTCGATTGAGTGAAGCCCTCCCCTTTAATCCTAACTACGTAACTCTCCTCCTGTTGTCGTCGCACTGTTCTCCTCCTTGTCCTTCACTCGCCCCTCTATCTGGGTGTTGCTAAACTAACTGGCTATTAAACTAACTGACTATCTTGCTGGCCCTTCCGTTCTGTCCCCACACAAACACGAGACCGTTGTCCCACAGCTGGTGTCTCTACATTATCTTGTCCTCAACCTTTTTTCCTTTCCCAGTATCATGATGACTCCTGTCTTTCTATATCTTGTTATCCTGTTAGCTTCTCCCTTCCCTCTGTTGATATATTAATAGTTACATCCCTCCTTACCCAATTTCTCTAAAACAGATTATAACATGAATATATGTTGGACAATAAACATTTTCCCTCAACAGTATAGATGCAGGTGACACCCTGTGTACAACACTGTCCACGTGTATGTGTGTGTGTATGTGTTGCTCACCCGGCTCACGGTGTCTTTGATTGGTGGAACAGGCAGATGAGGCAGTGAGGTCTGGTAGCTGTACAGTAGAGGCTTCCTGCTAGACAGCAACCTCAGCAGAGTCTGAGACAGGAAATTATCATCATTATTATAGTGAGTTATGTTGTTTTTGGTCTGTCTGTGTGTGTGTGTGTGTGTGTGTGTGTGTGTGTGTGTGTGTGTGTGTGTGTGTGTTGAGACAGACTGCGATTCTAAGGTAACTCTCCTCCACAAATGCGGCTTAAATCAACCATTTTTGGCGGCTGGCGAATCTCTTCGAGCTACCAGCCAGGACGACGGGAAACAGGAGGAATTGTGGAATAATTCGCTTTAAATACTACATGGTGGCGTGGGAGGGGGGGAGGGTGGGGGGTCTTTGCCTTGAGCAGAAAAACAAACAAACATTGTGTGTACAGCCCCGACTGAGGTATTTGAGGAAACGAACGATTAAATCAAAGAGGTAAGTTAATCATTTCAAGTTTAATAACTTTGGGTGGGAGACTCCTCATCAACGTTCAGGACGTTCTGGAGTGCTCCATTTACTTTATTACCTTCATGTATCCTTAAATGCTGTAAAGTTTGTCCAAATCAAGTTCAACTAATACAGATCTCCCGAGCAAACAGAATTCAAAACGAAACCTGCTCCACTTTATTATTATAAATCAGATCTGAAGTATTTGGGTAGAATGGTTACAGAATACAATTAGGGCCAACGTCCGACAGAACAAAAAGATGTGCTGGAAAAACTTAAATAAAGATCCGTCTTAGTCACAGTGTTAGTTCAAGCCGTACGCTGTTCCCATAGAGTCCATGACCTCTTCAGCATACTTTGTGTTTTTAAACCGATAAAGAGAATCGGTCAGTGTCCCAATTAATCTCATGGATATTTCATAATGCTAAATCTCGTGTTTCAAGTGCGGAAGTGTCATCGACCAAGTGTGACCAAATGTCAAAGACCCTCTTTTAGTTGTTGGAGTGACCGGTTCTAAGCAGGTTCAGATCGCCTGTTGGAGTAAGTGTTCTCTAAAGTAGAACGCTCTGACCTCATTCAGACCTCTGAGCAGTAACTTGTATGTAATTCAGCCACGTTCCTATTTACTTATTTGTCATTTAAGTCTTTAAGTCAACTGTTTAGAACAAACACTGATGATCTGTGAGAACCGTGAAGAGGCGCTGCTTACCACCCAGACTTTGGTGGTGTTGGAGACCCGGCCGTGCTGCTCAAACATCCACTGGTGGTAGGAGAGGAGCAGCTTGAGGCAGAACCGGAGCGCCAGGATGAGGGAGAGCCACAGCAGGGTGCTGAAGACCAGCGCCGACAGCATGGTCTGACCCTGGGTGCTGAGAGACACGTGGAGGCTGCAGGGGGAGAGAACGATTACCAGCTGCCCAAAGTAGCAAAAATACATAAAACAAAACACAACGAAAATCAGGAGGGAAAATAGCAATCAATTCTAAAATTACAAGCCAGGCGTTTTCTATATGAAAAAAAAAAACTTTGTAAAAGGTAGTCTCCAAAAAACTGACTTTAAAAAGTACCACAGACAGGACTGTGATCCGTCTAAAGCGTGCACCATTACTGCCGGCAGAGGGCAGATTACAGATCTGTGGAAAATAATCTTGCAATGCTCATGAATTCAGGATTTTCAACTAAGGGTGGGAAAAGTTCTAGCTCCATCCACATCCCTCATATCACATATCACAGTGCAACAGCATCCTCTGCTGGTTAGACAAGGAAGATCATTTTATTTATTTTTCTGAATCACATGAAGGGAAAATAAAACATACTGAGTTTAATTATACACTGCCCGGCCAAAACAAGTCACACACTCACTGGCATTGTTTTTTGATAAGCTTCTGCAAGGTCACAAGATTTATTTCCATCCAGATCTTGTATTGATGATGGGAGCAAAAAGCCTCCTCCGGCACATCCCGAAGATTCTCAATGGGGTGAAGGTCTGGACTCTGGTGGCCAATCCATGTGTGGAAATGATGTCTTGTGCTCCCTGAACTGCGCTTTCACAGTTTGAGCCCGATGAACCCTGGCATCGTCTTGGAATATGCCCGTGCCATCAGGGAAGAAAAAATCCATTGATGGAATAACCTGGTCATTCAGTATATTCAGGTAGTCAGCTGACCTCATTCGCTTTTATTTGGCTGGGCAGCGTATGATCAAATGTATCAAGAATGTAATAAAATCATTGAGAAATTGAGATCCATCAATATTTGGCCATTACAGAGGCAGGTATTGGTGACAATGGGGCCAGTCTATAAAAAAGGAAGTTCTATAGTTATCAGGACAAGCTCTATTGGACATGTTCACGTATGAATACCAGGGTTGGAGAGCATGGCTCTGCAGCGCCTCCCAGAGGGGAGGGGATGGAGCTGGTTGTGTCCAGGCTTTGATGGGTGTGCAGTGATGCTCCCTGTCCTGGTGTCGAAAAACGGACCAGTTTTGGGATGGACGGCCGACTTGCTGGCCGATCCGTGCAGGAATGGAGGTGCAGAGACCAGACTGGGAAATGAGGGTGAACCACAATCAGCAGCTGCTGAGGCAGAGTCAACCAGGGCAGACAGTCCGGGTGCTGGATGGGTTCCCAAATATCCACTGACAGAGTTGGAGGCCCGGGAGATGTAGTCTGATGTCCAGGAGGAGCTCACCAAGCCAGGTTTTTAGAGGAACACGGAGCGGTGGATGCGCTGAGGTTTGCTGTTTAATGCCTTTGTCTGCTGCAAACGCCGGGGAGAACCGTTTCCTCCAACTAAAAGCGTTCCAGTTCAAAGGAAAACAGCAAAAAGTTGCCCTGTTTCACGGGTGGATTGTGGGATAATAAAAAAACTCTCTCCCGGCTATAAAATTGCAGCAAATAAGTACAGCTGCAAGTCTTTGGGGGTATGTCTCCATCTAGGAGATCGAAACGTTTGTCTTCAAGTCAGATTGGATACAGTCTGTGGACAGCGGTTTTTAAATCTTGCCATTGATTCCCAGTTGGATTTGAGGTCTGGTTTTAACTGGGCCATTTTAAAACATTAACATGCTTTGATTCAAACCATTCCATTGTACCGCTGGCTGTAGGTTTCGGGTCATTGTCCTGCTGGAAGATGAACCTCTGCCAGTCTCAAGTCTTTTGCAGACTGCATCATATTTCCTTCAAGGACTGCAGTGTTTGGCTCCATCCATCGTTCCCTCAGTTCTGACGAGTTTCCCTGTAGCTGCTGAGGAGAAGCATCCTCACAGCATGATGCCACCACCATGTGCCACTGTTGGGATGGTGTGCTCAGGGTGATGGGCAGTGTTTCCACCCCACATTGAGGCCAAAAAGTTCCATTTTGGTCTCATCTGTCCAGAGCACCTTCTTCCACATGTGTGCCGTGTCTCCCACATGGCTTGTGCAAACTCCAAACAGGATTTCTTATGGTTTACTTTCAACAGCGGCCAGATGTGTGGAGTACACGGGTGTGTCCTCTGGGATGATTCTCAGCTGTGGATCTTTGCAGCTCCTCCAGAGTCACCATGGACCTCTTGGTAGCTTCTCTGATTAACTTTCTCCTTGTCTGGCTTGTCAGTTTGTGTGATCGGCCTTCTCTTGGTAGGTTTGTGGTCGTGCCATATTCTTTCCATTAATGGATGGTGGAGTTTAATGTGCTTTGTGACATGTGCAAAGCTTGGGATATTTTTACATAAGCATACTTCATACGTAGCTACAACTTGATCCCTGATCTGTTGATGAGCTCTTTGGTCTTCATGATGCTCTTAGTTCAGTAATGCTCAGAGACTGTAGTGTATTCAGCGTAGGTCTATTCACTTGTTACACTTTGGTTGTGCACAGCTAGGAAGGCTATATTCAACTCAAACTCTGACGTGGTTTACACGTGGCTGAAAGATCCCAGTCACTTATGGCTTATTGACTTTATCTGGGTATCTTATCGGTACTTATAATCGGCCAGAACCTAAAGCATGGATCACTATCAGGACTGAAAGAGTCACATTGGTGCACAACAGTTTTAAAACAAAACTATTTGGTTTCATATTTCCTTATACGGTGGTGATGATTTACATCAATTAACAATGAAATAACTCAGTCGTATGGAAATACATATGGACAAGCTTTTATTTTCAGCGGCCTCAAACCGCAACGTGAGTTTGTAGTGTGCACAACTTCCTTTGTTTGCATGTGCGTATGTGTGTGCGTATTGTGGAAGTGGTGTTGTCGCTAACTAACTATGTTTAGTGAGCGGTGTAGTAGGGAAGTGTGGGAAAGTTCAAGTTGCAGGTGCCACACCCTTGAATGTTTTGTGTGCTTCAAAGTAATGTTTGTTTTCAGCTGACCCTGGTTCCCTGCAGTTCCTCATCAGAACGAGACTGACTGGAATTTGTAAGTTGAGCCGTCACTTAAAGCTGGCAGCAATTATTGAGTCGGAGGTCCACCAGACCAGAAGTAATTTACCTACTGGAGATATAATCATGCTACTATATCCACTGCTGCTGTATATATTAGGACTAGCCATTTGTCCATCATTATTCTGCGTATTACTCATATAATATAAAATAATATATACATATAAATAATTATAATGATATGCATGCAAGACATTGTGAATCCTTTATCTTGTTCATTCTTAATATCTCTTCATCCATCTTCCATCACACTTCTGGCCATCCTGGAAGTGGGATCCCTCCTCTGCAGCTCTACTTAAGGTGATTTTGTGTACAGATTAAAAATCTTGTGATTTTGGGCTGTGCAAAATAAATGTAATTGAAATTTAACAGCAAGAATGTGATGACATCCATGTAAAATAAGTATGTGATAGGATCCGTGAACATTCACGTGTTATTTCTTATCTGTATCCATTGTGCAGAAATGCTTTTGTTAATACCAACGCCCTCTGCTTCAAAGACGCCCTCTGCTCCTCTTGCAAAAGAAAAGCAGAGGGCGTTCAGTGTTTTCTCTACCATTATATCAGGGGGCGCCCTTGTGCCCTTATGTCCGTGAACATGGTGCTCGCACCCGCGGGCAGACTGCTACAACTTGTATGCAAAAAGGGAAATGATCAACCGTCCCATCTACCTTAAAAAGCCATACTATGGGTATCTTGAATTGGCTTTGTGCGAAGTACTTATTCATCAGGAAACATTTATTACCAAAATATGTCAGACATACTAGGAACTTGACTTGGCGACTGGTGCCTAGCAGAAGACAGTATGACAATGGACAACAAGACAGACAAGACAACATAGTGCAAGAGGAATAAAATAAAATGCTATGGGTTAGTTTAGTTATTGTATTAGCTACAGTAAATGTTAGTCAGCACGCCAAGTTAAGAAAAGTAGACAGCAGGAAAAAAAACTATCAGCTTAAACTTATTGCTATATTTAGTATTTTAATTTGCCAGACAGCCCTCAGATGGAGCTCTGAGGCCTGAATCTATTCTCTCTTCCAAACCACCAGACTCAGGCATTACTGGGTGTCTTTGATTAATATGAACTTTGGTCTTTTGGGGAAAGCAAAAGAGAGCGGTTTCAGCTCCCCTCAGAAAGGGCTGTCTGACAAATAATACGAAGAGCGTAAACTTTATTACGAGTATTATTATTATTATTGATTTTTTAGGTGGCTAAAAATACAGGAAAGTAACATGTTTAGCCCCACTTTACAAAAACTCATGTATTGCTTTAAGAAGGTAAAAAGCAGAGGTTCCAGTTTACCTCAGTGGCAGGTGTTGCTGTATCATCTTGATGAGCCCCATGCTGGGATCCGAGCGCATGTACATGGTAGCCAGGATCGCTATGACGACAAAGAGCCAGGAGGAAGGACTGGCTGGGTACACTCCCTTGATCACCCGGTTCTGTTACCACGGAAAAAGAAACAAAAAGGCAATCTTTTACAGCCGATAACAAGGCTCATTCTAGAAAGACCCCCAGGATTATCCAAGCATTAACTCTCTACGTTTACCCTCATGTAGTTAACATTTCTTCCCCAAACCATATATACCATCCCCAAAACGTATAGAACATTGTGGATTTTAAAATGCATTTTGTAAGGGTACATGTGTGGCCTCACAGCACACACTTGTAGGAACTGGCAGGAGCAGTGAAGGGAGGACGCACGCATACACACTAACAGCTATGTCTCAGTCACTCTAGGAGGGGCAGAAATGCAGGCCGGTACATGTCAAGAGAGGCTCGTAGTTGCGCTCGCTCTCTGTCCACAAGTGAGGGAACTGCCGTGCACAGCAATGAGTGGACAATTCTAAACGTGAAAGAAATGCTTGGTGATGCTTGCGAAATACGTTACTAGCGCAGGTAAATAGTAGCGAATCCGGTCAAATTTCAAAATGAAAAAAAAAGAAATCAAGTTACAAATATATATATATATATATATATATACACATGAGGGTTCATACACATTTTGACCAATGGATTTTGATGACTTCAAACTAAATGTCCATGCTGCGCTAGCAGTCGTTCCTGTAGTAGCTTCGCTAGCAGCGGCGCACTGATGTCTGCTTCCTTTAGCACGGCTCTCCCATGTTTTTGTTATCTTAAATTAACCACATGAACATAGAAATATAACACATTTCCATGACTTTTCCAAAAGGTTTTGGGATTTTATTTTTTCCATGATTTTTCCAGGCCTGGAAATGATTATTTTAAAATTTCATGACCTTTCTGTTTTCCACGAACCCTGATATATATGTTCTTTCTGTGGTGCGGCCCGGCAGTTGGGGAGCTCTGACTTAGATAAGTCAAATTGAATGTGCGATTTGACTTTATGATGACACCATTTTAAAAAAGAACAAAGAAAGGGACACACACACAAAATACCCCATCATCCTCACCCTCATGCGGCTGACTCGTTTCTTCCATGATCGTACTCCCGACAGGAAGATTTGGTTCAGGGCCTGATGGGACAGCTGCAGGTCAATCCCCTCCGGCGTTATGGTGAACTGGAACGCCACCGCCTGGTGGGCCTCCGCCATCGCTATGGAAACACGAGAGAAACCAAATGTTAGCACCAGTATCACAACATGTATTCACCTTACCAGGAAGAGGATCTCTACACTGGTGACGAAACGGTTTCAATTTACGTTCAAACCTCAATATGGCTTTCATATGTAAACAAGAGAAGACAGGCCATTTCTACTTAGTGATTAGTAACACTTTTATCAAACACCGCTACATTGGATGATCAAACTACGCGGTTGTAGTAACAAAGTAACTAAGAATCATTTATTAGGGATGAGATGATTTTTATGACTCATCATTGCAGAAAAAAAAGTGTTCATTCTTTGGTGTCTTGCATAACTTTACATCTTCATTAGTCCCCTCAGCACGTTTGTCTTGACTATTGTTGCAGAGGATTAAATAAGCACTTTATGAAGAGTTTTATAACCGGTAAATGAGTGCCAGCAGGCCGCTCGGTGTGATGGCCGTCTCTCTTGTACGAACGCTTGGCAAGTAATTTAATGTGTCAGCGGAATGTTGTTGTCCCACTGAATCCGACCGCGGCCCCAAGAACCAAGTAAAAAGCTGCTCAGACGCGTCACGTTATAAAGCGCGTTTAAATGAAAAGATCAAATTTCATAGTTGCAGCCCTGTGATTTTTGGGGGGTAATTCGAAACGTGCAGATACACACACACACATCAAAAAAAATCATTTAAAAGGTGTAAATATCAGGTGCTTACACAACAATGCTTGTCCTACATTGTTGTGTAAATACAGTATGTCCAGATAATGCTGCATCAATTCCTGCACTTGAACTGCACAACTGAAGCAGCTATGCTGTGCTCAAAAGTCCTTAATCTTTGTGGATTTGAGGGTGTAAAGAAAAAAATAAATGGTATTAATTAATAAACTTCAGCTGAGAATAGTGCTAGAGCTTTTGCCTCTTCATCGATCGGACAATATCAATTATTCAATACTGCTTTTGGGATGACAAGTCAACAGCGTGGAGGATGTCAATCAGACTGTTATATTCTTTTTGGCAGGAAACTGAATGCAACTCTGTTTTAAGCCTCCAAAGACGACATTTCTAATCTGGCTCCAGGAAGTTTGGAACGGACTATGAAGCCTTCATGTAAATTTTCAGGAAACATTGATTGCCAAAATATGTCAGACATAAAAGTCTGCTTTTATTGGCAAATGATATACTGCGTATTTAATCATCCGTGTCGGTGACGCCAGGTTTTAGAAGCAAGTGATTCATAACTATTGCAGATGGCCGTAGTTAAGGATGTTTACACTCGTGAGTGTACCGAGTGACTCAGCGGCGTCCAGACCCTTTACAAACTTCCCTTACAGTTGATCTTATCTTTTCAGTAGCAGACGGATCGGGTGTTGCCCCACAAATCGTTCACCGATTAGATAAGAAAAGACGTGCACAGACTGTTTCCTAGGAGTCTTAAGTTAAAAGGCGGAACAAAGCACAGCTGAGAAGGCATCTGGCACATAGCAGATAACCCGAACCTCTAACCCTACCCTCGACTCAGCAAGCGCTCCACAGGCAGGTTAACGTAGAATCTCCCTCCGAGGTGTCGGCCGTGTCTGCATCCAACAAACCTCTGTCATCTCCTCCCAGCCGCGCAACTGATTGCTGCACATTTCGCACTTCCCACAGCTATTTCACACAACCACATGTGTGTTACGGAGTGAAAAGGAGAAAGCTTATAATTACTTCCTATTTTTTGGGGGGGGGGGGTTCTAAACTTTCACAACACAGATGGATCGATAATCACGCCAATTAATTGGTTTACTTTCAATATGAATATTGAATATAGTATTTCAGTCGGATGCGCCGTTACCAAGGCAGGGCGCGGAGGAGGAGATGTCTGCGCTGGTGGAAAGCAAACCAACAGGGAACCATCCTTTTCCCCGAAGCCAAACAGTTCCCTTCATGTTCGCCATGCAGTAAATAATCCAAACTAATAAAACTTGAACTGCCAAAAGGAGCATTTTACAACCCTGAATGTGATTCAACATCGGTTTAAGGTGTTTCCCGAATATTTCAACTTTTATGACCATCTGCTGAACTTCTTACATTATTGTGCATATTATAGAGGCATCAATATAAAAGCTATTTTTGGGGGGGGGGGGGTTAGTTCATGCTAAACACGTTTCTGGATACCAGCTTTGTTTGCTTACAGCTTGTGAAAAAAAATTGCCATGTGTTAAAGAATATAGGTTGCAGCAGATTCAACAAATATTTCAATTCTACTGGCTCTTAAAAAAAAAGAAAAAAGAAGGAGGGGCTGAACTTTAAGTAGTGCAATACTTTACAGCTACAAGTAGCAGTTGGAATCCAAAAAAGGCAAAGATGACAAACGGGTCCAACCTGCCGGAGAGGACAGACGGGTGGCCGCTTTCTTCTTTCAGCACATCGATTAGTACACACAGACACGGCGGGAAGAAAGGCGCATTCACATACCGATACAGTGCAATATTCACCAATAGTTTGCTCTGTTTACGTTGTTTTGCGCGTATTGGCTGAGCTAGCTAGCTACCAATACGTTCCCCGGAACATCTGGATTCCATTGACGTTATATTTCAGCCACCAGCGAGGAGTTTTAGTGCGAATCCACGACTTTTTACTTTGAGGAAACGGTGAACGTCGGGCGCCACTGAGCGCGGCAGCCACGCAGCTGTGCGTTAGCTTTTGCGTCGCCCGGTTTCAACCGTTTTCAACGCACAATGGTTCGTTCATGCTCGGCAACATCTCCCACGGGCGGCGCGGGGAGAGAAAACACGTTAAGACGACGGGAGGTGGGCACGCGGCAGCGTGAGGGGTCGATTAAAGACGATTCGATTGTACCTGAAGTTTCCTTCCGAGAGTTTTCGCAGCGAGAAGGTCGATTGAGACGCGCCGTTCCCTTTTTCTCGAGCGCAGTCAGCGAGCGCGAGCCGCGTTTTGACTCATCAACAAGGAAGGAAACCGCTCCAACTGCCAGCGGCACAGATAGGTTGATCACGTGAAGATGAGTCACGCGTAGGAAAATCTCACTTTGATATTGCAAGTACACTATTTTTATATGTGTGGTTTGTTTTCTATGATATGTATTGTATTGTATATACAGTATTTATATATGTGTGGTTTGTTTTCTATGATATGTATTGTATATACAGTATTTATATCCATTGGTTTTTTTTATTTCTAGTGCAGGGTTATTTGTATTTTAATTTATTTACCCAAATTATATTTAATTTGATAAAAATGAAATAAAAAAACACAATTACCACAATTTAACTGTTTGTGGGATGAACGTATCTCCACCTGATCCAAAATAAAGTTTGTAAGAGCTTTGCTTTCGCATCTTTCATTTTACGAAAACACCTCTGGATTACTGTCAGAGTGAGAACTCTTTTTTCAAAGTGTCTTCAGAAAGCGGCAGCAATGGAGACCCGCCCACTTGTAGACGATCTAAAGAAATAAGATGAATGGTAGGAATTCACAGTGTCCCCAAAAACGAAATAGAGAATCAACTCGAAAATAAAATAATGAAATTAAAATACATCTCAAAGAAACAAAAGTACACTTTTAATTATCCTGCTGGGGAATCATCACAGTGATTACATGGCTTACTTTGTTGGGCTTTTTCCATGGTTGGTTATCGGTGGTCCCAGTAAAGTAAGTAAGGCTACACTTTACAGTTTCACTCTATACAACTTGGGCAGACTTCAACACAAAAGTCGAACTCTGGTTAATGAATAACCTACTTGTCTGTCCCTTGATACCATGGGCCGCAAATGCTTGTTGTTAAGAGTAAATACCAATGCTATAACAAATGCTGGTTTCCCTTTTTGACCGTTTGAAGACTAGCGCAGACAAGCACAGAGATAAACATTGGTCATCCTTTCCTTTCCCATTGTTTTTATATCAAGAGATATATAATAACAGATAAAATAGCCACCGTCCCATGTAATGACAATGACTGGACATTCTGTACTGTGCAAGGCAACGTAACACAAACACCCACGTTTATATGTCCATTGTTGTTTATTGGTCAGTATTTCTCACAGGCAATAATAATCATTGTCATAATAGTGCACTTTTCCTTTTTTTGTAATTATACTACAAACATTTCTCTGCGTCGTTGTCATCATCATCATCATCATCATCATTTGTTGCTGTTTTCTCGACCCGCCCTCCCTCAATTTTTTCCTGACATCACAAATTGTTCCTTCCACTGTCTGGAGTGGAGGTGCACAAACTGGGGGGAGGTGGGGGGGTTAGGGACAGGGGCGGAGAGGAATATGGGCGGGATACAAGAGATTATAGTCGTACAATTCTAACTGCAGAAGAAGAATGAGCAATAACGATGAGAGGAAGAATTGTACGGTGACTACAGTGTCGATAAAACATAGTGTACATATATATGGATGGCATACAATGGAGACAGAAACAGGCATAGTGTATTCAAACGTACACAGCATCTGCGTGAACATATACGGTGCGTATAAAATGTATACAAGGGTAAGAGACGATTATATAAGGGAGTGAGATATGTGCAGCCGGGAGAAGAATGGGCGTGGAGCGGGATGGAAAAAATACAAAGAGGAAGAATGGAGGGGGTGTAGAAATGTATGGTGAACGTGTGGGTGGGGTTGTGAGGGAGGAATGAGTGAGGGAGGGGTGAGAGTTCTTCCAATAAGATCATTTTGCAAGTTGTTCAGCTGCAAATGCGCCAAGGATCCCATTGTGTCTTTTGTATGCAAAGTTTGCTTGAAGTAGAGCAAAACCTGCCGCATGCTGCTGCCTTTCTTTCTTCCTCCTCCCATTCATATCCTTTAACTAGGCTCTCTTGACATAACACTATTTTTCATCTATGGGTGTAAGTATAAGCCTCCCTGCCCCTTTGACCTTTCCGATGTGTGTAGCCCCACTGCTAGGAGGGGCCAATCTGAGCACCAGGCTGGTAAAATAAAGGGCGGGATCACATTCAAATCTAAAATTAAACCAGCGCAACTTCAAATCTTTCTTTATTATGTCCGCCAAGACAATAGTTTGCCCGTAGCTTTCTAAACGTAATACAAAACCATGCCGAGACCTAACCCGACCTAACCCGAGTGGATGAGGGCCACATGTTAAAAAACATGTTTTTTAGGTTTCCTAACCGTAAACTCAGAACTCAAGAAAATGTTTCACATGGTGCCCTAGTTCTCCGCCATACTTCAGCCAAGGTCAAGTCCAGTGTGTTGAAAGGAATTCTTGGTTTTTAAAGAGTCGTAAACCACATTTTCCTGTTTTTCACACAGTTTGCTGGCAGTTAGTGTGCAAAGTGTGTGGAGACTATTGAAGGTCAATAAGGGATGTTTTGTGGTTTCAGTGAGGTGTTAGTCAGCGTTAACACAGTATTTCACAGGTAATGAATATGACAATGAAATGCATTTGCTGTCAGGCCATAGATAGAAAAAAAGCCTCATCCCCTTAGTTTTACTCACATGCTATTGTGCGAGTTACCAGAGACCACAAAGAACAGCTGAGAATGGTGGGAATGTCAGTTTTGCAGGTAATATTTCCAAAGAAATAGAATAGGAAAATATCAGACGTTAAATTGTTTTACGTTGTCATTTTAGTAGTACAAAAGAGTGGTCTTTGTGTGACGGTAAAATGTGGTTTACAGCAGAAGAGAGGGGAAGTAGCTCTGGGAAAGCGGGTGGCTAGCCGGTAAGCTAGGTAGCTTTTTCTTGTCCAGAATGGCGGACCGTTGTGGCAAGCGCGGCCACAAGCTAACAGCTAACTGTTCTGCTTCATTTCTGTAACTAATGTAACCCGAAAAGCATTAAAACACGATGGAATTAGAAAGCTAGCTAGCAAGCCCGCTGTTTGCTAGTTAGCTATTGTCACTAGATTGTTAATTCCACCGTGCTTAATTGCTACACTTGTTCCTGGACAAATAGGCCGAAACAAAGTGGACACTTGTTTAGCGAAAGCAATGCGCTTTCCAACGGCAAGACAAGAGAGTGAAGATTAGGCATCACGTTGCGGTTAATTACCGCTTGATTTTGCCGTCACAGCGAAACTTCACCATGGAGAGTCGCCAGTAGTTTAGCGCTCCTTATGTGGGCCTAAACTAAATCAAATGGACCAGCGCCTCAAGGAGTAATAACCTCAACACTGATGAATATCCGGCGGTTGGAGCATTTCATCTAAATGCTAAATAAACCTCCACATAGAGCTTATCTCTAAATGAGCGTGATTGTGTGTGTTAATGTGGAATATTTGTCTAGTGTTGTAGGAATGTGAACAGCTATTGCAGCCAACAATAAGCTAAATGAAGAAAATAGTAGCAGGTAAAGACACGATGTAAAGCTGTAGAGGTATTTTTGCAGCATCAAGTTTTTCAGAATCATAAAGAAGAAAGAGTTGAGTTGCTTTACAGTTTTTTTTTCCTCATGAAAAACTGGTTTGCTTTAAAGTCAGACTACTTAAAAGTGACATTTCCCTGTCCTCAGCCATCTGCTTTTTCCATTCATGAAAAAAATACAAAATATTACACTTTCAACAAAGACACTGCAACAAATAAATAACTAAATAAATGCAATTTCAATAAATATATGAAAAGAAATGTTTTCACTCCTGCAATAATTTCAAGAGTGTTTGACATTCACATGGTTGGCGCCGCCATCTACTTTGCTGGTGGCAAACACGAAAACATGAAAAAAAGACAAGGAGCAGAGTAGAAAAAAGAGGGTATCGAAAGTAAAAAATGAAACGAGACAGATTTCATTCTTTAGGTGTGCCCCACCCCCACTCCCACTCCCAGCTGTTATTGTGCAGTGTTTTATGACAACAGACAAGCCGAAGTTGTTTTGTACTTCTAGCAATCTACCTTTCCTGACAAGAACAGCATTTCAGTTCATCTCCATCTGCCTCTCGCCTTTCAAAGAGGCAGACAGAAGCTTGAGTTTAGGGCTTTGGCTTCGCCCTGCGTCCGTCTGCGTCCATTGACAAACGTGAAGCGACATAGGAAATGTTTTTAGTTGCCGAATGTGGGTCTAAAAAGCACGGAAGTCCCGTTTGATCAGCATCTTCAAACCTTTTCAGCAACTTTTAATTATTGGAATTTCAACTGCTGTCCCTACGTTAGCTTAGGATGCAAGTTTCTTCTGTTGTTGTCCTTCCTTAGCTACCTAACGGATACCTGCTGCTATCTCTCCTCTGTTTAGTCCATCTATCTATTCAGCTCCCCCTTTCTCTGGTGGGACTTTTCACTTGCGAGACATTCTACGTGTGGTGTGAATAGTGTCCTCAAAATGGGGCTAAATCTAACTATCTATCCACTTACTCTCCTCCATTAAAGGCAACACGGTATCATAGCTTTGTCAGTGTTATTCAGAAATAATGTATGGGATTTATGCTTCTTAAACACTCAAAGAAAAGCTGGTCTTTCGGTCTCGCGCCAGGCTACGCCACGCGGACCGCACCGGATCTTTGCTCCGTCATTTCCTTCTCAATCAAGGCGCCTTGATTCTTTAAGGAAGCGCATTCCGTTTGCAGATTAGCTAGCAGAAAAGAGATCCAGTTTAACAATCAAGTCCAAATCAATACCCCCCTGTGATGCCTTCTCAAAAGTTGGACGCTTTTTGTTGCTTTGCTTGAGAACACGCATGCGTCTCCGGTTAGAGAGTGAGGAGAATGGGGGAGTGCGGGTTTCCTGGTCATGTGTGGTCGGGTGGCGTTGAGGTGATGATCCATGTCATCAGTTGGTCAGAAAATGATAAAAGAGAACGACTTAAGGGGCTTTGTCTTTAGCCAGTGTCCTCCCTTGTCATTTCAACTACCTGGTGGAGGTCTGCTGTTGGTTATGAGTCCCGTGTTGCGTGATTGGTCAATGGGAAGGTCATGTGCTTTCTTGATTCGTTAGACTGGGTGGTTAACCTGTGTTCCTGGCTGTGAGCTTTTCTTGCATTTCTCTGGTCAGGTGGGATAATCCTGTTGTCGGGCTTGTCCCACCTCTGGGGGCGAAACTGTCCTTGAAAGCTGATTAGAGATCAGCTCAACTCGATCACCCCCACATGTCAGTCTTTTGTGAGGACATCCCCTTCATATCCCCCGGATCAGCTTCAAGGAAGAGCCTCCCCCATCCTCCGTCCCGTGGCTTTGGAATAATGGTAGGAAGCAAGGCGGGAGATTAGGAAATAGGGAAGGAAAGAATGTGGGGAAAAATCGAGGGAGGGAAGAGGAAAAATGCCAGGCTGATGATCCTCGCACAACATCCCCATTCAGGGATGGGACTGCGTCCCGTTGGACGACGAGAGGAGTCTGGTCTTGTCTTTCCCTGAGCCCCCCCTCTGCAAGGTGCCCCCGCTTAAGCCCCCGCTTCCGCCGCCAGCGTCCGCCGCGCGCTCCTTCTCTCCCCGCTCGGATCCGCTCTCGGAACGCCGGGAGTTCTGGCGCGATGGGGTGCTGGGCTGGCGGGAGAGCTGACCATTCTTCTCGTCTGAGGGGCCAGGGGTAGAAACCGGGGAGAGAGGACGTGAAACAAACCACTAAACTGTTGGCACATGTAGCTTGTGTGTGTGTGTGTGTGTGTGTGCGTGTGCTTCTTACCAGCCAGTGCCTGCACAGAAGGCTGATCGTGAGTACTCAGGAGCTGAGCCTGAATGGTTTCCACCACTCTCTTGAATCTGCGACTGGGACCTGGTTGGGAGAGTAGTTTTTATTCATTCATTTATTCTTACGGTTTAAAACGTTGAAAATGTAAACTCTGAAGTTAAATAAAGAATATAGAAATTCACCCTCAGGAAAAAAAATACTGAAGCTGAGGTGAGTGTCCACAAGGCCTCAACACAACAGCGGCAGGTTTTCTTTTTACATAACATTAATTTGCACGTCAATATATTTTTGTTGTTCAATTTGCTTGACTTGTTCTCTCAATCATTTTGTTTTTGTTTTATATAGTAAGCTACACGCCTCAGACAGAACAGCACACAACTGCTCGCAAACACATAAAAATATTAAAAATAACCTTTAGCTTAAAGTTTCTTTAAGCGTTCTTTAAAGTCTTGTATGCTATGTAAATATTGTACTGCAGACGGAAGCTGCTCTGGGTCAACAGGATCCAGCAACAAAGGCACGTTGCCACCGCCTCTCAGGGAACAACCGGTTGCTCACAGGAATAACCGGTTGCTCGCGTACCTGACCACCAGACTGGACTGACAACGTACTTATCAACCTCCAGTTCTGCGTTGCTCTCTGCTTGTGTGTCGTCCACACAAACACGCCGCCCTACCTGCGATCAGAGTGAAGGTGACGCTGTAGATGCCCATCTCCCGTCTGCCTTCCCGCTCCGCTGGTTCCCTCTCTCGCTCGCTCTCCCCCTCGGAGAATGCAATGTCCACCTGCGGGAGAGAAGAAATCTTGATGTAAAGAACAAATGTATTCTTTCAACTCTGCATATGTTTGAGTTTTTGAGATACGTTCATTTCTTTATAAGCAGAGTGATAAGTTAAATCAGCAATACAAATATTTTCGCGGGGTTACTGTGAAAAAGATACTAAGATGTGATTTCATGTCATATATTCCAATGCTTCACACCCCATAATTGTACAAATAAAGATACAAAGTGATGACAAACAATACGTTGTCACAGTTGATAAAAGTATGTATTATACATTAAAAGAGAATAGTAACAGAATACAAATAGAAAGTGATGTAATAATACTTGGAACTTGACAGGCTTCTGGAAGACGGAGGGTCCGCCGGACACCTTGTACTCTGCCCGGAAACTGTTCTGAGACACCACGCTGTGGCTGAGGGACGGGATCTGGACACGCAAACGAAATCACACACATCAAATATTTCATCTCCGCTTTCAATGCCCCAATTCGCACTGTGCCGGGCATGCTTTAAGTTGTCGAGGCTCCTTTACGCTGGACCCGTGTACTCACAGAGAGAAAGGCGTGGACGATGTCGGCCTTGATGGAGCTGAGCGGCTTGTCTTGAATCATAACGAAGATCTGCTCCTCTTTCTCCAGGCTGATGAAGTTACCGAACCACGACTTCTTAGCCAGTCTGCAAATGGACAAGTGTTGGACATGTGACCGATTCTTCCAGTAACACAGTTCACTTGGGCTTCACTGAGACAGTGCTCGGTCAAGGATTTGACTTTCTGAAGCAGTCGATACGGTTTAAATAAAAAACAGCAGCAGAGGAGAGAATTCTGCTGCGTCAGGGAACAAATACCCCCTCAACGCCATGAGCCTGTGATGAAGCATGAGCCGAAAGGCTGCAGATACTATTACTGTGCCCTTAAACGGGCCGCCAGGATGTCACAGCCATACCATATATATGTGGAAAACTACACAATGATCAAAGCCAATGCTTGGGTTTTGCCAGGATCATGAAAATCGAACAAATTGTCGAATTTAAATCGAGAGTTCTTTCTCGGTGGCACACTAATCTCTGCTGACGAAGTGTCGAAGCTCCAGACGCTACTAAACGGACGTAGTGGTGTGATTATTTAGTCATACGACAAACCGTTGTGTTGCACTTAAAAACCAACTGAGACTTGCGTGGACTTACTCTGGACTGGACTCGGGCGTCAAACTGGACATGTCCTCTGAAGTGGGGACTAAAAAGAGAAAGAAAGAGAGGGGGGCAAAGAGGCAGTAATTCTTCATGACCGGCGTCATCTAATTGCCCTAATTAGAGATTATCACTCAGACATTAATCAACTGCGGCGGGGGCGCGTGGCCGTTTCTTGGTAATAATAGATTCTATCTTGGACGTGAGTAGTTTAACTCTGATTGTTTAAACTGCTCATTGAGATGACAAACAACGTTCTTTAAACGAAGGTTTTATCCTGATGATCTGCACCGCTGTTCAAACGCTCCGCTCACCTTGCAGTTTGCGCCGATGGAAGCGCGGCGAGCCCAGGAGGTTGTTTTTGAACGAGTTGAGCCTCGTCCTCCAGTGGGCGGAGCTCGAGGCGGCCAGACCGCCGCTGCCGCCCGGGCTGGAGGGCGGCGTCAGCGAGGCCCCGCCGGCCCCGTCCGCCCTGGAGGAGGACGAGGATGAGGAGGAGGAGGGGGGGGTGGTGGAGGAAGGGTGGTGGATTTGGTGCACGGGCGTGCCCAGCGGGGTGGGCAGCGGCGAGCCCTGCGGCGTGACCTGCGACACAGGGGGAGGGGCGGCAGAGGAGTTAGAGGACGAGTGGATGTTCTTGGACTTGAAGACGGATGGAGAGGGGAAGTTGAAGAAGCGTGGGATGGGGGAGAGGAGTGGCGAGGGGGATGGGGAAGGGGAGCGTGGCGTCCCGAGTGGGAGGGACTTCATGGAGTGGAGGTGGGGCCGGTCAGCGGGGCACTTCGTGGGCAGGGTCTGTGTTTTGGGGTCGGGTGGCGGGCGGGTGGGCCTAGGCGTGGTGGCGCTTCCCGGTTTGGGGTCTTTGGAGGAGGAAGCAGAGGCGACTTCTGATTGGCTGAAAGTGAAGACCGGGCTCTGATGGTAGACAGAGAGAGACAGAGACGGGGAGGAAGGAGGGACGGACAGATGACAGAAAGCAATGGTCATGAATTATGGTTTATGAAAACGATTTGTTCACAAGACTCACTCAGGTGGCAAATGGATTCAGGGGATCGTGGCTGTGAGCGTCAACATGTGCACACACACACACGCGCACACACACACATCGGTGTGCGGCACAGCATGCTGTGTCTATGAAATGGGAATGTGTATGACTGAGCATGTGACGGGGGATGGAACCGGCTGGCGGAGCTAGCAGCCACAGTGTCAGCCAGAGTTAGCAGAGGAAATAAAACAGCATCACAAAAAAAATGTTGTTGTTTTGATGTACGTTGTTGTATGTTCACTATGAAAGTAAGTACTGTGTCTTCAGAAAAGACCCAACCCAACTCCAAGCCCACTGGTCCCTAACGAAGGAGGATGAGCTTCAAAAACTACTGGAGACACATATCACATTTGACTCAAACTGCAGGAAATATTACATTTATTTGGTACTATTTTTAGCTGCGGATGAATATATGTGTGATATTCTTTTGGGAATATCACACATATTTTGGGAATGATTTTTTTTTAAAACACACATTTCCCATTATCACGACAATAAAGGAACGCGTCACCCAGTGCAACACTGTGGCTGAGTGGTGTGTTTATTAATAGTTCTCTAACAACAAGGGAGCTCTATGGCGCAGAGGATTTGATTTTTCCACGGGATTCTTTCGCAATTACAATATGATCACCTTCATCATTCAAACACGACAAAGAAAGCCAGTTAACGAATAAATATACCATATATAACCATTTCACTAGTCCGTAAGACACCGGCCAAAATGTTCCTTTGAATGCTTCTAAATTTTGCAATAATATCTATGATAACATATTGGGTTTCCTTCTGCTTGTTAAAATGTGTGAAACCGAAAGCAAAAACATCACTATATGTAAAAAAGCTTGCCAGACATTAGCAAACACAAACTGGGCGCATTAATCCGCCACTGAGTGTAGTCATTTAGTGAGATTATGTGATGTAAAGTACATTTGACAGGGCATTGGGAGATTAAATTGGGAGACTGTGTGACATTAAAGTGAAAAACGTTTAGGTTAAAAACGTTTAATTAGCTTAAGATACTCAAACAGGTTGAACTCTGTGACAGCAGGTTGCATCGTGCAGCGCAGAGGCAGTGAATAGTTCTACAACACAGGTGAAGAGAGGGAAGTTCTTACCCTGGGACTGCTGAGAGGACTGGAGGACAGACCTGTGGACGCTCCACTGACTGAGCGAGACCTTTTGAAGACAGCAACAAACAACAACCATCATCGAGGCGAATGGGAGATTTAAAAGAAACATTCTACGTGTGTGTTATAAGTTAGGCTTGTCGTTGAGCTGATTTACGCTTATAATTGAAATATTAACATGAATGTTAACTATTGCCCCGACGCGTCCTACCTCTGGCTGTGTGCATTAGTATCCAGGGCCCTGCGAGGCGGGGTGGGAGACCCCTGGTCTGTGGCGCTGAGGACCTCCAGGCTCTTCCTCTCTGGACGACAGCGACCATGACGCGTCAGCATCGGGGAGTCCACGCGCTTCCTGGGTGGGTCTGAACCAAAAAAAATTGAATTTTTGTCTTGTTGCTCTTGCGTAGACCGTGAAAAAGGTTATGGAGCCGGCGTCCTCACCGAGGTCGTTTCTGGGCGGGAGATCCTCGTCTTCACAGCTCGGGTATCGCTCCTTCCTGTCCAACAGGAGGTAGTAGATCATCTTCTCCTGGTTCTCCCTGCAGAACCCGATGCAGAGGGACAGAGAAACGGAACGTCAGAAAGAGAAGGGACGCAGACAGCGTTTTACTAAGTGAATCTCAGAGTACCAGAAAGACTGAGGCTTTTTCACGGAAAAAGAACGAATGTAAATAGGACGGCCCGGTCAGGAGATCATAAGTAAACAGATATCTGCATTTGAATGCAGAATCACTGAGCATTCCGCTTTCCATTTGTGGTCTTGAGTGTTATTGACTAAACATATTTGAGCAGGCTTCGGTTCATAAACCGGAAATGGAAATGCAACCTCGGAAAGCATCGGCTGTCGTCTGACGATGATTCAGCTCTTCATTAGCTAGAAAACGTATCCTTAAATAAGTGTAGACCTGCTACTTGTGGTACAAAACCAGTGCCAGACGCCGTCTCTCGACTCCAACCCAGTTCTCAAGTTGCTAATCGCACTGCAAACCATGACGGGTTTAAGGTGCATGGAAGAGGAAGTCGATTTTTTAAATTCTATCCAATGGCTGCACGAGAAACCCCCCGAGGCAGAATCGGGCCGGGACTTGATGGGTCCAGAGACTGTTGATGCTACTCTGCTCGTTCTGTGGAGGTCAGTGAGAAACATCATCACACAAGGGGGCAACGACCGATGGGATACAAACGAGCTCTTGTTGACATTGGCTCTCTTGTTCCTGCCATGCCAGGCAGATTAATGATGTAAGCAATTCACCGGGCACGATAGGACAAAAATCACAACAACAGAAAGCGACAGAGAGAGAGAGAGCGAGAGACTTCACGGGAAGGACATTAAAGCAACCAAACACACTATTGTGCTTTTTGTTCTCAGCATGCACCCGAGCCAACACATTCTCTACAATGCCCCGTGGTCCGCGGGCCTAGGCATCAAACTACGACGTTACATCACTCATAACGGTTGACTTTTGGTCACAAACAGCGGTCTCGCAGATTTGTCCCTTGGACGACAACACAGTTTGATGCTAAGGGCCAGTGACCAGGTCGCTGTATTTCTAGAGTTGGAAGCACACCTGCAGATGTTGGCATGTGTGAGACACGACACATCTGTTCTACTTGGGATCCAGAGGTGCAGTGGATCTATTTTATATCAAATATGAATGCATTATGCAGGCGACAGTGCAGCAGGTTTGTAGAACTATTTCATGAAAGTTGTTCCTGTCATAAATTCCAACAAACACGTGTCAACACTGGCGCTGAATGATGCGTCGCCATCCGCTCACAGAGGAAATGTGGTGGGTTATATTTACTCACTCCTCACTTGTAAGGTCCTGTGTGAGTTTGACCCGGTCTCTGAAGCAGCCCAGGGAGTACATGCTCTCCAGGACGTCAGGATCCAGGTCTGTTAAGGACACGATCCTCTTCACACACACACGTCGAGGCGGCGGCTGCTCCGGGCACGGCTCGTTACGGCCACCTCTGAGAGGAAAAAATCCCCGTATGTAGTTGCGAGCAATTAAAAACGTTAGAAACATCTCAGGGTTTACTGCAAGCACAGACAGGAACTTCACAACCAACTATTATGCTGATAATTTGCAGGGCGAAGCGGTACGTTACAATGTCATTCCTATATTTCTCGTGCCAGACTTTTATGATCTAGGTTTCATAGAAAGATTTCACACATTTGCCCGGTTTTTGAAGACATCCTTTTCAACGTGGACATAACAGCTCACCTTGGAAGCTGTAGTACAAATACATTGGCATATGCAGTGGCTTCTAAAAAACCTTAAAGTTTAAGCCAAAATGGAAATTACTTTGGTGCAGGCAGAAGTTGTTATTTCAAAAAGCAATGTAGCTCATAATAGGAATCAATTTATACAATATTTACATCACACTCAGTATGTACAGTATGAGGTGTGCTGCATGTGAGAGCATTGGCTGACCCAAGTGAAAGTGTGAGAAATCACTGCTGAGTTACTTTAGTAACAGGGAAAATGTAGAGTACTTAAGAAAAAGGTAAGACTTGGTACTTACTGGTACCAGGAGTGTTTCTGTATTGCTTCTAGCTGTAATCCAGAAAAATAGAAGTCAATATTATAGCATTAATCAAAGCATGGTTTTCTGTTTTTACAGCAGATTTAACCTAAAATTACACATCAACAAAGAAAAATTGACCTGAACACTGGGGTGTGTGTATTGAAAAATACAAAGTCAGGATTGGACACTGCCGAAGGCAATTTAGCTGCACAGTCATGGTCAGAAAGTAGAAAGTGTGTCTCATACACGATGCCCCCTGATGCATACTGATGTTAGCATTAACTTCAGGTACAGCCTCGGGCTGCTTGCACGGCTGCAGACTTTTGTATCTGCGTTTATGACCTCAAGAAAAGTAACCCTGCAGTCCAGTCCTGCTTGGAATGACAGGAATTAGTCATAAAACAGTAAAATGGATGAGCATTTTTTGCACAGCTCCCGTTTCTTCGACTCTCGGTCTAAGAGTTTTTGGTTAGATGCCTGAAATAAGGTCTGTAACTCGCAATAATGCAAAACCCGATGGAAAAATCCCACAGGCCTCCAAGAGAGCCAGGGCGATGCTAACTTCCGATATTGGCCTACAAAACACTGCCATCCCTGCATACATACAGTGGTAGCCAATTAATCAATACTTGTTGGAGTAATGGAGCAGCTGCAGTCCTGCAAGCATGTAAAAAGAAGGCCTGCTGTGAACTGAGTCTGCCGAGAGGAAGCTATCAAGCAGCTGTATGCAGTCAGAGCTCTGCATTCGTTAACGTCCTCCTGAAGTGCAGTTTGCAGCACAGAGGAGACACTTCCCGTTACCTGATACCAGTATGTTAAGAAAGGCCCGTGTGGGTGCTGAATGTGCATCTTATATACATTTGAAATCTGTCTCCCTGCCTGTTTTGGTTGCCATGGACGCAACTAGCAGCCGGGGAGAGCGAGAGAGACGGTCTGACCTGGTTTCAGGCTCCATTAATCAACTGCTCGTCAGACAAATCCACGGCTTTGATTGAATTCTCCCTGTCGTAGCTCAGTGCCTAAATGGCCGGGCTTCCTCTCTGTCGACATTATCACAGTTGTCGCCGCCTCTCGGCGTCCGAAGCGTGGATCCGTCTCCCCTCCGGGCTCCGGGCCTGCATTACCACCACTCCTCTTTCTAAACCTCAGCGCAGTGGAATTTCCTGCAGCTGCTTGTTCACTCGCTCATTCATTTATTCAGTCGCCTCAATCTGCCCGTTTCTTTTCAAGTCTTGTTTTCAGGAGGGAAAGCTGTCATTTAGGTGAAAATGGAGAGAGGTCTTCGCCCCCTCCCACCCTCAGCTCCTCCATCCTTCCCTGCAGCCACCAATCAATGGTATTGTACATCCGTGCATACATTTATACCTCTCTTCCTCCCTACATCTCGCTTTGCATGAGTCACGTCTCCAAATAAACTGCTAACATGCCTTTGAAGACAGAAATAATAGCTCTGTCCTGTCATGGCTGACTCCACTGCATTCCCTTTGGGCAAAATTCCTCTGCTCTTTTCTTTCCACCTTGCTCATCTCCTTCCTCTTCCTTCTGTAAGGTCCAGTGTCAACGTCAATTTCTGTCACGTCTTCGAGGCAACGCCCGGGGGCCGGGTCGTTTCTTTTGTTCCTTCCTTCTGAATGTCTGCTTCATGCTTCATGCTCTGCGAAAAACCGCTGTGGTGCAACGTGACTGTGTGCTAAAACGCTGCCTTCCTTTCCTTCCATTCCTCAGTTCTCCGTTCATGTGCAGCTCAGAATGAAACCAGCGGCGGATTTAGCACTGACATGCAGATTTATTTTTGAACATTATGGCCTTAATTTTAACCAGAGAAAGTCAAAAGAGCCTCCCAATTTTAGAACAAACTATTTTGAAATCTGAAAAGCGCGACGCCTCATCTCGCTATCTGATTAAACTAACGTTAGTTTCATGACCTGGTTGAAAAACTACGGCTGACCTTTTAAACTCCCAGACAGGGCTTAGTTTACATAAAACAAAGACTTTCTCCTGTGGATCTGAGAATGCCCCTCATGTTGTACACATACTTGTTCCTCTCCCCGTGGCCCCGTGGTGCCGCCCTGCTCACCGTAAGTCTCTTGTCGGGGTTGACTTCTATCATTCCTTTAAGCAAAGCCTGACACTCCGGAGGAATGAAGTGGGGCATGTGGAACACCCCGCTCTTCACTTTCTCCAGGAGCTGCCGCAGGTTGTCGTGGTCAAAGGGCAGCGCACCCTGGAAGGGGACGGGTGAGGATGGAGAGAGACAGAAAGACCAGGAAGTAGGATGAGAGAGATGAATTAGTAGTGTTGAAGCACCCGTTTTTACAACAAACGTTGTTCCACTCTCCATAGTTAAAGGAATACTACAACAATTTGTGTCGTAGATATATTGTAAAAACTTGCTAAGCTACCGGTAAGCTAAGTCCAGCATGAAGTATGAAAGCCAGCCGCGTCCTACCGTAAGAAAACATGGATAGCAGCACTTAAAAAGCTCAATAAATACATTATTATTACTATTATTATATTATTTTGTTAGTTTAACTCGCACAGTAACTTAAGTGTAAAACAAGATATAATGTGTGAGTTTCAGAGGCGTCAGCAGGCAGATTTTGACTCCTTTGTCGAGCCATTCCTTTATAGGAAGCCCTGCGGTGTTGTTGTAGATGAATACAGCTTTGTCTGTGTGTTATGTTTCTCACTGAAAATCCATTCCATATGTATGTAACATTTTCCTTCTCTTGTTCTTCTTGCTCTTTGCTGGCGCATTGTCTGCCTTTCTTGGCAGGTTACAGCCACCAACTGTCATCCAGTGGAAAAGTGCGTCCCACTACCTCGCCAGCAGGATATAAACAAAACACATTCATCACAACATCGCCGCGGGCTGCCAATAGCTGTCAAAATATCCCTTTAAGATTTATTGGTGATACGCTGAAAGTCTGGCTTGAAAGTAGACTGTGGGTGAGGTTCAATGGAGTTATTGTATTTCTTACATAGCGCCAATGAAAGGGCAAAAAGAGAAAGCAACTCAATACTGTGATGAGAATAAGAGTTAAAGGATCTTCTTACGACTAGAAGAGCAAAGAGGATGACTCCACAGCTCCAAACATCGGCTCTGCGACCGTCGTACTTCTCTCCCTGAAACCCAAATGCAAGGTCATGGCAACGCACACACACACACACACACACACACACACACACACACACACACACTATGACAATGAGAGCGAAGTAACTAACCCTTATGACCTCTGGGCAAGCATAATGTGGGGACCTGTGAAGGAAGAAGATGCTATTATGAAACGATATAACCAAATGCACACAGATAAAGGACGCAGGTGCTGATTTGATGTTTTATTCATTAAATAGACTGAATAGGTGAATCCAGGCAAAAGCTACAACCCCTTACTCATTATATGTGTTAAATCCACATAGTTCCTGATGAGCAGGCAATTTAAAAACGCTTAAGCTTTGTATGAACAAAGCCATCAATTATGTAAAGTAAAGCCAAAGTGGAAGAGCCCTGAACGTGGATTATTTCTGGCCTGATTTTCACTTAATTTATTACCTCAGTTAATTCCAGTACAGTCGCCACTTTCATGCCTTCTCCATCACACCATGATGTTCATTTTGAAAATGATGTCCCATTTAAAGTTAAATAGACCATAAAGCAGGTTATGCCTTAGGGCGTGGCTACTTTGTGATTGACGAGTTGTCACAACAGTGTTGTTGTCTGTGTTTCCGTCTGCCAATCGATCTAATTCAGCACTCACCCACAACTGGTTTCCAACAAGCTATCCCCAACTTGTAGCGAGGCCATACCGAAGTCTGCTATCCTGATGTTATTCTTCTCATCCAGGAGAAGATTCTCTGGCTTCAGGTCTCTGTGACTGGACGCACACACAAACAAACAATCACAAACACCTTCAAAGTATGTATTTTTCAAGACCATAAGCTAACAAATGTATTTTAGAGAATACTTCAAATATTTTTACAGGTTTACTTTACAACGAGGCATCTCTTTTTATGTACATCTAGGCTCGCTTAAAAAACTAGCAGACCCCGTTGTGTAGCTAGTCAGTTTGTTGGTAAGTGTCATTATGTCACTTGTGTGTGTTTAAAGGGGTTAGTTTAGATTCACCAAAGTCACACTATATAACAAACTAACTAACCGATCGAGGCAGCAGCCGACCAGAATCTGTATTTTTCAGGATAAAATTTGTATTTTTTTCAACGGAGTGGCGAATTTGGACAAGCGCCCGGATAGCGGCTTAAGGTCCCTGTCGGAAACAAGGACTGTACTGCTGTCTCACAGGAAGGTAAACTGCTGTATTATAAACATAGTGGACACTTACGTTATTTTTCAAATACATCCACAGCAGCACATTTCTTTAGGTCCGTAACTCCGTTTGGACTCTCAAATCTGTGTGCGTGCCAACCAACATCTACTGACATACACTGACTACGGATGGGTACCTTCAACCAGCCCGCCAGTGTCAAATAACCACCTCATAAACACAGGGGCGTGCTCCCATATTTAGTTCTAATACATAGAAGGTCATGAGACTGGATCAAGTATGTAAATAATATTGACCATTGCAATAAACAGCGTTTCACATATCGCCCATTTCTAAAGTGAAAGGTAAGTTATGGATGAGATAGCTGGTTAGCATTAGCCTAGCGTAGGGCTTGAGATGAGCATTGTGGAAAATGGAGTGGTAGGGGCTAACCATATACATTTTGAGGCCAAGGCAGACCCGCAATGGTGGGGGAACAGACTTTGACTCTACATGGCGAAGAGGGGTTGAGAAACCAAACTGGAAATTACACAAGAATAAAAAGGCCTTAAAGTCAGCAGGCGCTCACGGACCATATGGAGTGACTGTGGCAGAAGTCGAGGGCGGAGATAATTTGTCTGAAGAACTTCCTGGCCTCTTTGGGGGTCAGCCTGCCCTTCTTAACCAGGTAGTCGAACAACTCTCCGCCAGACACATGCTCCAAAACCAGATACCTGGGGAGGGGGCAGGAGGCCCGAGAAGTCAGGCAACAGCATTGGGTGAGGATAGGGAAGAATCTTTGGTAAGTGAAAGATGTAAGAACTCATGCGCAGAATCCATGAATGCTTCATCCGTACAAAAAAAACTCAAACACACACCCACAGCCCTCTACATCTCCCATGTGATGTGGCTTTTCATCTCAGTTCTACTTTACAGAAGCTATTTTCCCTTTCAGATTCAAGGTTGTTCCTTCTCTGGCGTAGATCCAGGAAGAAGATTAAAAAAAAAGAAGAAAGAAAGCAAGACAGTCAGCGGAAAGCAGAAGGAGAACGAGATACTCACAGGTATTTGTTATTCTCATAGACGTCATGCAGCTTCAGAACGTGAGGGTGCTCTATTAGTTTAAGAATAGCTATTTCTCTCTCCACCTGGATGGAGGCGGAGAAGGGAGACGTGTGGAGAAAGGTTAAGGGGGAGGGAGAGGAGAGAGGTTAAAAAAGAATGGAGATTGAAATGTCAGGAGGACGGTACATGTGATGAAGGTAGAAAGAAAGAGAGGGAGAGAGGGAAGAAGCAAGTATAAAGGTAAAGTTAGGTCAGGTGTTGAGCAGAGGGAGACAGTTTTAAATGTTATTATACATTTTTTGTTCACTTAAAGGCAGAACGTTGTTTGTTGTAGACAGTAAGCAGAAAAAGCAAATTATTATTTACACTGGTGAAGAGTTTGAAGGATAAGTGATACAGAAAAAATGAGAAAGCTTAAGCGCAGGCCTCAACATTAAGCTAGCTCAGACCTATACCTCCTAAAACACATAAACCTCCAATAACCAATATGTTCAGAAAAATGTATCAAATCATTCTCACTAGCCGACTGATTTCACCTGAAAAAAAAAACGTAACACTCACTGTAAACTACCTCACTGTAAGAAACCTCACTGTAAGAAACCTCACTGTAAACTACCTGGCTGTGAACGACCTCACTGTAAACTACCTCACTGTAAAGTGCCTCACTGTAAACAACCTCACTGTAAAGTGCCTCACTGTAAACAACCTCACTGTAAAGTACCTCACTGTAAACAACCTCACTGTAAACCACATGGCTGTAAACAACCTCACTGTAAACCACATGGCTGTAAACAAACCTCACTGTAAAGTGCCTCACTGTAAACAACCTCACTGTAAAGTACCTCACTGTAAACGACCTCACTGTAAAGTACCTCACTGTAAACCACCTCATTACAAACAACCTCACTGTAAACCACCTGGCTGTAAACAACCTCACTGTAAACTACTTGGCTGTGAACGACCTCACTGTAAACTACCTCACTGTAAAGTGCCTCACTGTAAACAACCTCACTGTAAAGTGCCTCACTGTAAACAACCTCACTGTAAACCACCTGGCTGTAAACAACCTCACTGTAAAGTGCCTCACTGTAAACAACCTCACTGTAAACCACCTGGCTGTAAACAACCTCACTGTAAAGTACCTCACTGTAAACGACCTCACTGTAAACCACCTCATTACAAACAACCTCACTGTAAAGTACCTCACCGTAAACAACCTCACTGTAAAGTACCTAATTGTAAACAATCCCCCTATAAACAACCTCACCATTAAGTACCTGGCTGTGAACAACCTCACTGTAAACTACCTAATTGTAAACAATCCCCCTATAAACTACCTCATTGTAAACAACCCCCTGTAAAGAACCTGGCTGTAAACAACATTGCTGTAAAGTACCTGGCTGTAAACCACATTGCTGTAAAGTACCTTACTGTAAACAACCTCACTGTAAAGTACCTCATTGTAAAGAACCTCACTGTAAGGTACCACACTGTAAGCAACCTCACTGTAAAGTACAACACTGTAAACTACGTCACTGTAAACGACCGCACAGACACTGTTAGCGACTTGCTGATGAACGCAGTGGAGCATTTAGCAACTAAAGAGCAAGATATTCTTACATATTCTCAAAAGGCCAGCTATAAATATCAGACTCTCACTATCCAGGTTTGAATGAAAAATGCTCTCAAATGAGGGCATTAGTTGCTCCACTTATTTCCCCAGTTTATTTACTGATCTTTAACTCCTTCAAAATGAAGATTACCCGTTGTCATTATTACACTACTCTTTGCAGTATCAGCAGACTTGTTTGTTTCCAACAGAGCTTTGCTATTTCAGGGATAAAAGACATTTCATTTCCTATAAATTCTTCACGAAAAGGTTCCCCACTGTTCTGTTATTTATTAGCTTTGTTTTGAAGGGATGGGTGGACAGACTTGACCGTTAATGTGTCCTGTTGTCATCGGATGACAAAAGGCACAGTTAGAGGACGGCCACAATGACCAAAATAACCTAGAAACCTACATGAGGTCATGCGAGTGCTGTTTTAAGATTGACTTAAAAGTATCCAAACCTTTCCTTTAATATGAATCGGTTAGATTTAAAAGGTTGCATTTACGTAGAAAATTGATCAGGTCTCATTTCAGCACCAGCAGCTCCCTATAGCATGACTTACTAAACAGTCACACGGCCATAATGGTTTTCTCTCCACACGCTCGCCACAGTCTTCATATTGGGATTTAAGGACTTTGAAAAATGTAAATGTGTTGCTGAATCTCTTAATTTAAATCGGTTTAAAGTCACGTTTGATCCATCAGTTGCTATTTGACAATCCCTGATTAAAAAGACTGATATGATTAAAAATAAATTTAATTTGATTGTGATGCTCTGCTGCAATGGATAAATACATGTAGTTGCATGTTTATTAGATACCCCTGCACAGTCTAATGCAATCCAATACCACAGCTGAGGATGTTCACCTCTGGGAGTCTTTTTTAACTATGACCTCAATAACAAACAAATAATGAAATTATTTACATAACAGTTCAAGACAGAACCTTTGTATTCGATTGCATTGGACTGTACGGCTGCTGTACGATGCGTATCGCCATGCAGTCGATACCATTCAATATATATTGTGAAAGCAGTATATATAAAGATAATATATTTTCAACTTTGGGAAATCTGTGATAAAAACACACTGCCACATGGATTAAAAAGATGATTTGTATTATGCAATCAGAGTGGTGAGAGCTGTAGTTTGCATTCATCACAGTTCCTGTAACAGCTAACATTGTTACAGGACTCACATCGCTCTTTTGTGCAATCTGAGCCCCCGTGTGTCCCGGATCTCTGCACGTAAAAGATTAAACTGACAGTGTTTCTGAGAAAATGGCAGCGTATTGAGAAGCGTGATGCCGCGATCCTCCAGTGTGTTATTTATACTGCGCCTTAAAAAGTAGTCACCGAGTGTCAGCGGGAGGATGAGAAGTGGGCGACAGCTGGGGGAAAAATGGTCTCAAACGTGTTCTGTTTTCCCCCCTGTGCCGTGTTGGGTCCTCCGGTGTCCACAGGAAAAGGCTACTTGTAGCTAAACACGCTCTAGCTGACCCAGTAATGCGGTTACTGGCAGTTAGCAGCCGTGAGTAGGCAGCGGGCAGCTTTCCAAAAGAAATACTAGAGAACAGAGACACTATGGTGGCATCTCCAGGAGGAAAGTTCTCTTTGCGCACAAAAAGACAAACATTAGTTTAGATTATATTCAAATCTGTGTTTTTTTAGGATTCTGGAATGTGTGTATTTACCTGTTAATTCTTTTTTTCATGAGATTCACTGTGCGTTATGATCTGTGTCGGATTCGGGGTTTCCCCACACATTCCCCATCGCTGCAGGCCGCCTGAGAGAGTTGGTATGTTCTTTGTGTGCACAACCATAGAAGGGAACATGGGTTCACGTTTGCCAGAAACTGGCAAAATGCCTTTACCGTTTTTGGGGAAAGCGCTTTTAAAAAGGTACTGCGCCCTCATCTTGGCTCAAGCTCCAGATTATTTTGAAAGTGTGCAGGATTTTAAAAACAGGATTAGGGATCATTTGGGCACCGAATGTAGTCGTGTTGACACTGAAAGACAATTATTTTGCTGGTTTGTCTCAAATCCGTTGCATCCTTCATGTAAACTTTATCATGTCTCGGGTCGCTTTCTGGGGTTTCGTTTTATTTAAACCTGTTATTTGTATAGCATTGCCATCTCGGCATTGAATAAAGTTCAAAATCACAACGGGATTATCCTGGCTTGATAAAGGTTATGTAAAGGTCAAATAAAAATACTGAAACACACAATCCCAAGACGCAACGCTTTCTTGTGTCACCTTTAAAAATAGAGGAACTAGCAGTCGGCCAAATTAGAAGTAGAACGGCTTCAGTTTTCAACTCTCTATGATTAATCATTTTTTCAGCACTAGTGCATACCTTCCGCCGGAGGGGCTTAATAATGCAGAATCTTCTCTATTGCTTCAAGGCCCACAAGGCCGCGTGCCCTGCAACTCGCGAGACGAGTGCAATTCCGGACTAAAATAAAAAGCTATTCCTGCGGGCCAGACAGCTGCAGCTGGCCTCCAGCCGGAGCGTTCTGTACAGTCACAGTGATGCGTACGGGGTCAAGCCGTTACCTTCATCAGGACGGATTCAGAGAGTTTCTCTCTGTTGACAATCTTGATGGCCACCTTCTGTCCCGTTATGCAGTGGACGCCCAACTTCACCAGCCCTGAGGGACGCAAAGAGACACGGGGGGAGAGAGGGAGACCGGTTTGATATCTCACATCGTCATGTAGTGTAACAACAGGGATAAATCAGTTTTAACTGACAATGGGCCAAAAAAAGACGGAACCAGAATTTGTGTCTGCTTAAAAAAAAAAACAGGCAATGAATTCCTTTTACATCCTTGGAGGATTGTACCAAAATAAAACGGGCTGCAGATTAGATGAGTGATTCTGAATCAGCTGTTCGACCCAGACACAGAAGACCCGAAGGGAGGGGTGCAAGTGGGAGGGGGGGGGGGGGGCGCCGCTTACCCGTCTGTCCCTTCCCGAGGGTCTTCTCCAGCCGGTAGGGCCCCACGTACTGGTTGGACGGGCCCACCGTCAGCTCCTTGCTGCTCATCCTGAAATGCTACTCTCCCGATGTGAGGCGGGTGGCGTTCTGCTCCTGTGCGTGGCGCCGTCACGCACATCCCAGGCGGCCGGGCGGAGGCGCGGAGGACCGGTCGTGATTCTAACGCCGGGCCCTGCAGGCTGCTCCCGCGCGGCCAGCGGCTCCAGTCGCTGTACCTACGTGCGGGCTGAGAATAAAGTAATTTCCCGGGATCCTCTCCTGCTCCTGTCCCTTCTTCTTCGGCTTCGGGTCTTGCGTCTCCTTCAGGGCGGCACGGAGTGCAGCATCATCCGGAGTAAGAAAAACGATCGGAAGGACGCGTGAGGTTTTGACCGGTCGCCCAGCGATGCTGAGGGAGGTGTATGGTCGCGCCGAGCCCACACCCCACCTCTCCCCCTCCTCGCTATAAATAACAGTAGTTTAAAGCTAATTGATGTGTATCTTCTGCAGCCGGATAAAAGTGGCCGAAAGTCGGGCTGCACGCATCGGCCCCAGATTGATTCCTGTAAGAGCAGGGTCTCAAATGTCCCGAGACAGAATGCTCCTGATTGAATCCATTCTCTGATCGATATCAGGGACCCCCCCCACCACCCCCCTCCACGCACACCACCACCCTCCTCTTCCTCCTCGCTGCTGCTACCGTCCAAAAAATGTTTTCATCATCCTTCCTGCAGGCTCGTACACCCCCCGCCCCCTCCCTCCCTGCCTCCCCCCTCTCCTCTTTTTATGCTTCTTTCTCCCTCTGTGTCTCCTCTTCTCGTGCGGAAGCACGCGCGTCGTCCGGATAATAGTCTATTATCACAACAGCATCAGCAAGAAGAATGGGTTTTCCAATATCCGGTGCACACTTTGGCTCACCCCTCCCCGGCCCTGCATCAGGAAACAGAGGAAGAGGAGAGAAGAGAAGCGGGGGAGAGCATTAAAAATAGGAAAAAGGCAAACTAAGCCGCGGGGCCGGACCGCGCGAGACGGGGCGGGGAGGAGGCGACCCTCGGTGCGCCGGCGGAGGATCAGAGCTCGGCCCGGTGATTAATCCCGCTCCGAGAAACAACGAGCATCCTCAGCCGGCCTGGTGGTGGTATCCGAGTCTGCTTCTCTCTCCTCCCCTCTCTCCCTCCCTCCCTCCCTCCCTCTCTCCGTCGCTCTAGTCTCACTCCCTTAGCCGGCTGTGCGCATCTCCATCCGCAGCCGGCGCTTTTGGCTTTTGGCTGTTGCCTCGCGCACAAATTACAGTAATTTGAGGAAAATAAATTAATGAAATAAATTCTTTTGAGGTTAGGAGAAGTTGCTCGCACCCGACAGGAGTGTCTTCTTCTTCCCCTCCGCTGCTGCCCGTAATACCCCGGCTCCTCTTTCTCTGTTTCTTGTTACCCCCCCACCCTCAAACACTCCTCCTCCCTCTCCAGCTCCCTTCTCCTCATCGGTCAGCATCAGCATCCGGGTTCCGCTCCCTCCTCTCGCGCCCCACCCCTTTTTACTACGGCAAAGTCCCACCTTGTGTGATTGGCTGCAAGTGCAGAAGAATAAAGGCGAGACATCCAGTAGCACATGGTGGAAACCAGTAACACTGAAAGATGGAAGAGTATTCGATCGATTTAAAGCTCGACAGAATATGAAGAACAGTGTTAGAGGAATGTGCGTTTCACGTAAAGCCACAAAGCGTTTGATTTGGATGCATGAATCAATGTAAAAGTGGCTTATTATTCTGAAAACTTCTATGACTTCGTCATCATTTATTCCCATTTAATTAATGAATTACTAATAGTTTGCATCAAAAATGTATTGCTTGAACGTGGACGCCTGGCCTTTGTGTCCTGTTATGAATCATCATATTTGTTTCAAAAGTAACGATTTTCTAACGCGGATTACGTCACTTAAAGGTGCTAAATGCAACATTAAGAGCACATCTGTCTCAACATTGCTCCAGATGAAGCGACTGGTAGCAGCTAACACTGGTAGCAGCTAACAGTGCTAGAAGCTAATGGTGTAGCAGCTAACGGCGCTAGAAGTAATGGTGTAGCAGATAACGGTGCTAGCAGCTGACGGTGCTAGAAGCTAATGGTGTAGCAGCTAACGGTGCTAGCAGCGCCAATGCTGTTTTGAAATAAAGCAGAAGGTGGACTAGTACATTGTTAGCCCATGTATACAATATATGAAACAAAATGGTCGTGGGACCACAGGTCTTATAATAGATATAATATTCTATTGAAAACTTTAAAAGCTTTCTCTGGGGTAAGGGAGCAGTTATAGACATTAATCCTCTCTATTAACGTAACGTTAGCTAGAAGGTGCAGGAAGGAGTGTTTCATGTTTTGCATGGGGTTTTGGTAAAAACAACAATCCAAAGGCTCATAATATGAGATTGAGAGAACGCAACATGGCAGAGCTTGCGTTAGCGGTGCCCATAGCCAACGGTGCTAACAGTTTAACCTAACAAACTTTGGTTAGATTAATGTTACATAACACTTCATGTATAAAATAAAATAAAAAGACAATTTACGCCTCTAAGCCTGCTTTTTTGCTTTGTGACATCATGTGGAATACAGTTCTCTTATCGGCTTCATTCTGTTTCATTCAATTTCAATGATTGTATGTATTTAGAAAGCACTTAGCTCTTGAACCACCAGTGTACCCTGCTGACCGCTGGGAGGATTCATGACGCTTAGAAAACCACAAGTTTCTGGGTCATTGCCTGCTGTGATTAAGGTTCCTCATTGTGATATCTGTTTGACGCTGACTCACAAATCTTTATCCCTTATAATCTTAATCTTTTGATGCGGCTCAGATTATCTAATGGTGGCATGTTTAAATATGGGCATTCGAGTTTACTTCCGTGTGATAGATTTTATATTCTGCTGATAGTTTTCCATCCACATAAAAGTTAGGAGACATAAACATAGTTTTGTTTCACGTAAATGTGTATTTCTCCTCCAGAATATGATGCACATGCAAAAACTCTACACAACACAAACTGTACAAAAATGCTTCTCAACGTTTAAATAAATTATCTCTGGGAATGATTACTATTGTCACAGAATGAACCCGGAAACATTAACAGATCTCCATAAAAACCTGTGAAGTGATGATGTTGTAAGTGCATGATCTGACCACAGGGTGGTGCTGTTGTGCTATTGAATGAGCGAGCGTTTTTTCGGTGAGACTGAGGGATTAGATTCTAATTATTAATGACCAACACATAGAAGTACTTTATTGTTGGGAAATTCAAGTACAATTCACACTGTACTCTCAAGAGTATTACTCCATTGTGTCTTTGTCTGTATTCTGTCCTCGTTTGTCATCCGTCATGTGATACACTGCCTTTTTAGTTTAAATTTGGTGGCAGGCTTACTGGTATTTTCTTATTTTCCACTTTTACACCACTGCATTTGGTCATCATCGTTAATGCTCTACATCCATTATACAACTAGCCTCATTTAAGAATGAAGTTTTACACTGATGCCTGAATTGTAATGTTACAAACTATATTTGTGTTTTGACATAAACAAAAAAAGAATGGGACTGAAAGTAGTAGTAGAAAGTTCTGACCTCATTGTAACACCTCATATATGATCATATATGATCCTACAGGAGCCCTGTCAGGCAAATGAGAGAAAACTATTCCTGTGATGCATTTTCTAAATCTAATCTTTATTGTTTTCTCCTCTGTGTTTAGGATTTGAACACGTATAAAGGAGGTTGGTCGGTTACCTTCTCTGCAGACTCAGGCAGAAATAAAGTCTCGCCTCCCCCTTCAGTGGAATCTTTACCAGGCATATCTGATGTCCAGTGCCGGGCAGTTTACAGTGTCACTGTGTTAGTGTGATTGCAACATGTGCTGCCATGTACAGTATTGTGCAAAGTGTGCGCATTAATGATCCATGTTAACAGTTCCTATGTGCATAAAAGGGGGGGCTCTTGTTAGATAGATAGATAGATAGATAGATACTTTATTGATCCCTCAAGAGGGGAATTTTGTTATTGCAGCATGTACAGGGAAGAGTAGAATAAAAAGATACACATTATATACAATATAATAACATAAAAAATATTAAATTATTAAATTAAATTAAGTAAACGAAACTGAAACAAGAGAATAACCTTCAAAAGAGACAATAATAATAATTTGTAAAAGGAGCAGAGGAAAGGGGAAGAGCAGCAACATCACAGCAGTACAGGGTTGTTGTTGTCATTATTTAGCCAGAGATGATTTATTGTAAAGTGTTATTGCACTGGGCAGGAATGATCTCCTGTATCGGTCCTTGTGACAGCGATATAGATGAGGCTGAAGATTACAGCCTGACTTCTGTTCAAATGTAGTTGTTCGGTGTCAAAGTATGCTCCCATGCAGTGTGTTTGTGAGTAGGTGTTTGTGTTTGTGTGTGTCGGTGTTGGGATGCGGGACATGGTTGGCTCTTTCACATGTTGATGCAGGTGGAACATTCCTGGAACTATACCGAGCGTGTTTACACAGGTCATAAATGCTGAGTAGTCTACATTCAGAGAGTCACATCCCAACACCTGGACATGAGCGTCCATAATGTGCACATATGAAAAAATATACCGTACATTCACTGGGGGGAGGTATTTAAACTGGACGGTTTTTATGTAATAAACATGATCTTTCTTTTTTATTGAGGGAGAGGCTTTTTAACACAACTATACGTACGGTTTTAAGTGTTACAAACATGCACATTGTGGCTTTTACATGCACTGACCTAAAGGAGTGCAGGCTAATCTGGGAATGTGTGGGAGTGATGCCGAAAGGAGTTCAAATTTACCCGTAGGAGCTGGAATAGTGCAGCCAAACAGGCAGCTGACAGGTATTGATGTCTGCTTGTGAGTCGTTATTTGTGTGTGTGTGTGTGTGTGTGTGTGTGTTGCCTGAGAATAGCCACTTACTTGATTTCTTTAGGCAGTTTTCAGATGAATACCTTACACACTTTAAAGCCTCCTCTTTACTTAACAAATTAATGTGCTAAAGTTTGATGAACGAAAGTATCATATGCTCATACTGTACTATACTATGTCTACTACTACTGTACCAAATACACACAGGTTATCTGCATCATTTACATTTTAATTTGGTAGGAGGACTTATCAACAGCTAAAAAATGCTAATTGTCTCTGCTATATATCAACAGCCCCTAAAAAGTAGTAAAGGGCAACATGCCAATGAAGACTGAAAAAAAAATATCTTCAGCAACCAGTTTGGTAATACAGGCTATAAAAGTACATGTAGTGACATGCAGTCTATTACAACTGAAAGATAGAGAGAGGCAATAATTTTCACAAAGTTAGCTTACGAACATCACATACAGCCTTTAAGTTCAGTTTGACATTATGAGAAAGGAGACATTGAATCACTCACACATCTACAAAATAAAAAGGTGTGGACTAAATTCCATGCTCATCTTTATTGAAAACTTCTGGTTCTTCTCTCCGAAATGGGTTTTATAGATTGAAACATTTGTTAAGGAAACACAGCCTCAACATCAAGTCAACGGCATTTTTTTCAGTAGTATCCAAAATAATGGATCCGTTGCAAAGAAAACTAAGTCGTATCAATACATTCACCATGTCATATACTCAAACGCTAAAATCCACTTCATTTGAAAGAATCGTTACCCAGTTTTAGAAAACATTCCTTCAGCGCTGATGTTGTACTTACAGGTGTAAAGCTATTACACCCAACGAGTATGCGGACAGGTTTTCCCCGACGTATACAGATCAATTTTATCACCGGTTGTTAAAGGTGTGCATTGTAAGTGTTCTCCTGGTTTTCAATCTTCTGATTTGCAGTGACACATGTGGGTTTTAAGTAAATTACACCAGTCACGTCTATTTCAGCCCCTTGAAGCTCATATAGGAATAGAAAAAGGTAAAGCAAAAAAAAAGTGAATTGTTTTCGTTAAATCTTATTTCTGTGGGAACAAAATCTATCTGTAAATATAAAAATGCATTTCATGTTCGTGTTGCATGTTCATGTTCCGTCCGACGTTTAAAAAAAGAGACCAAAATACACAATCAGTTTTTTATACCAAGTATTTGATACTTTTATTTCCATTTATAAGTATTCATCTCGAGTCGACAACTTACATTACAGCTCAGCTCTGGAATTGTCTACAAGTCGATGTGCTGCATTTCAGCCGCAGGGGGAGAAAAGGGGAATGACGGTAAGACTGAGGGACACCAGACAGACCTATAGCGGGGTACGGGGTTTATGGGGGGGGGGGGGGGGGGGACTGTAGTTACTGCCACCACTTTCCAAATTCAGCCCATTTCAACACTTTAGTCACACAATGATTATCATCATCATCGTCGTCGTCGTCAACATTCAGTACAGTGCTGCTGTGAAAGAAGGGAATGCCGGGAACTTGGAGGACTCGGTGCAGTGGACCTGCAGGGGGACGACAGGAAGAAGAGAATGAGGGGAAAATGCACTTTAAGACCTGGACACTTTATTTGAGTTCCAGCTGGAAAAGAAAAAAGGAAGCGATTAAAGGATCAATAGAAAAATGATTCACAGTCATTTGGATTGTAGATTAATAATTCACAGAATTAGAACACATTCCCAGTTTAGATTTCTTTCTGGAACCTTTTGCTGTTGTTTCTTAGCTGTTGCTGTTGTTCTATTTAACAGGCCTTTTTTCCCAGTAGACTCTTTAATCTTTCCTAAATAGTGAGCCAGCATGAAACGCAAAGCGCTGCATTGTGTCTGGCTGTCAACTCATGGTAATATTCATGGAAAGACGTCCTCTGCTCTGCCAAGGCGGCACTTTGACCCTTTCCTGCTGAAAGTGAGCATATCTGCGACTCAGATATTGCATCGTCCCAAATTGCTTGCTGATGCCTCCCATTACCTCCCATTGGAGGTTGGAGGGCGGCTCCTCAGGACGTCCCCTCGGCTGCACTCTTCACACAAGCAGCAAAGGCCTCCATCAGATCCTTGCAGCCCTCGGCTCCGTTCTCTGCCACACTGCAGGGGAGAGATTAATCGCCGTTAGAGTCACGGTGACACACACATTCAAACACATTTCACAAGTAGTGGTTGCATTTCAAAGTGACCTTCTTACACAGACGGCATGTGAGCAACAGAAAGAGGAAACGACAGAACGCTTCAGTCAGCAGCAGCGGACTCAACTAAGTCCCGGTCCAACTAATTCTGTCGACAGAGCATTTTCACGCGCGAACAGGCTTTTACAGACGAAACAAGTATCCATTAAAAAATTCTTTCCTCCTATTGAAGATTTGATTCAAGACAGACAGGGTGACTTTTTTCAGGGGGCTTCTGCCAATGATCGACTCCTTCACACGGCTCGATCGCAGTTCCCAAATGAAGGACGTCCAGTAAAAAGTTCCCGCAATGAAGACTTTTCGACCACTTTGAAATGCATGAAATTGCTGAAACTGATGACGAAGAGCAGTGAAAGAATAAGAGAGAAAGCACAAGAGACCAAAGGGGGGACGAAAGCGAGAGAGAAAGAAACAGAATGCGAGCTAACAGGGGAGCAGACAGTGCCACAGTGTATCAGGGTGATGGAGCGAAAGGGAGGGAGGGAAAGGGAGGGAGAGGGGAGGGAGGGCTGCAGAAAGCCATGTGGGTGAGCCCATCTGTTTGATGGGACACCAGGAAGGAAGCGAGGGAGGGAGGGAGGGAGGGAGGTCGCGTGATAATGCAGATGACGAGACATGGAGGAAAGCGGGCGAGCCAGCGGGAAGAGGAGGAGGAGGAGGAGGAGGAGGAGGAGGAGGGGCTTCAGCATGCATGAATGCAAACCCTTCCTCTGTCCCACACTCCCTCATGACGTCTGAACATCCCTCCTTTTCCTCCAATCCCTTCTCCACCCAGCGCAGCAATCCTCCGCTCCATCGCCACATAGACGTTCACAGCCCGGCCTCGGATTTACAAAATAAAGCAGCCTCATATGATCGAATAAAAGAAAAAGAAATGCATGTGTGGTTGTCTAGCAGTGGCATATCAGCCTATAATTCAGTCATAACGTTTCTTGTTCCATCTGGTTATCAGCCTCACTGCTTCTAACTCCATCTGTCCATTACTGTACTTCACAAAGGGGCTAAATTTAAAATTCAGAGGATTACTTATTACTGGGGGATCGGCTCAAATCGAGTTGTGTGTGATTTACAGTCTCTGCTCAGGTAGACAATACTCAAGTATATCTTTACGTCGCAGTTTCATGTTGGCTGCTATATGGATGCTCTTGAATTTAGTTATTTTAGGTTCAACTGATCCAACACTTCCTACGGCTGCTACTTCACATTAAAACAGGCAAAACACTTTTACTGTGAAGGATTTACAGGATACAGGATCATTGAACACATTTCTTCTCCTTTATTAAAAGCTAGTGCCCACATTACCCATAATGCAACTCAACCAGCGGAGAGTGACTTCACATTAATCGGATTTCTCAGATCCCTCTGTGGATCCATGATAAAAAATTCATTTAATTCAGATATGCTCATAAATACTTCCAGAGACGTGTTAACACATTTTAACATCGGCAGGTCATTCATTTTCAGCTTTGAGTTATCAGTCAAAAACAGAATTAGTGCAAATCTACAGCAAGGACAGCAACTGCATCGCAGAGCGTCTAAGCCATTTTAACACAGTAGCTTTGGGTCATATCTGATGCCGTTGGTGATGTAACACACAGCTGGCTGACGCAGATTATCACTCAGCACTTTGACAGAAAGGACGGAGCGAAAGGTTTGCGTGCGTGCGTGTGTGTGTGTGTGTGTGTGTGTGTGTGTGTGTGTGTGTGTGTGTGTGTGTGTGTGTGTGTGTGTGAGAATGAGCCAACGAGTGTGTGTCACTCAGAACGTGCACTTCTGGCGGTGTGTTGTAGAGAGTCAATGCGTGATCATGATTGGCAGGGAGTCTAACCCAGAGGGCGTGCTGTCGATAATCCGGCTGCAGCAGCGTCGCTCAATCGTGTGTGTGTGTGTGTGTGTGTGTGTGTGTGTGTGTGTGTGTGTGTGTGTGTGTGTGTGTGTGTGTACTTCTCCACTTCAATCCCTGCAGGAGCCAACTGAACTGAGGTGGATGTAGGAATTATATCGACAGAGCAGTTGTCAGGCCAGAGGAGGAGAGAGAAAGTCTCATCTGACCAGTTTGGCCTTTATTATGCAACAGGGAAAATGTAGTCTCCACTCCAATGCATTTTTCAAAATAAAAGCACTGCCCTTTATTCTAAATAATTGATTCATTTTCAGATCTAAATGCATTCATGTAGTATGAAGCGCACACGGGGGGCATTACAGAATGCATCAATGTGTGGCTGGTCAAATGGACAGGTGGGGGGATGGGGAGGTGGTGGGGGGGGGTTTAGAAGAGCCAATGACATCACCACGCAATCTCCTGAGGGGAAACGCGGGCCGCGAGCGTGGCGCCGTTACAGTGTCACAGGGCACGTGGGGTGTCATGGCGACCAGTGGCAGAATGAAGTAAGCCAATCCAGACTCAATGTATATAATTATTACATCACGAGAGACACAGCTGAGATCTCGTTGATGGTGAATCACCAACATGATTTGTGACCCAACCGAGCACCGGCCGCATCCCGCATCCCCGCTCAAGAGGAGGGACGCCTCCCAGACACAATCAGGAAATGAGGCCTGAATTATTTAGGCTGATCTGGCTGTAGTATGTCCTTTGGGATGGCCGTGCATAATGGATCACCCAGCAGGTGCACGCAGTCAAAGATGATGTAGGCGACAAATAGTAGCCAGGATGTCTCGTGGGGGAGGATATCTAGCGGGGAGCACTCAGGAATCGATCAAGTTGTCTCCGGAGAGCGTCTCCCAAACGTTTTGGTTACGTGACTCCTAAAAACAAGGCAATTTCTCATTGTGGCGCGCCGTCACCGCTTCCGTGACGTAATGCCGTGTAGAAGGAAAATGTAGGGGGGTGTTCTGTTGTCCCAGGCTGCTAATAATCTCATGATCCCTCTGATTTAAATTGGCATCACAAAAAGGTTGAGATTCAATAAGAATGACACCCACTTCCCCTTTGGGACTTTCATGTATTTACCATTACATGTTTTGGGAGAAATAATTGTACTGTCAATCTTTTCTAAACCCGGGAAACTCGTCAACAATGCAAACTGGAAACAATCTCCTTACATAATATTTTAAACAGAAGTACAGACAGCGAGTTTTGTGTGAGCGAATGATGATAAGCAACCCCAACAGACAAAGCTGGTGAAAGTTTCATGTTGTATAATTTGAGGTGTGACTACTAACCATCTGGCTCTGAGGATCCTGTAAATACCTGAGAACAGGCCCCCAGGGCCCCGGCTCCACACCCAACTTACGCAAATTAACAAGGTGACAAAGCCGTCACTTCGAAAAACCGGAATAACTTGTATCTTTTGTGACTCCATGTACACTGAACATCTCAGCTCAAACAACAGATGTTGAGGACATCTCTGTGTGCTCCGTTTGTTACCTCCTAGTATTACTCGTTATATTTGCATCCAAGGGTTTTAAATGAGCCCAAAAACCACAAACCAAATTTGGTCATTTTTTTGCTCTACTTTCACCTCTCTATAAGTAACACATTTTAAGTCGGGCTGACCAGCAGATACAAACCTACTCATATGTTTATATATATTGATATTTCTGACATTTCAACGTGTTATTATCAATACGGTAATAATACTAATAATATTAAAAAGTGTGCACAACCTTACAGCAGCACTCAGGTTACAGCTGATTCACCAAATTCCATATTGAGAACCACCGGCACGGTTTCCACTGGCAGGAATGCATCATACATGTCTGCACATACGTTGGCAGGCAATCAGTAACAGAGACGTTGGTGTGTGAGACCATGTGTGTGTGTGTGTGTGTGTGTGTGTGTGTGTGTGTGTGTGTGGAGGTCAAAGGAGAAGGGGGAGGGGCTTTACGTCCCACTCTGGTGAAAGAGCCCGGGGTCTCAAAGGACACAAACTTACCTACAACCAACATCTTAACTGAAGAACGTGTCAAAGTACTACTTGTAGTAAATATTAGCAAAAGAGCTAACAGCTTAACAAAGCCACACACTGCACGTCAGCGTGGAACTTATATATTTATCATTTACATATTTATATATATAAGACACTGCAGACAAGTGGCCGTGGCTAAAAGCTTCATCTTCAGAAGTTATTTCAGACTCTAATTCTTTCTCATCATCCAGTTCAAGAAAAATTCCACTCCACTGAAATAATTCTGTTGATTTGCATTGGTGAATGTAAATGTACCGCGCTGCAGAAGAAAACAAGACTCAACTTCAGGCCACATGTTTGCAGTGCACAGACAAGGAATCAAACTTTTAATCAAACTTTCTCAGCTTTAGCCAAATTACAGCTTTACCATCGGCAGGTCGTCATCAGTCAGCTGTTGGAAGGGGTAGAATTGAAGTAACCAAAACTAAATGAAGGGCTTTCAAATTGTTACCCAAATGCCTGATATAAAAGTAAAATATATACTGTACGACGTGTCAAATGTTGAAAGGCATGCCATGCGTTCGTTTCAGGGGCACATACTTCACCTCTGTGTGACGGTGCTAGTGTGACCTTCACAAGGTCAGAACTGTGTGTGATCGAGAAAACTAGAAATGTCAACGGATCAAAACATCCTGAAACGGTGGAAAAGGGATGAAATTGGCCCTGGAGTGAGCAGCACGAGATGCTCATCCCATAAAAACATGAATGCGGGGGAAAAGCCAAGATGGCCGCCTCCACACGTCTTTGGCCGGGGACAAATGTGAGGCTTTTTGCTTCTTCTGCTGATCGGGTTAAAAGGAGCAGGTGTTGAGGGGGGGTGACATGATCTATGGAGGCGAATATGTCATGGCCTCTCACATGCACAGGCTCACTGGTACCAGTTCCACCCATGGAGTCTATAAATAAAAAGGGTCTGTGGTGTTCATTACACTGGTTAAAGCTGCCGTTAACTAGAAGCACAAAAAGAACCTACTGAAAGCTATTCTACGGCTTCTTCCACGGTGACCACTGCGTCCACCAGTTTCTATCAATGGCTTAATGTTCCCTTGTCTCAAAGTCGATGGGTTTTTGGTTACAGTAGATGGCTTAAGGAATGTCAGTGGCAGGAGCACCGGCTTGAGAAGTGTAAGGTATCGTCCTTTCTCAGCAAACATCTCATCGAGGACACCTCTGTGGATTTTGAAGGTTCTCAAGGAAGGTGCTTGCTTACAAGCTGCTGATGGCACTCAGAGGTTGTCGGGGGGCATCAATGGGAAAGTCTGTGGATTAGTTCCTTGGTCATTTTGTTTTTTTAAGAAGTGATCTTGCTGAAGAAAACGTGTAAGTAAGTGGTAATCTTGACCCAAACTTGACCCAGAATTCCCAGTACCGGCCGAGCTGCAGTCGACGATGGATCCATCACACCTAAACACAGAGCTGTCAGAGAAATGTCAAACTCTCTGTGAAATCAAAGGGAACTAGAAGTGTCTTCTGACACTTTATAAAGAGTACGAGTGTATGTGTGTGTGGAGGGGGTTGCCTTGCCCCACCAGCCGCCCCCCCTCCACCTCAACCTGCCGGCTTATCTAAAGGCTTCACGCACACCCAACGTCAGCTTATCATGGCGCGACAGGCCGGCTGGAATTCTACCACGAAATGTGTTCCAAAACTATAATATCGAATTAGCCGTCAAGTGGTCTAAGAATACCGTTAACTCCTCATGACAAACCATTTGATGAGAGCTTGAAGACCTGGCTAAGTGACCATCCACAGGACCCGCTCCGTCCAAATGCACTAGAGAAGAGGTTTGAAGGGTTGATGTGCGCCAAAGTGTCGCATGGTTGCACACACACAGTAAACACAACGAATCCCATTTTTAATAAAGCAGACGACGGCAGCCTAGAGGGAACGTGCCGATGCAAAGTGTCCAGGAGAAAGGGACGCTGGTGACGTAAGCAGATTCCCGGCCTTCATCCAAGCGTACGCATGAGCATCAAACATCATCCGGCTGCCGCGCATCGTTAATCCCTTAATTTACCCCCCCGCCCCTCACATTGGGTACCCCGAGTTGTCATAACTGCTACCCCCCCTGCAGCTACATAGGATGTCAGATTCAGTTACATTTACATGAAAGACTTCAGTCTCTTTTGGTGGAGCTTTTCTAGCGCAAAACCCCAGCGTCCTCCATTTTGGCGTGTCGCATTTTTAGGATCTTCCGATTGAAAAATCCCGATGAGAACGAATCAGATGTCTGGAACTGGATTCAAATGGGTCGGATTTTTCGCTCAAGTGCACCTCAGTAAGTCCTGAAGGCGATGGAGGACTCGCGAAGCGTTCGTGAGGCGCACGAGCCTCCCGGCGACAAGATAGGTGTCGTGATGGAAGGATGCAAGAAAATAAAAAACTAGATTTGTAAAGAAAAGACATAAACTGTCACTCACCATTTGTCCAGCTCAGCCTTGATGCCGGCACAACCAGCGGGGACGGGGACCTCGGCGGGGGCGGCGGCGGTCTCGGCGTCCGACATGTCTGCTGCGTGTGGTGCTGCTGGTTGGTGTCAAGGGTGCTTGTCCTGTTCCTGTCCTCCGCCTATGGACCCAGAGTCACACCGAGAGACAGAGACAGCGAGAGAGAGAGAGAGGGGGACAGACAGACAGACAGTGGAGTTGAGTTTGTGAAAGGGGAGGGCGCATGGGAGGAGGTGGGCGGAGATAAACATGTGAGTATAGGGGTCAGGGTGGGCGGGAGGCATTGACCCAGAATGAGGCACTAAAGGAGATGATTGGACAACGGGGACAAAGGAGATGAAGGTCGGGCGCCTGCGTGGAAAGGCTCCGCAGAGCTACAATCTCACCAAATGCTAACGTATGTCAACAGTCACTCATACACTCAACATCAATTCCACAGCGCACACATGCACAATGTATTGGAGTTGAGCCACCTAGTGGCGGCTTTGCGCTAAAGGGCTCAGCATCTCCTGGTGAAGGCAGCCATGCTTCCAAAAAAAAGGTCATGCCAGTGAGACAATGTTTCAAGGTCGAACAAAAGTGAGAAGATATTTGTCTATTATGAGCGTTTTCTACGGTTGAGCTGCTTTTATTCAACACCACATGGTAGCAGGGGTCACATTGAGCTACATGCTTTCTTGTAGGGACAAACTCAAGGTTATTCAAGGTCAGGCAGAAGTTTATAGGACCTAGTTTGGACTGGAACGTTGGATTCTCGGTAAAAGGAGAATCTACGGCTTTTACAAAGCTTTTTTAATTTCAATCAGATCATTTTTCTGTACCGTTATACTTTGGACCCATACAGGTGCAACAGGAAAGTCACATGAGCTCCTAATACCACAACATGATTTATACTAATAACCCAATCAAATTAAATTGTGTATGTTTTAACTTTGCAAGAAAATTACTTTACTAATTTGGTTGATATTGACGGCAGGACTGACTACTACAATAGTATATGAAAACCCACATGACATAAGTACGTTTTAGTATTAAAGGGTTAACTTGCCTCAGTCTGCTGCTGGCTTCGCTGTGGGAAATGTTCTGAACAAAGGCTTATTAAAACCTGATGTTTCGTGCACTGCCCCTTTAACAGGATAAAGATAAAGATAAAGTTCATCGTCCGCCATCTTTGCTGACGTTGTGTAATAAAATGTTACGTCACCGTTACGTGGCAGCCTGTCAGCCTGTCAGCCTGCTCGAGAGGTCTCAAGCTGCTGCTTTGCATGCAAGCAAACTGCATCGCGGTTCGAGTGCACGGACACGCACGTTACTGCGTCATAACGTTTGATCTCCAGCCCTAAAGCTCTGCCGAAAGTGCACACATTTATCCTCGACCCCCCCCCAAAGAATGCAAAAGGGACTTTAACTTTATTTTACCATGTTTTCTCATTTAACGACGGTAACTACTACACACCTGCTTTGAACCGCTGCTAATTAAGCGGCAACAATGACTTCTGGGATATGTAGTCCGGGGCGGTGGACTCGTGTGAGCCCCGGGCTGTTTCCAAAGGCACGAATAGCTTCTGCAGCCAAGAAAAAGGGGGAAGAACAGAAGCCTCTTCTTTTATTGCTAACCCCTCAAACTTTTCTTAACCCTTCCTCGACATTTGGGCGACATCGAACCCAACTTGCATTACCGGCCCTCTGCCGCTTCCTAAAATAGAGCCAGATACTCATTCATATTCAGCAAGAGAAGAAGAGAAAACTGTGCAGCGCCTTAATTGCATCAGCATAAACCGTCAGCCAATTTGCTTCATGCCTGAAAAGATGAACACAACTCCTGTTGTACAATAGGATAATGCTCTCTCATGCATACATTGTCCGGCACGAGAACGACAGAGAAAGCAGAATTCAATTCGTTTAGAAAATGGACTAAAAGTGATATTATGAATACTAAATGCTGGCCCATATTATGACACATCAAGTCCTGCTGGAAAGTCTCTTTAAAGGAGAAAGTACTCCAATGAGAACATCATCCAACCCCCCCATGAGAGTCCATGTGTACAGAGGCAGGAGGGAACACTATGTTCTTTATGCAACATCAGTGCACGAACACAGCACGTGAGAATGAATTCATGAAACAAAATCAGAAGTTGCCTACCTATCTGCAGTTGGGACGTCTTGGTCCTGAGTTGAACAAAGTCAAAAGTGTCTTGAGCGCGTGCAGGGGGGGAAGGGGGGTCTCGGTGTGCTGAAACTGCTGCGTAGCCTTAGAGAATGTGATCTCACTGGGAAAGGGGTGTGTGCCGCTTGCTTTACAAGCGTGTGTGAATGTGTGTGCTGTTGGTTTGTGCACTCTAAACACGGGGGGGGGGGGGGGAAAGACAGCAAAAAACATGGCAAGGACCGAGTGGAGACCCCTGACACATGACTTTGACACGTTTCAGAGGTCTACATTCCACATGTGCGCCTGGGACTTTCTTCATCCCGGAAGTTCAAGCCTTTTTGGATTTGTTTCATTGGAGTTCATTTTATGTTGAACAAGAGGTTGGACATCTCCAAGGACAAGTCGCCCCTAAACATTAGTAAAGCAAAGGGTCATGGACCACGGCAGGCATCTGAACGAGGGAGAACCAAAGGAACAAGAGGCTAGAAAACAGCAGCAGCATCAAGCTACCATTTCCAAAACATCTAATACACGTATTAACTCACATATGAACAAATTAAACGTACTTCTCTGCATGTAAACGGCAGAAAAAGTAATATGCGTAATTCTTCATGCACAGTTCATACAACTCATGAAACATTAAATGGCTTGGTTTTAATATCAATGCTTTATATTCTGGTCTTTCTGTTTAGTTTCCCAGCATTCACTTGTAGTCCCTGTGAGTCTGTCCGGATGTCGTCACACGCTGCAGTTAACCACTCGCCTCCGTCTCTGCAAGTGAAAAACATGTTTTTCCTGTTAATAGGACAGAGATATTGACAACAAACTTGTGTTACGTACGCTATAAAGTCTCTTTCTCTATTTCCCTCTCCCTCCGTGCTTCCCTTGCTTTGTCTGCAGTGTCGTTCCCCACATGTCCACCCGGAGTCCCTGTTGAGTTCCTGTCTCTGTCCCGCGTGATTTCAAAACCAGAACTGAGCCATAAATATTATCCTGATTGTAGAAAAAAAAGAGGTAAATCTATAACTTAATTATAAAAATCTTATTTACCAAATCAAACGTATTAGTTTTTATGATCTCCAGAGAAAAAAAATATAACAAAAGGATAAAACTTTAAAGTCATGATGATTTGGTTACCAGCAGTGAGGTGGGTGGGATCCCAACACTTTAGACACAGTACCGTAACAACACCTGTACATGTATTTATGCTCATTTCAGTGGATAGTTGAACCCACAGAAAAAGAGGAGTAGGTCCGCTATGTAATCAGTTAGACTTTGGTAAACATACTTTCCTTACTCGCAGGTTTCTTATTGACAGAATTACACTCTTAAAAACTTCAGAGAATTTTAGGAGTTAAAAAGCTAATATGGCAAAAGGCAACAACAATGAAATATGATCGATATGGATTTAGATGAATGGCTGAATCCAGTATGTAACCATACTTTATTAAATTCATGCCAGCAGGAACTTGAGGAAGAACCTGCTTCTAGAGTGGGTTTAGAAGCAGGTTGTACACAGGCAGCAGGTGAGGAGACTGACCCACACTGTGACTGTGGAGAGGTCAGGTTTAACCATCCAATGATGCTGCAATGAACCAGGACTCACCGTCAGCACCAAACATCGTGTGAATGTCAGTGTTTTTATTCATCTGTCTAATTAAGATCTGGGAGAAACTTTTTCCACGTCGCACAACACGCACACACACACGCACCTGTTGCATCCATTCAAATCCTCTAGGCCATGTTTCTCATTATGAGTTCCCGAACAATCACCGAACGATGCTGCATAAACAAATCCGCCGAAGCAAAGGAGATATAAAAAGGAGACGAAATGGGAAGGAGAAAGATACAGCGCCGAGATAAAGACGCAAAGACTAACGGACAGGACTCAGCAGAAGAGATGGCTCGCCACACAGGAACCTTTGGAAGCAAACTTCTCCCCACAGGTGAGCTAAACTCAGCTTGTTTTATATCTCAATATGATGTAATTTGCTTTCTTTTTTTTGTTGGGACACATACACCAAAATTAATACAATAATATATATTTGACAAGTTAATACATTTTTATAAATGAAAAAGACGAGAAACAAAATATGCAGACCTCAAGTTTTCTCAGCCAAATATATAAAACATTGTAGATTCACCTGCTCAAATTACGAATTTAGAAAATTGGTTGTCGATAATAAATCAGCCAGCGCCTCGTATCAGCCAGCATCAGCTCACCATCGGCTCCATCATATCAGTATGATTAACAACAAGAAATTACAGCACAAATCGTCCATTTTCAGACTGTAAAATGTACCGTTTTTTTAACAGATATCAATAACATATATCAAGAATACTGGTTTTGTTTTACGTGTTAATGTGGCATCGAATATTTATTTTCCTCAGCTAAATTCATCAGTCACCCACTAAACGCGGCAACAAAATTAAATGAAGGGGTGTAGAAGCTACTGAAATATAATGCACCTGTGTTATATCTGCCGCTCAGGATAAGCTAACCCGTTTCGCTGTCCATGCACATGTTCCCATTTCATAAAACGTGCATAACCTTCGGCTCAACGTTTGGTTCGTTTGTTTTTGCACAGTGTGGGCAGTGGCTGGTGTGGATCTGTAAAGGACAACTTTAGTGAATGCAATATCTGGCATCACAGTACAAATAGGGTTGACTGTTACTTTTCCCGTGCTCCCTAGTCTTGTACATGGTGGCGGCGTGCAGTGCGATCCCCATCACCGACCTGCTCGACCGAGCCTCTCAGCGCTCCGACCAACTGCACTCCCTCAGCACGACTCTCACCCAGGACCTGGTCAGTACCCGGGCTCCACCAAACACACGTGTCAAACCAGCTCTCGGTTCCTTGGGGCGGTGTTGAGTTACACCCGTGAGCATGAAATACAACATGAGACAATGTACTAATCGTCCGCCATGCCCCCTTTCTTCCCAGGACTCGCATTTGCCTCTCACAGTCCGGCTGACCTTGCCCCGCCCCTCGGTGTGCCACACCGCCTCTCTGCAGACACCCAATGACAAGGAGCAAGCTCTTCAAGTACCAGTGAGTACTGTGGATTCATGCAATGTTTCCGATTGCCACGTCTCCTTGACTGGTGAACTCATCAAGTCATTGTGGTATCAGCCAAGGCTCGAGAGAAGTTTAAAGGGATATCTTAGCTTTTCAACATTACCGAAGATGTCGCAGAAAAGGGATAGAAGTTGGACCTGTATTTCTTCCAAATTAAAATGATAAATGCATTTTTTATATGAAAATCAGTTTAGAATCCCCAGACCCAGTGTCAACTAAACACAACAGCATTGAATCGAAACATTACTAGAGTTAGTAAGGGTAAGAGTAAGTAAGTTAGGTAAGGTATCTTGTTATTGAATTGCACAACAAAAATACTTGCTGTAACCAAGAAAACAATCTTTTATATTTAACCTATGGGATTTCTATTTCTTAACCTGAGTGACGCCAAACGGTCCAGACCAAGTCAGTATGCGATGAGCCGGGACCGAGAGTGGGTCGAACTTGTTTATCTTTCTCTCGCCTCTTCAGTCGTCCTTCAGCTTGTTGTATCATCTTACCATTACCCGCTCGTTTTCTTCTCCAGGAGTCGGACCTTTTGTCCCTTGCGCGCTCCTTGCTCCAAGCCTGGGAGGACCCGCTGGTGTTTTTGTCCACCTCTGCCAACTTCCTGCCTCATCCAGCCCAAAACGCCATATCCAACAAGATCCAGGAGCTGCGAGACCACTCCAAGAGCCTTGGAGACGGCCTGAACATCCTGTCTGGCAAGGTGTGCAAAGTGTAGGAAGACACACATTTGGTTTTGCTCATGCACCCATTAGCTGCGTTTGGGTTTTTTGGCCCGGGAGTACCCGTTGTTTTCTACGTGTTCATAGCGGTCAAAATTTGGCCTTTGTCTGCCCGCCCCAAAAACTTCTTCTTGCCTCACTTTTTGCCTTCTGTGTGCACATTATTTCCTAACGCACGGTGGATGTAATGAATTAAATGAAAGGGGAAGGAAATTAACAGTCATATTAAAGTCCTCGGTGGATCATCTATTTTTCTTAGTGCTTTAGAACGTAACCATTTCCCCGTCCAAAATTGGTCCAAAATGGTTTCTTGGATACTTCCTTATTTATGAATGAAGAAGAACATGAGCTAATCGGCAACGGTCTTCCCTGTTGACCAAAAGTTCTGCACTCATATTGTACCACAACCCCATCCGGAGCCTATTTGTAGTGTAAAATGTTACAAGAGAGAAAGACCCTGGTCCCTGGGCTCAAAGCGGGTTTCTCGGAATCGTTCCGAGACCCTGAGTAAACTTTCTTCATCCCGGCTGCCGTTGAGCAGAAATTAATTGTTAATTACGTTTCGAGGGAACATACTTGATCCCGAAATGAGTTTATTGTTTATGTATAATGAATACACTTTAACTTTGATGTAAACCGATGAACAAATGTTGATTCGAAACATTAACAATTGTGTTTGTCCTCCATGTCCCAATCCCCGTACCTTTCTCTCTGTCCCAGATGGGTCCAGGAGCTCGGACCATCTCCATGCTGCCCTACACAGGAGGCAACGACGTTGGCCAGGACACGATTTCCCAATTGATCAACTTGAATTTCCTGTTGTCCTGCTTCCGCCGCGACTCCCACAAGATCGACAGCTTCCTGAAAATATTACGCTGCCGAGCAACAGGGCTACCGCAGATGTGCTAGAGAGGGAGGCAGCCGGCTTGAGGTTCCTCAAAGCTGGTATTGCCTACAAACTGTAGCTTAGCACGTGCTGGAAATCTGCGATCTGAGATAATAACCTTACTAAGTAGTTGTCAGTCTGGGCTTCTAAGATGAGGAGGAGGAGGAGGAGGAGGAGTTTCATTGCACACAGAGGAAATCAAATTTTATTTAAAAAACTCGAGGCATTATGGTCATCAGTCTAATTGGCAACGTGAATGTATAGCTGCTAAGATATTGTGAAAAACTCTTAAGAAACTTTCACCCTAAATTTGTGAAGAGCCGTTCATCTCATACAGCCTCCGTATTAGTAAAAACTGGAGCAGCAGTGAACCGACTGATCGCACTGTTTTGCGATGAGGACAAAGCACAGCCCAGATGTTTCCAGCTGGTCTGGCATTATCAGCTCACCCTATTGTTGTCACATAAACCGGTGTGCCATCTCTCTCGTTACTCCTCCAGTCGTTCCTTCTTCTTAAGCTTTTTCTTGTGCGTGGTAGCAGGCAGGCTGAGACGTCAGCGGCCGAAGTCGTTCTCTCACACTGGGAGGTTTTCATAGAGAAAAGTCTCCCTAACTTGTGCTCCACCGCCGCATTTGCACTTTAGATTTGATTACACTTTCCTGTCGGACCCTTCGGACGCGCATCAATTAATTTGAATATCTCTGTTCATCAATAAAGAATATCTCTTGCACAGTAAAGTGGTTTGTCTTTGTGGGCCCGATCACTTCTGTGGAAATGGAAAATGTTGAATCAATGGTTCCCCCGTTTACCACTGACCATGTGCTTCAACACGCATGTACACTAGTTAAATAGTAAAAAGGGTCATATATTATATGTGTTTAGATCAGATTATGACAACCAATTCCACCCTAATCAAATATTTGCTGAATTTATATATTGAACCAAATCAAAGTCAATGCCTTGAAGATTGGCCAATGGTGACACAAGAAGCAGGGGGGAATTTGCAGTTGCTACTCGGCGCTTTTCAGTAAGCGGCCACTAGAGGTCGTCCTTCGTTGCGCTTATGTTGCCCCTCACTTCCACTTTAATGGATCTCCATACAAAGAATATGGTGTCAACTCTGTGTTTATGCAATTCATGTACAATTAGGAGTTAAAACGTTAATGTCACACTTTTACTAAACCGAACGTGTCATCCATATCTGAAATACACAGTTTTCTTATTCCCTTAATTTGGATCGGGCCCCCCATTTGCATGTGAACCGCTGCCCCGGGCCCCCTAAAAACCCCGCCCCGGCCCTGCGCGCGCGCCTCGCCTTCCCGCCGCTGAGCCGGTCCCGGTGCTGAGACGCGCTGGAGGCGCACGGAGAGCGGGACACCTGCCCGCCACGTTCATCCCCAAACGACCCCCTCCACCCACCGGCCATGACGAACAAGTACAACCAAGCGTCCCCGGAGCGGCTCGACAACATGCCGAGCTTCGAGGTGACTCTGCAGCAACTCAACGACCTGCTGACGGACGACTGCGGCTTGTACAGCCGCCCGACGCGACACTTCCACGAGGTCTCCCCGCGGATCTACGTGGGCAACGCGTGAGTCGTTGTTTCGTTACCGCACGACCCGTCGCTCCGGGATTCAGGTCACGACGCGTGAATGAGCCCCGCGTTCTCCACTCCCGCAATTGCATCAAAACATTTTTTTAATTTTAATTTTTTTAAATAACCCGTTATCCTTTTACTCTGGATAAATGCATTGACGTGCTATTACGTCACCACCGCAGCAAAGGCACGTGCCCGCATTGCTCACTGATATGTAATACCACAATAATATGTGCCTAATGCACACATGTATGACGGCATGACGCCACAACAGACATGTGCTCCAGAACCATCTGAAGGCATCTGTTATGAACGACATCAGTCTGTCACTGATGCTGCTGTCTGCTTGTTATGCGGAGCCATTGTAACACTGCTGTTATGTAAATGTCACAAGTTACACCTTTATTTTGGTTCTATTTCGGAGGCTCACCGTCTGACATCAGATCGTGGAGGTCGTGGAGGCAGATGAAGACAGGCTGGACGGAGGAGGATCCATAAATAGCTTGTGTGCTTTACCAGATTTGAGGGTGCGATTTTGTTCCAGAAATGACCACATCTGACTTTTCTGTGTCTTTGCTGAAGTTAAAGGAAAAGTTTCCCCCCCAAAACTGAAAAACCCACATTTGTCCTCTTACCTGCAGTCTAGATCAGTGGTTCTCAACTGGTCCGGCTCCGGGACCCACCATCACCCCTTAACGACAAGCCGCGACCCAAATCGAGGAACATTCTCTACTTCTCAAATGTATTTAATGAAAATATGGTGCAGTTTGAACCTGCGATAGTATGGAGACAGAATACGTATGCCAACACAAAAACAAGTTTAATGAAAAAACAAAACAGCCAGCTGTTAATTCAAATTTTTATTAGCGACCCACCAGTTGAGAATCTCTGGTCTAGATTGTGTTGGAGATATCGGACACAGGGATGTTTGCCTTCTCTCCAATGTCATGAGAAAATTAATGAACCGGTTACAAGAGGTTTAGGGTTTAGCTTGGAAGATTCCACAAGATAATCAAAACAGTTTGTATTTAATTTGCTATTTAACAGTTCCTACAGTTTATCCCAAAACAAGCCGTCGTACATAAGATATTATTCTTTTCATTAAAAAGTTTCGTATTCATATATTTACGTGCCTATGGTTTATGTAGAATAATGATTTAAAGATCACCTTTGTCCATCGCCTAATACATTATTGGAGGGCCTCCACATAAGGGGCCCTTCCACATCTGGAGAGTTTTATCCATAACAGGTGCAAACATCAAGAATCTTTCTCCAGAATCGTTGACTCCACGTTGAAGGTGATCGCAGCTCCATTTCAGGCCTACGATCCTACATTTTAAATGGTCCGATCTGAAAGCTTCAAAAAGAGAAATGCCCCCCAGCCCTCCCACCTCAGTGTGCGATCACAGGGCACTTCAGCAGTAATAATGGAGTGTGTCTTTCCCACTGGTGTCAAGTGTCCTCACGAGTACATGAAAAGTTCTGTAAGGCCCGGTGAGGCGAGCAGGCCTCGCTCCAACCTCCCAGAGCTGGTGCTTCTCTGTTGTCTGGAGAGCTCGGCAGACTTTTAAAAACATTTGCGATATTTGCAGTGACGTTGCATTTGGCGAGAGGAGATCCTATTTTTAGCTGTCTACATTTAAAAGTGGTCTCAGTCGCAGAGGATCTCTCGTGAGAGGCAGCAGATCTCTCCTGAAGACCGTTTGTATGAAAGAAAAAGGAAAATGTTGTTTCTCCAGCTACCTTCAAAGTGTAACAGTTCGGCGGTGTTGTTAAACCCACAAACTGTTACATTATTGAACGATAAAGTACAGCCTCTCGTACCTTATTGCTTTAATAATGCACACCCCGTGACTCTCAACCAATCAGAACGCTGGATTTCATCTACCCGTATTATAATTATCAATGTGTTTTTAATAATGTCTATTTTTTGATGTGGTTGCAGAAAGTCTGTTTTTAGCTTGACCATTTAGCTTTCTGTGACAGTTTGATGAGCGCAGCCTACGCAGGTGAACATGTGATAATCACAATCCCAACGTCTGCCTCTTCAGTTCATTTCATTTGTGTCTGCTCGGGCGGATCAAATCAAGCGCTCCTTACCACAGGTAAGATGGGTGACTTAACGACGGCGTTTGTTTCAACCGCCTCATCACTCCATGAACACATCCAACTCGAGTGAACACCTAACATCCATTCAAACCGCTGTCGCAATAATGATCATTTACTTGAATTATACGTCGTCATTTTTATGTTTTCTTGGAGGACATTATTTTTTATTTGAAGAAGGACATTGTGAACAAAAGGGGTCACTAAAAGGGCCCTGCACCAACTGCAATCCAATGCAGAAAAAGTTCAAATTGCACTGAGCTGTAACCCGTGTGTGTGTGTGTCTGTGTGTGTGTATTTGCGCTTCAGTATCTTGTGCTGCACCTTCATTGAATTGGATTCAGCCGAGGCAGAACGCGGTTGTAAGTGATACACACACGGTGCATCAGTGCCGCAAGAAATCTGGGGTGAGAAAATAACACATTATGGTGTCGGTGCTTGAAGTTTTTCACATTTTTCAAACAGAGCCGAGGTTACCAACACATTTTATTGGGCCTTTACCAAGTAGTGTGAAGTGGTGCAGCATCTAACAGCTTAAAAGTCTTTGTATTCTCAAAACAGGTGAGAGAGTGAAAAGTGGACTTACTTTTAACATTTACCAAACAGGGAAAGTCTAAAGGTCCCAATCAGTCACTGCCAGAGAACGCCAAATAACACAGCTGTGACCTGACCGTTTTTAGCTAACTACACAGTAAAACTATTGATACAAATTATTATTCAATGTACTCACTTCAAGGTGATTTAATGATAGTAAAGTAACCGTTAGCTTCTTAACTTTCGAGCGAAATTACCATCAATGCTGTCAACACATCCCAATTCCAGCTAGATATCCCGCTTCAACACCCAATGAAAGCTCTTTCGTGTTGCCCAAATTTCCTGTAGCGGTTAGACATGTAAATCTTTATGTATATTCATGAGATTTGATTTGAACATTACTAACTTTTTTAAAGCGATCAACGGAAAAAATGACTGGAAACATCGTCAAATTGCGCGTGTCCAGGTCAGGGCAACATTAGCTTCCGCTGCCCGAGTCAGGAAACGTTACGGTTACGTTACATTTCTGGAAATGTTGCGTAATGTTTTTTTCAATTTGGTGAATATTTGACATACTAAATGTGCGCCTTTCACCCACCGTTAACCGTCCTGAGGAAGAGAAAGCCAGCGTAGCACTTCCATCTAACCTCCGTTGGGTATTTTGCGCGACATCTCCCAGAATGTGTCCAATAAACTCTCTGGCGTGTATGTGTTGTGCCCACCAATCGGACGCAGGTTTGTGGCGATGAATGCGATGCGCCTGAAGCGGCAGGGCATCACCCACGTCCTCAACGCGGCTGAGGGGAACTCCTTCATGCACGTCAACACCAACGCCGAGTTCTACGCCGGCACGGGCATCGTCTACCACGGCGTGGCAGCCAGCGACACCGACCACTTCGACATCAGCGTGTTCTTCGAAGAGGCCGCGGAGTTCATCGAGAAGGCGCTGGCGTACAAAAACGGAAAAGGTCAGAGGGCGGCAGAGCCGGGATCAACCGGATGAACACCACTTTGGAATGACAGAAAAGGAATGTGTCTTCTGGTTAGGAGAGTCATTCGACTCCCGAGTCCCGGTGGGGGACGTAATTGAAGGTCATTATTAAAGCTGCACTAATCAATAATGTTTTTTACACAAACCGCTGATCACATGACCATGTGCCGTGTGAAAGGATTCTGTCAGGACAAACCCACGGATGACTCAAAGCTGCAATCCCGTCATTTCTACCAACCGCTTTAGCCGTAATATCGGCTTTCGTCCCTCATTTTTCCCTCAACTTGTTTCTGCATAAATGCTAATGCCGGTGTAGCCGATGGTTAGCAACACCAGCAAATGGGGATGCAATGTCGTGACCTGCGTTGCTCTTCTCCTCCTCTGCAGGTAAAGTGTACGTTCATTGCAGGGAAGGCTACAGCCGCTCGCCCACCTTGGTCATAGCCTACCTGATGCTTCGCCGCAACATGAACGTTCACGCCGCTGTGGCCACGGTGCGGCACAAACGGGAGATCGGCCCAAACGACGGCTTCCTCCGGCAGCTCTGTCGGCTGAACCAGCGGCTCGCTGCCGAGGGAAAGTTCTGCAACAAGTAAAGCAGATAGACAATCCCAAAGAGAGTAGATGTCATTGCACATTACTTTATTCCACTTGTTCTGCACCTTTAAGGAGGGGAAAGATTGAAATTGGGACTGAATTTGCATGTTTACAACCAAATCATACACAAAACCCTTTGAAAAGACGACACAGTATTTTAACAAGACAACGCAGTATTAGATCCCTCTTGGTTCAGGTCTATGTGAACATGAATAATCCGTAAGCGTGTTTTATTTTATATTCTGTGTGGTCTGTTGTGTTTTCCTGCTGCTCACTATTCCAGAGATACATAAAGGGAATGTTAATATTCTAATAATCTGAAAATATTTGTGCCCTTCGTCTCGGCCTCACACCTGCAACAACTGCCAAATCCCTTTGCCAGCTGCTCCCAGATTCACTGTGATTTTTTATTTTTAAATAGATTTCAAGTTACCAGAGGATGCCATTGCTTTATCCTTTGCCTATTAGGTTTAACAAAACTGTTAATTCTTTGAATTGCGTTGCACACCAGTTGAGAAGTCCAGTCTGTCATACATTTGTCTTGTTGGTGTTTTATAGGAGGAGAAGGAGCTGAAAGGCGGGTGAAAAAACAAAACAGTTCTAGCGATCCGTTGTTTAAGTCTGGTCTAAATTGTTTTATTTGTGTTCACAACTCAAGAGCCTTATTTTTGTTGCTTTATCTGTGAAGGAGAAAAGGTTTTGCCAAAGTATTTTTAATACTCAGCACTGTTACATGTTCTTAATAGCATTTTCTTTTAGGTGAGTTTTATTTAAATAACTTGCTAACACGCATCTTGTGTTTAGAGTGAATGAAGAAATTAAAGGTTACTTGGAACAATGAAATTAATGCTATTATTATCTATCTATATCTATTATCCCTGTTTGGAACATGGAGTGATGGTACATTTCTGCCTCCAAAACGCGCACTTGACAACAACAAAAAGTGTCAGTATCAGAATTTTCGTTTTATCTGTTATAATGATAATAGGAAGGAATAATGCAGCATTTTGGGAAGTCATTTTGTATTGTATCTTTAATTAGAAGTTGTTTTTTTTACAAAGAACGTGATGACGCCGGAGGCCAGTTAGCTTAGCTTAGCACAAAGTCAAAGTATGGAAACGGTGGGAAACCGCTCGTCCGGCTGCGTCAAAGATGACACCACCGGCCCGCCAGCCTCTGTGAAAGCTATAAAAAGCTACGAACTAATGTTTTATATCTTGTCTATTAAATCCAACCCCAAAAAACTAAATGTCCTGGATGTTTCAGACGGACACAGTGACCTCCCTAAACCTCCCCGAAACCACAACTCGTTGTTACACTCTGTAAAAGATTCAATTAATGTTTTAAGTAGTGAACTTTTCTGGTGCTGGTCAAAGAACCCGGTTAACTTTTTCTCAACGCTTTGTGCTAAGCTAAGCTAAGCGGCTGCAGCTTCACATTTACCAGTACAACTATGACAACAGTACCAAACCTGTAAAGTGTAATTCCTGAAACAATTTGTTCATTTGACTAAGGGACATGACGGCGACTCACAATCGGGACAACGGATTATTGATGAATTCTTCAGTGAGCGGAACCAAGCCACTAAAGCCACTAAAGCCTCTGATTGTAACACTGCCAGAATGTGAGCAAATAATAAAAGCATTATTATTACAGTTCTTCACAGTCAACCCCTCTTGCACATTAGTGTTTAGTTTTATAAAGTACAGCAGCATGCTTTGTAATATAAGCCAAATCTGTATCTATATCTATATATATATTGATGTACTTGTTGAGTCATGGTGTGCATTATTGTTGTGCGCTTTACTAGTCACAATGTGCATTAATGAGCCTGCAACTGTTGAATCATCACGTGCATTACTGAGTAGGATGTGATGTAATTGGTCGGTAGGCTTCCATTGAATCTCACAGGTTAAGAGGCTGCTTTGATGAAAAGCACTTTATCTAATGACACTGGTGATTGTTGTCGCTCCCTTTCGAACATGCAGAAATAAAGTGAAAATGACAAACAGCGCTTTCTTTGAACAGACAGTTATTGATCGCTGTGGCGGCATTCAGCACATACTGAGTTCCAGACAATGTGAGTGGAAAGGTGACAGATTTTAATGAACCATCGCCGCCTTCTTTATCTCTGAAGATGTATAATACTTACAGATTGCGACTTTGCCCTGTAGAGGGAGCCGTGGGACCAATAAAAAGCCATCAGCTCAACACACTTTGGACAGATGCAACGTTACCTGGGTGGTTTACGTGTTTCTATGTCCAGTGCATTAGACCACACATTTAAGATCGGAAGAGACAGTTAATCCCCATAGAGACACGTTTATAAGCAGGTTAAGCAGTTGGTGTAATGTCCGCATTACAAACTGGGGCGTGGGGATTTTAAAAGGAGGCCATTTGTAGGCTTGCGCCTGAATATCATTTCAATAGACCATATTTGACGCAGGAAAATCTCTCATTAAAGAAAGATTCTCGGCATTCGGCAAACTGAGACCGGCCTTACAACAAAGATCCACCACGTTAGCAGTATATAGCTGTGTGAAAAGAATAATAAAATTGCCATCATGTATATTTGTGTTGGCTTTTAGCACACCAGTGACCTAGAAGATATCGACACTGATCTGCTGTGATGAACTTCCTGTGTGGGCCCATGTTAATGTCTCATCATATGTTTTCTCTCTCTCCCTCTGTCTGTGCATCCGTCTCTCTTTCCCCCTCCTCCTCTGACCCCATGTGACGCGTGCAGGAGACGCAGGGTTGCGTTCTGTTCAGGGAACATCGTAACTCTCTTGCGTAACAGCAGTCTGCATGAATGAGTCCATGGTGGGGGGGGCGTGTGTTTGCAAAGTGTCTGTTAGTGTGTGTGTGTGTGTGTGTCTTGAAGTAAGGTGGTTGTGCGTAATGTAAGTATGTACAAAAATTAAAATGTATATACAAATGTCTACACATACGTTCACAAACAAACCCCACTTTTATCCCACTACAGAGTGAGTGCAGTTGGTAAAACGCTAGAGCCACGGGGTATTTATTGAAATATCTTACATTATAAAACCAGAGATTTGATATTATAAAACCAAAGTTGTGAAACCGAAAGTGCAAAAATGCTGAGTCATTTCCCTTTTGTCTGTCTCAAGGTCTTAGGACTCATTTCTGCAGCAAAGGCTGACGCTAACGCATGTAGCCTGATGTTAATGTTAGCAAGTAATGCTAGTGAATGCTATGATCATCCTCTTAGCTGAGCGAGTTACGATCCAACCAACTGGCCAATGCTGTACTCTTTATGCTAAGCTAACTGGCTGAGGTTATTAGCCTCAAAATTACCCTACCAACATATGAGAGGTATCAATCTTCCCAAATAACTGTGACCACTAAGGAGAATATATGTATATGTTCCAGAATATCAAATTAATGCTGTAAGGAAGAAACTGGAGGTTTAGTGGTTAAAACAACAACAACAAACCATCATCATTTAGTATTTCAGTAGATCTTCTAATGTATTTTGTCCCAATAAATATCAGACTTCCACAAATAGGTTATTGATCCTGGTTGATGGACTCAGAACACGGCGCTGAAACACGTTACGTAATGAAACCATGTGCAATTCAATCAGAAGCATAAGAAGATAATGCAAATTAATGTCAGTTAATGTGAGCATCATCAAAAAGACGTTTGGTTATGTTTTATTTTTAGAGTCTCGCTGTGAGCACTTTTCCTTTAGTTGAGGGGAAACATCTGTAACGGAGTCCCAGGCCTGTCAGTCTACGTCAGTGTAGAACGGTCTGCAGCTGCAGGCTCGCCCAGCTGTGCCCTTCTGTGTGGTTTGGGAAGCAGGAACGGGGGGGGGCTGATGGGGGTGTGGGTGGTTTGCAAAGGACTCATTGTTACACCATCAGCACCACAGTACATTTGATTTGACCTTCACTGGCTTTCTCTCGGAGACTAAAAACGTTCATGAATTTCAATCCCTGAATGTGTTATACAAGTTGCAGTTTTTCAACAAAAAAAAATTAGAATGAAATTCGATGAAGAACATCGAACAAAATACTTCGAGAACCCATTGAGAACATTGTTAGTATATCAATTTAATTTCATGAGGCAATGTGTAATGCCTAATATCGAACCAATTCAAACCACATAACAACTTGATTTTTTCCTTTACAGGCTAGGAAGTTTTATTGTGCAACACTAACCAAGTGCACTAACTTGTGTTAGATGACAGTAATCTGTGTTAAAGTAGAAAATCCCAGTTTCCACATCTTCCAAGGGGCCAGGAGGCTTTTATTGCAGCACTTTAACAACTTGGCAAACTATCCGTGCTCCTGCTTGTATAGATACGATTGACAAAGGCTCTCTGGGTGTGAACATAATCAAACTGACATCACTCACTGGTCCGTGGACCGGCGTCATTTTGTCACCATCTTGGTTTCTTCACAACAAGTGACCAAATGAAAGTGAGATGGTGGAGCTGAGTGAAACCGAAGGCTCTTCTTAGGCAACAAAAATATTAGAAGCTAACGAACTGAAATCCAGTTCACACGGGTTACATTTGTTAGACAATGACGCCTTTGTAGCGACCGTCAACGCCCTAAAGCATTTCCATCGGCCTATTTTACTCTAAATGTACTTGACTAAATCAACATCATGCTGTAGTGAAGGAGACTTGAAACTAAAGGTTGAAATCGGATGACAATATTTTCTGAGGGAATAAGTCATTTCTTCATGGACTTCTATACAAACCTATTTGTTACACGAGCAGTCGCCCCCTGATGGTCATTAGGAAGAATGCAGGTTCAAAGAACGTCATCTTTGTTTTCACTTTTGAGAACCTGGATGTTTCCTTTTCTTAGATGGAAGCTTTGCAGATTCCCGTGTTGGAAAGAAGTCATTCTGCTTAACGCAGAGGGACGCAGAACATCATATCATTTGACAGCAGCACAAAAAATTCTGTCTTTCTCCTTGTCCAAAAGGTCTACATCACCCTAAATGCCTTCTAATAGCCATCTCAGATGTACTAGTTTTGTATATGGCCAGACGCCCGAGTTAAACAGAACATTAAACGACATATTCTCAGCTGGACAAACACAAGTAGGCAAACTGATATCAAATCATTTTATAATGTTGAAAATAAATGTCACACAGCCACAAACAGACAGCTTTGAGCCACTGAGATGCCATTCTCTGATTGTGCCATAAATGACGTGAATGAGTCACAGGAAACAAGACAACAACCGTGCCCATTAACAAACCCTTGACCAGCGTTACAAAATACACCATCAAACTCTCGCCTCGGGTGCTTCGACCTCGTCCAGCTTTACATTCAACTCTGTGCTGTGCCAAAAAACAAAACAAAAAACAGAACACATTATGGCTGCTTCGCAGACGGGGAAATTGCCGGCTGTGGTGCGTTAATTAGAGTGCTACTGCATAGTCGCTGTGGAGCGCAGCTGCTGGGAGCCAAACCAGAGAGGACGTCTTCACCATGGGGAATAGCTGTTGGGGACATTTGGTTCCCTAACCTCTCGTGTTCAAGGCACAATTTACCGGCCCGTATTGCAAACACACAAACACAAGTGTGTCATTGCATATGTGCACTTGAGGAGGGTTGGAAGGCTTGAAGAAGAGGACGTCTCTCTCCAACGCTTTCTTCGTCGGCGTGCCAGGGCACCGTTTTGGATTTCTTAGCAATCGGGCGACGATGTTTTAAAACTTTTTTTAAATGTCTGATTTGGCCAAACCACTCATTGCACCCAAACTCGTGTCTCGATGAAGCATCAGTCCTCTCTCGGTTCGTCAGGGCAGAACACACGTGGAGTTGGAATAAATATCTGCCAGCTGTGGAT